CAGGGCGTCAGATCGAAGGCCGTGTGCCGCAGCGAGAAAAATTGCATCCGCCTTCATCCACCCGAGACGGAGAACGGAAACTGGTCTCCATTCACCCGAGCCTCAGCAGATCGGGAGCCTGGTCGTTCCATGACAGCGTGCGGCGCAGCCACGCAGCCAACCTGCAGATAACTCTTCTGCCAGGATGATGTACTTGAGATTAGACCTGCCCGAAATCTTCAGCTGGTCAACCATTGCACTGTATTTCTGCAAACACCATGTCACAAGGAAACAACGCTCCAAACGTTGACACAAAAGCGCACTGCAGCTCTGGATTCTCCAAACTCGTCTTTTCGAGCACACACGTACACGGATTGTTTCCCAGAGCTCCTGGGCCGGTGGGCCCTCCACATTTGCATTCTTCGAGTGGAGATGCAGTGCGAGGAGTGGCTACCTGAGGGGAGCAGCTCCCGGGCGTGTTCGAAAGCAAGTGTAGCATGCGGGCCACGAGCCCGCAAAAGCTCGTAGTGTGAAGAGGTCTCCAAGGCAGCAACCAAGCAGTCTTTCCTTATGACATGAAAAGATTCGCTATGCGATGCTATGCGCATGCAGACATGTTTCGCCCCTAAACGCTGGGGCTCGTCAGCTTTGGTCCCGTCAACGTGCGACGACATGTGCTCCAGAAGAGCCAGGCTGGCTCCAGCTGTGGAGGGCAGCGGCTGCATCTGACCACGTCCAAGTCTCGGAGTGCACCGTGCGCAGAGACGGCTCAGACCGTCGCAAGGCAATGGCAAGCTAAAGCGGGAGTGATCGCTGCCAGGTTAAGCTGCCTCAGTCAAGCCAGGGCCCTCCGGGTGCTGCGAAGCTAAAACGGCATCTGTGGCTCCGTCCAACACCTGCAGGTGGACTTCAAGTCCCTTCCCCAAAGGCGCATCGAAGCCTCAGAGACTCGACGTCTTGCACGGCAGGGCCCATAGGCCGAGTTTGCCCATTAACAACCGGTCCTTGCCGGCTTGCTGAACCGAATTTGCAGATCACAGCAGGATGCGATTTTGGGAACACCACAGCGCGCTCTGGAAGAGGTTTGCACCGGCCCAACAGACGTGCTAAGACGGATGCACATTCTGGCCAGGACCAGGTGTTGGTACAGCAACAGCTGCCGCTAAGGTCAGCCATGTAGCATGTCGAAAAGCAAAGGATTCCACACGGACACGCGGTTGCGCCTGTCCGTGGCCTACAGCTTGGGACTAGGCGAGGTATCAGGTTCGAACGGAGCAGGAAGCCACCCACCGACAAGCTCGCCTGCGAGATGCCCACGCGACTTGTTTTGGTTTTGACATGTCGGAATGCGCGCGACTTGGCCATGAAGAAATCCAAGAAAGGCAGCTGTCGGCAGCAGCGCTCCACTCATCCTCCTGACACGTGTCAAGAGGCTCGTTGCGAGGATGGCATTCAATCCATCGCCCCGAGCATATGGCTGACTGACAGAGCCCTCCACGCATGACATGTGGCTTCAATTTCTCGACTGATTCATGGGTGGATTGATTGAGCACCTGTGGGCGTGAACGTGTTTGCCAAGCGAAGCACTGGTAGCCACACTGCACTTGCCCTGCAGCGCCCCCCTCTCGCAGACTATACGCTGCGGCTGACTGGCCTTCTGCACACCTGACAGTTCTGATCGTTGCTACCAGGCCCGTGCGCTTGAAGCGGCTCAAGGCAACAGGAGATCTACCAGTTCCGGGCGAGAGGCGGAAGGAACGAGGGAAGAAACTTCAACTATTGCTCAGGGTGGTTTTGCGGCTGTCAAACTCTGGAGGGTTGTCTAGCAGTCTAGCAGCGTGCAACGGTTGTCATGGTGTGACACTGCCCTTTGACCTTTAGGGCAACTTTAGGGCCTGCTTCTGCGGTTGAAGACAGCATTCTTTGACGAAAAAAGGAAAACTTCCCCTTACACGGGGCCACAGCATGCGGCAGCAGCCTTTGCTTCTTTTGTGGGGGATGCTGCAGGCTGCTCGTCTCAGGAGCAGCGAAGCGTGAAAGGCCCAGCCACCTGTCCGGGTGGCGAAAACTCGAGCCTGCTTTGCGCCGCGCTGACCCTGCCATGTTGGGTACAAGTAGGGGCCCAAACAAGAATTATCAGGGCAAGGATCTCCCATATAAACCCTCTTGTAATGAAGGCCAATAAGATAGGGATATTCTCTGCTTATGTCCTTTTTAACTGGGTCTTCGTTTTGCCGCGTTCAGGAGCCTTCGTGACTTCACGTCAAGTTTCTATAGGGCGTCAACTCGAAGGCCGTGTGCCGCAACGAGAGTGACTGCATCCGCCTTCATGGAAACTGGCCAGCAGATCGGGAGCCTACGGGTACTACAGGTACCCTGCACTGATACTGTCGCCTGATACCCTTGGAGTCTGGAGCTCCGTAGGTCCGAGTCCCCTGGGTGTTACCAGGTCAGGAGCTCAGGGGCCATCAGGGCCAGCAGTGGTTTAGAGCTTAGACTTTCGAGGGCTGCACTGCCAAAGCAAAGGCACGCTGGAGACATGGACCGGAGCCTCAGAAGATCGGGAGCCTGGTCCTCGCATTACAGCATGCAGCGCAGCCGCGCAGCCAATCGGCAGATAGCTTTTCTGCCAGGATGATGTTCGTGAACATCAGACCTGCCCGACTGCTTCAGCTACTACACTATTGTGCCAGACGACAAGGAAGCTACGTGCGAAAAGCAGACAAAAAAGAGTGCTGGAACTATGCACCCTCTACAAACTCATTTTCGAGCACACGTGGTACACGAATTGTCTCCCAGGGCTCCTTGGGCGATGGGGCCTCCAAACAGATGTTTTCAAACAGAAGTGGAGTATGTTAGACTCCTCTGGGCCCTCCATGCTGGTGTTTCCCGGTTACAGATGCAGTACGCGGAGTGGCTGCCCAAAGCTGCTGAAGCTTCCGGGCTTGTTTGAATGCTGTAGTCGGGGCCTCCTATCTCGTGTTTTCGCAAAGTACAACTGCAACACAAATGAAGTGCGCGCAAAGCTTCCGAAAAGTGGCGTAACTGCAGGAAAAGCTGGTTCGACGTGCATTTTCCCACGGCAACGGCAAATACCGGCTCTGCCACCTAGCTGACAATGATAAGCTTTCTTTCGGACTGGAAGCCAACATTTCTGACAAGACCCAAGCACCCTAGACGGCTGCAGATGCAAGGATGTTCACTACCAAGAGGCTTCACAACGATGCAAAACAAGCAAACGTAAAGCTACGGAGGATGTCATGGCCGCCCTTGTGGTGCAGTATTCAACACACAGACGGTCCTGCTGCAGTTGATCCCGTGAGCTGGCAGCCGCAAGCGAGACGGACGAGACAAGGCAACTCAAGCCAGCGAAAGACACGGCAACGCACAAGACCCATCAAGCATCTGGACGAGCAGGCAAACTGCAAGCAGCAGGTTCCAAGACTTGGATCGAGAACACGAACTCTTTTTTGAAAGACCCTGGCCCATGCTGATGCAGCAGGAAGGAGCCTACTTGATCCCAACATACCCCACTGTGAAGCTTGCAGCTTTCCGTGGTAGGCCGGGGCCAATCTTGCCTGTGTGCTGGTCAGCTTGTTCCGCACACGTGGTCAATGATGCACCTGGCGATCGGCTGGACGCAGTGCACACAAGTGGTCCTCCCTGTCTACATGCGTCTCACGACATCTCTGTCCCAAACGACCCATCACTTCCTCATGCCAGCTTGTCCATGAAACAAACTACACAGCTGCCGCACGACATGGTCAACACTGCTTATTACTTGGTTTGACGACCCCCAGTCACATCTTGTCTGATGCCGGAAATTCCTGAAATTTTATGTGCCTTTCTCCCAACAGGTCCACGTGTAGGTTAGACAAGTGCAGGGATATGGTTGCTGTGCACGCGAGGCGCCCGGTGGGGTCGAGCTCGACAAAGCAGTCATGTTCGCCGACGCCGATTTTCATTCTGAAATCGAAGGCCCGGGCGTCGCTTCCGGGTGCCGCGTAGAAAATGTGTTCCCGCCTCAGTCCCGTGCTCCTTTGGCATTCAGAACACCGCAAGTAGTCCTACCCGGCCATAATTACTCGTGGTCCCATCGTTCCATGGCTCAATCAAACCATCAAAGTATCATCACAGCAAGCCTGCTTTGCTGCTGTTGGTACGTCTTGGTGCTTTTTTGAAGGTTTTGGTATGTGCTGTTTTAGTGCTTTTTGGAATTATGTTCTGACGTCTGCGGCGTTCCCTATGAGGATGCCTCTGCTTCTGATACCCCTTCCTCACACACACACATGTGTACATATATATATATATATATATATATATAAATAAATATATATATATAAATAAATATAAATATATATATATATATATATGTATAGAGCATTTGGCGGGTGCATGCAAGTTTATGCATTTCGTGCCAGCGAAGTCATGCTTCACCCACCCTGTGCATAGTTTGGGATGTGCGTCGTCTCCCCTGCATGCTAGCACATGGCACACGACATTTACCGCCCAGATCCCTGCCGCTGCCTGGCACGCCTCTGCGCCATGCCTACTCTTGAAGTACAACAGGAGTAGGTGCTAGCGCAGGGACTCAGAAGACAACTCTAAGCCAAACATTGCGGCAGGCACTTCATGAAGCAGTTACAAGGCAAGCTGCTGGCAAACTTGTCCTGGGTGGTCTCCGGAATTCTCAGCCCGACAACACTAGTTGAGACATGTTAAAGCTCTCGGATGCAACCGGGCCATCCATGTTCTCCTATGCCAGCAAGAATAGAAGCGCCTCATGAGCGCTGAGATCCGTCTTTTCCGTGCTCATTTGGGGCTTGTGCGAACTGCAATCAGCAGGCACGACACAAAGTGGAGATTCGTGCAAAGTCGGTCTCTACACGAAGTCACCGACCCACGCTCAGCCGCCGAAACTGCTTCGGCATGCTCTGGCTACCAAGCCGTGAGCCGGCTGAGCGCTGCAAAACCTACTCAAAATTGTTGCCTCAGGGTCGAGGGATTGCGATTCCCGCCGTTTATCGGATGGGCAACCGAGGGCTCGCCCGTTCAGCAACACTGCTTCTAAGAAAATCTGCAAAACTCTGTGGCTGAGGTGCTGGCGCCACAATTTTCCACAAAAGCTGGCAGGACGTGAGCAACCTTGACAGAGCGCCAACACCCTCGGGGAAACGCGCTTAGCCAGTCTAGCTCAGTTCTCCACCACTGTTGAGGCTGCAGCCAGTCTCTAGAACTCTGTAACAACTCTACCTTAACTAGTCTGAGCATGGGATTGCAAATTAAGGCTCGATCTGGAAATTAGACTCTACTGGGCTTAGACAGTGAGCTGCTCTCGAAGGATGTCCAGTGAATTCACCAGTTGAGTGGCAAGATTTACATCTCGGCCATTGTGAGACTGGTGTGTGATCAGCACGCCAACCAAGCTGACAAAGCTCATTTTGCCCAGAGCTTTGCGCAAATTGCGGAACTCTCGAGACGATAAAGATTCAGGCAGTTGCGTCGTAGTGCTTGACTCCTCCATCAACTTGAGGATCTCAGCTGCTTCCTTGAGAAAGCCGAAGCGCTCAGCCCTGCCACGGCATAGCGGAACAAACAAATTCAGAAGCTGAGCTTGGGTGCACTGCTGCACCATCGCGCGCTGCTTCTTATCGAGTTTCGGCATCTTCTCCACGTGCTCCATATGGCAGTAGTCACAGTCCTGTCCATTGGCACAATGTCCCGAAATGAAGAATATGCATGGCCGGCGACACGCTTCCGGATGACCCAAACTACCCCAACTTGGAACCAGCTGCCGCAACTCCGGCGCCAACACTGGGCCTTTAGGAGGCGTGTTTTCCGGCTCTGCCAATTCGGGCTCCTGTCGACCTTGCCTGAAATCGGCAGCAGTTTGAGCAAGGCTGCATAGGTAGGTTCTCATTGAGCTCTCCTCTTCTGCAGTCTCTGCGGTGACGACGCTCCGCGCTCTGCCGGGTGGAGAGCTGCGAGCTCGCGCTCTGCCAGACTCCGACTCCTCGGCTTCCTCCTTCACGCTTAGGAAAGTATAGCGGTACTCGAGCTCGAAGGCCATCTTACGCCTGGGAAGCCTGCCAGAACCTTTCGGATCGCAAAACTGTCAAAGCCAAAATGGCTCCGAACGGTCAGAGGGGCAGCGAAGTGATTTCGATTAGCGATCAAAGTGTCATACGAACCTCGAGTCGGCAAAACATCCGACCCAGGACGGAGTTGAGGGAAGAACACTTCAGATTGCAAAAAACGGCTGAACAACCCGAGCAACAGCTGCAATTTTCAGGTCTGTGTCTGCGTCGCGTCTGATGCTCGAGGCCCTGCTGTCGTTCGACGTCTTTTGCCGTTGACATCGCGGAAACTCACCGGGAGCTTGCTACGGATTTTCTTTGAAACCTACCAGCAGCATGCAGAGACTCCTGAAAGGTATAGCTGCGTTCGCGTTGAGCCGTCCTCCGAGGCTTTGAGATGATCCGCTGGTGCTGTATCCAACAATGCTACCAGTAAGAGCTTGATGCCACGATATGACAGGCCACTGCATGACGACGTTCTGCGCGAACGCCGGGTTTCCAGTATGTGCCAATGCCTCATATATTGTACTAGTCATTCTCCTCCTCCATGTTCATCTTGAGAACACTCGTGATGGAAGCATGCGCGCAATTCAAGGACTTCCAAGCTGTGGCTCCATCATTGCGGAGGAGTGCTATGCTGTACTTTGCAAGCGCCAGTCTCAGCCATCTCCCAGAAGCAGTGCGGAACACCTGCATGTGGTGCCCAGTTAAAGGGGGGCCAAGGGCAGGTGGAGAACCATGGGTAGTTGTTAAAATTAGGTCCCTTTTTGGGTACCCTAAAGATTAGGTGCCGTATTACAATAAGGATCCAAAAAGGCACCCTAATATTGACAACCACCCATATCTAACCACCAACACGTGGCGACTTAGCTTAGCCTTAGACTCGGCCATGCTGCGCATCCTGGGCGAGTCCAAACAGAATTCGTGCTTCTCAGCATCTGAGGCTTCCTGGCTTCAGGCAAGCCCCTGTACAAAATGAGATCTCGTGACTCAGAGGCAGGTCCGGAGCTAACACTAGGACAGGCTTCTCTTGTGCCATGCTCCTGCCTGAGCCTTTCGTTTCAGATGGAGACCAGGTGTCTGAAGGAACGCTTGCTGATCCGGGAATGCATGCAAGCCCCTGCGCACGAACACGGACAATACCTGGCTCGCTGTGGGTCGGCCGAAGCAGCATCACTGAGGACAGGGGCGTCTTCAACACTTCCTGGTAGAAAATGTACTGAATAAGGATCTAAGAAGCATTGGCCTGCTCTTCCTGAGTCAGGGCAACAAGAAAAAGAGCGTGCAACTGGCCTGCAATATAAGAAATGGCATGTGGTGCACAAGCGATGTGCCTTCGCGTAGTTCTGCAGCGCTGGAACATTTTCTGCGTTCATGTCATCCGGCAGACTATAAGCCTGTCGTCGCAGAACTTCCCTGAGCAGCCTCCAGAAGAGATGCGCCTCTTTAGCAGACCAGTCATGGTCGGGCCTGTGAAGAGAGAGGTTCCTGATCTCATATCCGGCCGCCCCTGCTAAAGCATGAAAAAATCGAGGTTCATACTCCACGGCACCATGCCGCGGCCAGCATCCAGCAGCTGGAACCATATTGATGATCATTCCACCATCACTGCGGGCAAGGCCGTGTATGTTTCGAAAAGCATTGTATTGTGCATGCCAGATATCCAGCCTTTCATAACCTTCCGGCTCGTTTATGTACTCGCTTTCGCCGATGTGCTCTGTCGTACCGAAATTCGTGACGATGTCACACTTCCCAAGCAGATAATGGAGGGAGGAGTTCAACGGTCGTGACAGATCCAACAGCACCGCGCCATCTCTTCCATTGATGTCCAAGCTCACCTTAGCAGCGCATAGGCTTCGCATAGGTTATGGCGATGTGTGTCCTTCACCTTCGCTTTTCTGCTAGCCGAGGTGCATGCCTGATGCCCAATGCCTCGAAGACCTTCTTCCCACTTGCTAGCGCTGGCGATGGGGTTACGACCATGCCCTGCAAGACGCTCCAGAGGTCATGCACGTCGGGCTCGTACCCATGTTCCAGTAAGATGCTTAGCGTGGACTTTGTCACTCGCTGATTGCCCAGTTCACATATCAGTGCACCTGGCAGGAGAGCGCATAATGCCCGAGAGTGCAGCTGTGCAAGAGCCTTGCGGAGCCATGCAGCTCATGCAACGGTGGCCTCGTTGACCAGGATGTTGCAAGCTCGCGGCGGCCAGAATGATCGAGATTCCAGTTCGGTCAATGCCCATTGCGCGGAGAATTGGATGCGACAAAGCCTTGAAAAAGGAGGGTGTGTTCTTCGAAGTGCCGAGAGCAACACAGGCCATGTTCATCTCTAACCTTCCGGATCCAGAATCTGGAGATGCCCTGTCTGGTGCATCTAAAAGCACCGTCTTTCCAGAGGTATCGGGTGTCCGTGCCACGTAAACACTCCAATGACCTTACCGTTGTGCCCTGCGCTGGTTGATCAGAAGACGCTGCAGTCTCCACGTGTTCGCAGGCAAGCAATCTTGAAGCCTTCGGCTAGAAGACGGCAGCCACGGACTTTGCGGCACAATGGCCCTATGTAACATTCCGGGAAGGCCAACATCACTATGGTTTCGGGACGAAAGCCGTATTGGCGTGTTACATGTCTGGAGACAGTATCCTTTGAGAGTTCCCTTCCCCCAGAAAGGGCTACCTGATCTTTCCTTCCCTAAGCAAGCGCCAGCGGTGGGTGCTAGGCGATGCTGCAGCGGGCTGTTTGCAAAGCACAATCCGAAACGTGCATAAGTCGGACACTTTACCTCGGTATCTGGCCGCATTCGAGTCTGGTACTTTGGACTGTGCACCGAGCAAGTTTCGCTCTGGAGCAGAAAGGCCATTGAGGGGCGCTTGTGGCCATGGTTGCAATTTTTTGACCGTTGTCATGTCATGTCATTTCCTGAAAATCCAGCCCTCTGCTGATACAGAAAACACCTCTTGACTGCGCAAGAAACTTTATCATTGTCCGGGTCGCAATTCACACCAACTTTGTTGCCTAGCTACTGGCAGCAGGTGTGCACAGCTCGCGGCTGCCAAAGAGCCCCTAGACGAAGTCCTACATTGAATCTGCAGATGGTCAGCAGACTGTGCACTGCCTGCTTTCGCTGGGATCGTGAGACAACTGCAACGAGGTTTGAAGCGCCTGCAGAGACTTTGGCTGACTTTGGCACCTTTTAGCCTTGGGCATGCCATTGAGCTCCAAACCTCGTCTCTATCTCATATGCACATTATTATTGCTATTTCGACACAGCCAGAGGTCATTGTAGCAATTGGTTTGACCCATTTTTCGAAGACGAAGCTAAGCTCCAACACCCTGGTGTTTGTCGCAGTTGATATTAGATTAGTGACTTCTGGCCTCCGGGAGGTTACGATTCCACGACCACGATTTCAGTCGTCTGTCATGACCTAGCAAGATCAGGGCCGCACACTGTTGGAATTCGGTGAACTTTGGGTGGACTTTAGGCGTTGGTTGCCAGTGCTGCTGGCTGTGAGCTGGTTGCCGGAGCAGTCTGACGGTTGCCCTGTATTCTCCGCATCTGTTGCTATCTCTTCAGAACGACTTGTGGCATGTCTTACACCGCCACGAGCTTCATCTGAGAATCCCTGTCCCTGCTCCAAGCACAGGAAGCATCGATTTCTGGCGTGGAGCCTTTCTGAGATGCTGGCGAGTGCGGCCCCGGCAAGAATCCAGCGCTTCTCGTCATCATCAGGATCCATTCGCACATTAACCTGTGAGAGTCAGCAGCAGAGCGGTGCCAGAGCTTTCGGAAAGATACGTGTACGTTGCAGGCGCCTGCGTTACGTATGTTGCTCCGCGCTCGGGAGTGATGAAGACCGGGCAGTGGTACCTTGCTCAAGAAGCCAGTTTTGAAGCAGGAACAGTCCATGTGCAGCACAAGCATTAGGGCTGATCCAACTCATTTTCTCACTTCCTGCCAAATCTGCCGACGAAGGTTTTGAGGAGTGCCAGCAGAGCTCAATCATGCAACGATCAGCCGACTGTGCAGCGCAGCATAGATGCTCAATGACGGATGTGGAACGGAGCTACACACACTAGCTGCTGCACGCGGCTACAAAGAGTTAGTCCTTGCGTGCTCGAGGGAACCATCCCTGAAAGCTTAGATTCTTGTTGATTGCAGAAACAAGTGAATATGGCAGGAACAGTTCCAAGCAGATCACATTAACAGGTGCGCCTGACACGACAGGCAGAGCTGGAAAATCGTTGCTCTGCAATGTATGTGCGCACGACAAAAAGGCGATTAAATAGTTCAGGACTTGCAACGCGCAAATCATGTTGGTTGACAACTCTCTGCAGGAAGAGGGTGCTCGGCTCCAATGAAGCCCGCTTTCACTGGCCCAAGCATGGTTTAAAGACGACTTGAAAAAGTCTCCGGCATGTTGCGCTCAAGTCGCTGTACCCTAAGCTCCGGTCCTGCGGCCTTCATCCAGAAGCGATGTCGCTCACCTCAGCGTTTTGAAGGCATCGACGGCATTTGCCCCATTGTACAATACGAGATAACTTGCAACGAGGGTACCATTCCTCCCGGGACAGCCTTCATGGTGTTCATCACCAGGCAAGAGAAAACATGACTCCTGCAGCGCATACCATCTGTGCTGCAGCAAGTGCAAACAGGCAGTCGGTGCGAGGTGAAGCTCATTCCTTGGTCCTTCATGCACAGCACAGTTTATCAATGGGTTCGATTCTGCTGGCCTGCGTTAGGAAAAGAGAGTCCCGGGCCCGGTAGGCCGTGCAGAAACATGCGCTCTCTCCTCTTCGCCCAATTGGCCGCCGCCAGAGCTCCGCGACGGGCTGAGTGGCAAGGCCCGGGCCCACCAGAGCGGTCCAGAGCTCCGCGACTTGGCCAGGTCGGGCAAGGCACAGAACCGCGGCAAGCTGCTCGCAAGCTCATGGATCACATACCTTGCGGAAGGCTCAAGCATCCTCGAGCCACTCAAGCTCAGTTCTCCCCCACTCCAAGAGGGGACCTGACTCGTGGTCGGTTTCGACAGCTAAACGCAGCTTTTGGTGCCACTGCGCAAGAGTCAGCTCCAGCTCCTGCTGCCTGGAAGGGCTGGGGCTCTATGCGCCAAATATGCGCACGCTTGTGGGGTTTACCTATAGCCTCCATTGTAGTTCCTTATTCTGGTTTAACCAAAATATATGACTAGGATCCTATAACGTAACCCCCAAAAGGAACTACCATGGAGACTATAGGTAGGGTTTATAGGCTTTGTTGCATGGACTGAGACTTCCCCCACCTGTGCATCTCGAGGAAGTCTGATGGTGTTGCCCACGCTAGGTCCCATGCTTCAGATCCAGCATTGTTTGCCCAACACGCCTCAGGGATGATACGAGTCTTACTAGTGACTGGTCTCATGCAGCGGCTCGTGCGCAGATGCTGGATCCCAACAATCCACGGTGCCATACGAGAGACAAACTCAGACACAGCTGTGCAGGCAGATCGCCTCATCTGCATCGGGAATTTGCACCAGGAAAATGTGCTCCTCACCGTGTGGCCCTGGCATCAGAAACCATGAGAGCTCGAAGAGATCTTCTGGTCCTGGGACCGTTCTTCAGTGCAACATTATCTACAACACTTTAGAATAGGATTTTGAGATGTATCATAGCATAACTATAATAAGGAACCCCGGGTAATCACTAAGGCGCCCAAGAGTCGCAGCCGAATGCCCCAGTCGTCAAGAAACGCATGGAAGGCCATCGGGCCCTCTCGAAGCAGTATCCTGGGTTCTTGTTAAGGATTCTTTATCTAAGTTACCAAAATAGGGATGTATAGCAAATGATACGGTTCCTTTATTGTTGTAACTTAACTCATATCCCTTAACAAGAGCCCAGTATCTTTTGCAGCTCTTGCCGCGCAAAGCTTGGAGGTGGATTCGCTGCCACCATGATGCCGGCAGCTTCAAACCTGGAGTAGGCTCCCGAGCACTCGGACGTCAGGGAGACCCCACCTACACTCGTCGCAGGAAGCGGATACACGTGGGAAAACTCCTGAGCCGAGGCGCGTCCTGCGGATGGCAGCGAGCCGCAGCCCAAGGAAGACCTCCAGTCACGGAACTTGGCTCGGCCCTGTGTTTTACCGAGCAGAATGCAGCCTCGCCCTGCCAAACACTGCACGAACTGTCTCAGACCACTGTCTCCTTGCACTTCCTTTTCAAGAGCCACGGCCTCATCGCTTTTGCTTGCATCTACGAGGTTGTTCTTGGCGAGGTAGCGATCTGCTGAGGACAAGGATCCTCCGGGGAACGTCGCCTGAGTCGCATCTCGCAGCCAAGTAGACAAGAAGTCGTTCTGTAGCATGACAAGAGCAGTCCCAGAGTTCCGCGCCCTTTTGTCAACTCGGCTCCGCAGAAAGCAGATGCAGTAGTCCTGTTTCAATAGCAGCTTGTGCTTTGACAAACGAGTTGAGAGCATGCTTTTCCTTGAGCTGCAGTGACGATCACGTTCCCGGTTCCCGTGATCGTTCGTGACACTTGCCACGACTGCTGGATTAAATACGGTCACAAGTATGCTTCACCGAGGCATCTGCAAGAGTCCGTTAATGCCGTCCAATGACCCGGCTGCTATCTGTCAAGTACGTGCACTGAAAGTGTTTGCCCGGCAGCCTCCTTGCCGCAGGTGTCAAAGACTTGCTGGTCCTGCAGGACGGCTCCCTCCTACGCCCTAAAACGGTGGAAGGGGCGAACATGCAATGCAGCAAGGCTGCAAGGTCCAGCCTTTGGCAACCAAGGTCTCGGACACAGCACTGCCAGACCCGCCCAAGGGGGCTCCGGTTTCACCAGCAGGCCGTGAGTTGCGAGCATGGCGTGCCGAAGCAGACTGCCGGAATGACTGCGGAATTCGTGCGAGTACGGCTTGTGGGTTCGGCGGGATGCCGTGCTTTTTGTTGCGCTTACTCAAGATCTGTTGTGCTCAGCTTGTCAGCCGGAGAGGCGCGCACGAGCCAACATAAGGCGAAATCACGAAGCCATGATCGCCCTGCAGGAATGCAGTTCGAAGCCATGGGGCTACTCATCACTGACATGTGCGAGAGATAGTGGCACTGGCATGCCCTCCCAAGGAAGGGCACATGTTGTCCCAGCTCATTTCATTGATGTGGACCGAGAAGATGTTGATCACTGGCCTCGGGGTCAGGCATTCTATGGAGCTGCCGCCATGTTGTTGCATGGTGTGTTGCAAGACAGAGACATCACAAACTGTGGAATCAATCAAGATCAAGGGCTAACTTGCTTGGTGATCCGGTGCAGGCCGGAACATATCGTGCAGAACTCCAGGAGGCGCACATCTCCGGATGAAGCTCTTTCATCTTGCTGTCAGAGATATAGCCCTGCACGTGGCAGAGTCTCCCAAAAATTTTGCGGAAAGCGATGACCGAGTCCAACCTCATCGTCGCCCTTGCCTTCCTCCCAACTGGCCCCCTCCAGGAAGAGCCTGAAGGCGAGTATGTGACCCCAAGACGGCTCGATCTGTGCCTGGGTTTGTGAGACTGGGGGCACATGCAGGGCACTTTTTTGGGGACGTGTCTACCCGGTTCAGCTCGCGCGGCAATTTTGTCAAACGTGCAAACTGCCATCCTCAACCACGAACGATCCAAGCATTCTCATCACCAATCCCAAGCAGTAAGATCCGTCATCTGCTGGGATCTCAGCCCATGTATGTGGACACCATTCACTGGCAAGCCGACGATGTCGGTGGAGTCCTGATCTCATCTTGAACTTTGCATTGTCTTTGGAGCCTTGTTCTGTAGAAGGGCACAGGGAAAAACAAGTGGTGGAATGCAATGTGTGTGCCCCCCCCCGCAAGACAGCAGGCAGGCAGTCCAGAATGTTGAGGATGGTTGCTCTGTTGGTCATGTAGTCCAGCGGAAGCTGCTTGTTTCTGGCCGTTACCTGGCATGAACCGAGTAGCACTCTCCCCCTCAGTCTCCTGATCTCACCCCAGCTTTTTCGAGCCATCGGCAGGTAAGCACGCCCTTCGACCTGCATGACCGCTGTCAGGAACGCCATAGGGTTGAAGAGCCCCGAGATCCAAATCCTCGTGTGGTGTCGAGACACGGGCACAGGAAGGCATAATAATATACTACAATATACTGTAATACATTATCATATACTGTACTAACGTACTATAAGATCGTCTCTCCGAGGCTCGACTTGAGAAGGCCTGATCTCTCGTTGGTCCATTCCACAAGCCTCTAGTGAACAGTCATAGGCAATGCCTGCAAGGCGGGCACAGCTCCTGGAGCCTGGGGTGCTGGCTGCTCCATTCGGCTGAGTAGATCTGCAAACCAGCCAGACAGCGGCTTCAGGGAGGGATAAGCCAACTTCTGCCTGGGAAGGACGGAGACGCCACGTCGCAAACGATTGGGGCTGTTACACGGTGCCAGCTGAGTTTCCTACCAGCTGTCATTCACACGGTTAAGCTGCAGGGACGTAGAGAGAGCTTCCATCCCTTCGGTGATGTTCAGAGCGCCTCAAGATGATGGAACGGTCGCGACTGGCATCAAGCCAAAACATCCACTTCTCTGCAAGGCTCCCGCCACTGATGCCGAGCTCGAGCTCTGTTAAAGAATTTCTGATCATCCCGACAAGGACGTTCATGCGGTCACTCTCCTGGGAGGTCGGCAGAAGGGCACCGCTTGACTTGGCATGACCATGCATGGTAACAGCAGCGACGTGTTCCGTCCTGCAGAGAAGTGATCACATATGGCGTATAGTCCTCCTCCCGCAGCCTGCCTGCACATGCGAAGTGAGAGATGTTTCTCGCCCTGAGGATGATACTACACATTTGGCACCAGCCGGCACACTTTCATATACTTTCAGCTTCACCACAGGATCTCTCGAACATGTGCAGCAAAAGGGGGTCGTGGGCAGCTGGCGCAATCGGTCCGTTCGGCCAGGAGACCCCGTATCTCCGGCATGTCTAAGTCTGGAGGAAGCTCGTCTTTGTACCTGAAATATCGGGTTCATATGACTTAGAGACTTAGGGCATGTAGGGAGGGGTGACTTCATAGTTGAGGCTTGAGAGTATAGATTTCAAGTGAGCACCGGTCTAGTCTAGTCGCAGCTAGTCGTGATTGTCGGTATGAGCCCCAGTCCACAAAAGTGTGTTGGACTACCTAAGCCTATGTTCTCAATTGTGAGTTGCGTTGGATCCTCGCTTCGAAGATCTAAGTAATCGTAGTTATGGAGAATGTGTCCTGAAATCAGAAGAACCGTGGTCTGGCGCTCAAGGTTGAAGTCAGAATTGTGGCTGATGCCACTGCATGTTCCGGACGCCGGGAAGGCTTCAGTGAACTGCTGTTCAGTTTGTCAGGCGCGGTCGACGGGACGACCGTCTTCAGGTTGGCCCTCTCTGACTCCAGCTGCCTCCGCAGCTTTCTCAAACGCTCTTCTGCAATCGGCTCAAGCCCTTAAAGGGCTGTGGTCTTGAGAGCACCGCAGGCTTTTTTGCTTTACGTCTCTCTTTCTTCAGCTCTATGTTGTCTGCCTGCATTTATTTAGGCCAGGAAGGCCTGTGCTTGCGGCAGCAGAGCGGCGGCATCGCCGGCCAACATAGCGGCTTGAACCAACCAGGCATCGGGTTTGCCTGTTTATCTGATGGCATATCCCCCAGCTGCAGAATTGCACTGCTGGAGTTGGAGTTGCATCAGTCAAAGTCAGCTGGTCAAAGGATTCTAAGCTTCTGAATAGACTTAAAGAATTAGCTGGGAGTGCTGCCAGTAGAACATACAATGAGTCATTAGCTTGTAGTTCGACACGGCGACTTGATCTTCTTCTTGGCACCGTTCCCTGCCAACCCAGAGACTCCAACATCCCTTGACTAAGGAATATACCTTAAAATCTGGTAAGATCCCCAATATGATATATTGTATATATTGGAGTCTCTGGGCAGCACCCCAACTATGGAAGCGCACTTGGCAATCAGGGGTATGCAGGCCAAGAGGTCCACGGTTGCTGCCTCGTGATTGTGCTGCCAACATCCCCGAACAACTATAGGCAGATGAAGGCATGCAAGAAACTGTACGTACCAGACCTTCACTCTAAGGTGATTTTGACGGCATGACCCGGTGCTCTTGAATGCGAGATATTCCGAGAGCCCCACGCCGCTGTCCGCTCCAGAAACCATTTGAACCTGTAGCTTGTCTTGAGGGTCCGTGCAACCGAGCAGATAGAGTTGCTACTGCAGCTTGAGGTCCGAACAGTCTTGAAAATGTTGATACCCTGACCTCCATACGTCAAGGATAAGGGATGATTCCCTCCTCCGCATCCGTACTTACCCATAGTCTCCATTGTAGTTCTCTTTTGCTTAAACCAAATATATGATTAGGATCCTACAAGGTAATCCTCAAAAGGAACTACTGTGGAGACTATAGGTAAAGTCTTCAGCGCTTCAGTGCCAAGCTCGTGAGGAAGCCAATCTCGGCGTTGGGATGCAAACCTGCGAGCGGCGGTCGAAAACCAAGCGGTTCCATTCACCTCTTTCTCGTGACCTTTCAGTGATATAAGGGCCTTAAGAAGTAGAACAGGATTTTGGGGCCCCTTGTACTATAGTTATAGTATGGAGCCCCCCAAAACAGTAATGGTAACTTTTTAATTAGGCCCTTTTTTTTTCCATTGTTATTATTGTTATTGTTATTATTATTCATTGTTACTTTCGGTACGGGCTCTGGGGTCAGAGCCGAAGAGCTGCGGCATCTCTGCCGGGAAGCGCTCCTGAGGGTCTCTTCTGAAGCTATCCCCGACACCTATACTCTACTAGTTACTAGGAGCCGGCAGCACTGGTAACAACAAGACCGCAGTGGAAGGCATCCTCGATGTATTTCTGGTACGAGGCGTACCTCGGAAACATGACGCACTTCGAGCCTGCCCCGGCCCTGGCACGGGGCACAGGCTCCCAGAGAGCCCAATACCCCTTAATCAAGGAGTATGGCTTAAATTATACAGGGCTTCATATTATGATTTAAGCCTGTATTCCTTCATCAAGGGGTATTGGACTCTCTGGGCACCACCGTTTTCACTGAGCCCTGGGCTCCATCTTTGAGGCGTCTGGAGACTTCAGTCCCGGTGCCAAGGACATGTTGCTGAGCAGCTCTGGAATCACCAGGGTCACGAGGTACCTCCGCAACACCATGGCCATGGTCACCAGTCAGTCGGTATACTATACACATATGTGTATACATACGTACGTATGTATCTAAGTATGTATGCATGTATATGTATATATACATGTACATATGTATACATGAGCATACGCAAAGCCTATCCCGAAGCATGCCAGAACCAACTCTGTTTCCTAGCCGTGGCGAAATCACAACTTTGAACAAGCTCTGGCATGGCAGCAGGCCCACGTGTTGCAGACTCGTCGATCCCATTGATCTGTGATATGGCCACCTTGAAGTGGTCTTGAAATCGATGGAAATCAAGCACGGCTGGTTCCAGCAGGCTTGGGGTGCGGCCATACATGATCTCTCCGAAGATATATCTGATGTCAGGCCAGGGAACCTGTGAGTCAATAGACATCAGCAACCCCTGACTACCATCCCGTCTGGTAGCTACAACGCTTGCAACGCATGAGAGCCGAGATGACATCTGCCTTGCTTGGCATGTCTAAGCTTCGGACTTCGCTGCCGATCTTCTCAGAGTTGTTGAGGTAATTACACAGCACCTGCTGGACCAAACCGGGCTAGTGAGAACAAGCAGTGAGTGAGGACACGCTGCATTGCGAAGCGACACATGGGAGTTTCCGAAAAGAGGGGACCCTAATATAGTACCCTAATTAGTAGGATCCTTATTATAAGGATCCCAAAATAAGGTACCCCTTATTTTCGGAAATTCCCATATCACATCAGGCGACCTGCCTGGGCGCAGATCGTGAGATCTCCGTCGTTGAAGGGATACTTCTTTGACCATCCCTGTGGTCCAAACTTGATCCTGGCAAGAAGAGAAGGGTGTGCCGGGTGGACCGTCTCCGGATGTGCTTGGACCATGCCCCTTTTGCTGTTTTGGGCCCGTTTTTGACGCATGCCTCAAACACCATGGATGACTAAACGGCTCATCTTTGCTGCACTGCACTCGGCACTGTGATTCTGGGGTGGCCTGCCCAAGACAAGGGCGTGAAAGAAGCAAAGCGCGAAGAGTGTTGCCTGCAGCAGCCATCCGCGTTGGAGGTCCCAGACATTGCATCTTGGAATGACATTACGTTTTGTTTTTTGTTGAACACCCTGGTGTCTTTTGGAATTTCGCCTCCAGACTACCATGTTGGTTGAGGGATGGGAGCACACCATTGGTACAACAACACCTGGATGACAACCTAAAGCCACCCAAATGACATATAAGCACCACCACTCAGTGTTCCCATATAGCTGGCCTCCCTCCTTTCTAAATACCAAGCGGTGATGTCACGTGGCCTTGTACTCGCGGGGCTTATGACAGGCATCAACCTGGTCCTGTTCGGGAACGGAAAGTCGATACTGAAGAAAAGCAAACCTGACTAACTCTGCTCACTGTCCTGTGAGAACTTTGCGTACGAGCGCCGCAGGTTCGACTTCAGGTCAGTCGGTGCCTGGTTTGGTACGGAATTACTTCGCGAAGCAGCAAAAAGTGCATCCTCAGGTCGTGTGATTTCATGTGGCCTCGTCCGCGATCTTGATGCATTTCTGCAGAATCGCCTGTGCAGAACAGCATCAACAGAACCGTTCTTGCGAGGTGTAGGGAGCACAAGTTCTCCAATCTCCTAGACCGATCTGAAATTTCTGCATGCTTGCTCTCGTCGCCTCGGGCAGTAGTGGCCAAAGCGGTCCCTGCAATGCGCTGGGAGGCTCTGAGGTGAGGATGCACCTTGGCCAATGCAACCGTCTGCGGCGGCCCTCGCTCTTTCTTGACTCCGTATTGGGGTCTGCTGGGCTTGCGTGCCGGAAGTTCGGATGGACAAACTCCTCTATCAACTCCAGCGACCGTTCCAGCTGCTTCAGCCATTCCTGCAGGAGACGGGGGCGGGCTTAATGGGTGGCAGGCCACCTGCAACTAAATCCAGAAACAAAGACGCCTGCATGAGATGGATGTTTTGCAACACCACCCAGTGCCCATCGCGTGCGCATTTGTTGATGGCATTGATAGCAACCTCATGTTCGACCCAGCGAGAAGTCTGTCTGGAAGGGATGGTGCTGTACCGGGGTACATGTGTATGTATCAGCCTAGCACCGGCAGCTGGGCTGCAGGCGTTCTCTTGCCCCTGGCCCATGGAGATGTTATGGAGGCTTCCAGCAGCCTGCAGCAACATCGAGAAGAGGAAGCGGTTGGCCAATGCGGCGTTGATGTTGTTCATCAGCAAGCTCGAGCAAACTCTATCTATCGCAGCAAAACTATGCGAGGAAAATATCGGGGGACACATTGCCGACTGCTTCAGCACCTCAAAGCCCAAGACCCTGAAAACCGAATCATGAACTGTACGAGATTGTGTCGTCGGCCCCGCCTGCGTCAAGCCCAACTCAGCGGCTGTTGCTTCGATGACTGGGGTCGGATCTGTCCCTCGGAGTGTTGCGACACTCTGAGACTACTGATGCGGCAGCTCAGTTTCTGCTCTTCGAACCTAGCCCTAAACCCCCATGTAAGCCCCCAACCCCCTAAACCAACACAGGTTGTACTTGAGAAACACCGCGCTATGACAAGGAAGCGAGCTCGGGTCTAGCTTGGGTTGTACGGGTTTCGGGTATAGGGTTAAGGGGTGGAGGGTTTAGGGCTGAGTTTCGGTGTTTCGGATTTAGGGTGTCGGAGTTTAGGGTTGTGGGTTTAGGAGTTTAGGGTTTGGGTTGGGGCAGCCGACAAAATAAGTGCCAAGACCGGAACCAGGGAAGAGGACGAAGAAGATGGGGGTGAGGCACGTCGACTCCTCGCAGTCAACGGAGCAGTCTGTTTGCAAGAGTAACTCGCAACCATCACCGTTACATCCTGCTCCTCGCCCCGAACACAAATCGTTGCTACTACCACTACTGCTGCTGCTGCAAATATTACCACCACCACTACTACTACTGCTACTACTACTACTACCACTACTACTACTACTGCTACTGCTACTGCTACTGCTACTGCTGCTGCTACTGCTACTGCTACTGCTACTGCTACTGCTACTGCTACTACTACTACTACTACTACTACTACCACTACCACTACCACTACCACTACCACTACGACTACTACTACTACTACTACTACTACTACTACTACTGCTGCTGCTGCTGCTGCTGCTGCTGCTGCTGCTGCTGCTACGACTACTACTACGACGACTACTACCACGACTACTACTACTACTACTACTACTACTACTACTACTACTACTACTCCTGCTGCTGCTACTACTACTACTACTCCTGCTGCTGCTGCTGCTACTACTACTACTGCTACGACTGCTACGACTGCTACGACTACTACGACTACTACGACAACTACGACTACTACGACTACTACCACTACAACTGCCACTGCCACTGCGACTGCGACGACGACGACGACTACTACTACTACGACTGTTGCTACTACTGCTACTGCTTCTAAACACTACCCTTACGACTACGACGACGACGAAGAATACTACGGCTATTAAAAGGAACTCACAGCAGGCACTACACGTGTCAAATTCGATTTCTTGCCAAAATCACCGGATCATCCTAAACTCCAATTGCGAAGCGATTCTCCCCTGAACCATGAAGCACCACTGCCGATGCTTACTGTTATGTTGGGTACCGCTAGAAGCAGTATGATTAACGAGGCTACCTGTGCAAATGACAACTGATCGTAACACTGCACACGCAACATCCTCGTAGACTTGGTTCATGTCAAAGGGACTCTGCTCCACAAACTCTTGACCTCAGATGACCGGAGACGGTTTGTGGAAGGCTCACTCTGCTCAACCGCTCGGACCGACACCCAAGTTGGCCTGCACAAAGTGTGTCAACGCAGAACCTGGCTCTGCATGAAGGGTATAGGCTGCTAAATTACTTGGGATTGCCGACGAACTGCCTCCTCTCCTGATCTGCAAATGCAATGCAGTGCACAGCAGGCCGTTGCAAAGCGACATTTTCGACATTCACGCCCTGCACTTGCTCTTTGACCTCGGGTGCACGGTCCACTGACATGTAGGCACGAAGTTTGCGTGCACGCACAGACATGCATATACACAGACTTAAACCGCATTAGGACTCGGCGTCGTGAGAACGCTTTCTCCGTCTTGCTGGAACACCAGCCTGTAAGGCTTGTGCCTCACACCACCAGCAATTTGGACTAGTAATAAGCAGCAAAGTCATGGTGAGGCAACAATTGTGAGCAACAGTATCTCAGAGGCGAGCGAGCTTCCTTCGAAGCAGAACCTCCTGCTGACGTTGCAGCACCTGCCGTGAGCTGGATCGGACGGCTTCGTGGCATGCAGACCGTTGCTCCTACCCAAGTAGATCCTAGGAGCAACACTCACGAGCAAGCATGGTGTGTTTCCGATCCGCCTGCTCTCCTTTAAAGGGTCTTCTTGCATACGATTATAGATGGGCCAAGCCGACAGCACAAAGAGAGCTCACGGAAATACTTGAAATGTCCTCGGAGCCGACCTGATCCGCTGCCGCGGCGGTGGGGCTCGGCCACTCGGACTCCAGGATCACTTCGACTCGCCAGCCAAGCCTGGCATTTCGTAAGCGATGGCGAGGGCCGCCCCCATTAGCCCTTCAACTTGCCAGGAAGTCTGCTCCAGTTGACGCCTGCCAAGCAAAACAGCTGTTCCATTCTTACCGAGCTCGCAAGTAGCCAAGCAGCGTACCTCTGCAAGTCAACGAGAGGGTGCATGAAGGTGGTTCCTCCGACATACTGGGACAGCACTAACATCACGCATCCACGCCAGCAACATCGCTCACGGCAGTCGCCAAGCCTTCCTCCAGGTCCTGACAAGATGGGCTTCCTGAATCTTCCATTCCATTTTATTATACTGTAGTATTTGATTTTACTGTAATATAGTATTATACTATCGTATAGTATATCAAAGGTGGCTTTAAACGATGCAGGCTGTCCTGCAGCATGCCGGCCGGCTGCAAGCACAGCACGACGGTTCCGAGATCCGGGAGGCTGAGCGGAAGTTGCCTCCAACTGCGGTGACCACTGGACTCTAGTAAATCTAGCCTAGGGGCTGAATTCTGTAGTTAAGGATCCGACATGTGCTGGACTCGCTGCCCATGCTCCAGCCTGATCGTGGGCGCTTCTCACCTCCTCCCCCGCTTATGTGGTGATGTTTGGGGTCTGTGTCTATGTTTCACCGGCGTGAGGTGCCTGCACCCCAAACGGGCGAAGGCTGCAGCAACTTCGGCCTCCACCTTGTTGCGTGCAGACAGTGTTCCTAGGGTCCGAGGTACTCCAGCATTGACAAAACTCTCGGGGCAGGGCGGATGGTGCAATCGCTAGCATTGGCTGGGCAGATGCCACGTGCGATGCCAGCTCCAGCGCTGCCTCTCCCACTCAGCCAGGGCACCAAAAAGAGCTACCCCGATCAAGAAGTGCAGCACACGGGTCTTCGGTGCGCCCGGAGCCTCCTCTCGAGGAGATAGATTCACATGCCACCAGCGCGGTGGACTGACAGCCAGAACTGGTGCATAGGGCAGAGGCATTCTGCCAAAGATCTCAGACTGGTTCGTGCCATCTTATCACACATGCTCTTGGCAGTGCCTCCAAAAATGTCGCCACATTCCCCTGCAGCCTTCCCACTTGCGAACCCCAGGACCCCTGAACAACAAAAGCCGTCAACAGTCAAACCGCTCCCGGGCGCCTGTGCTTAAGCAGCCAGGCCTCAGCTGCTCTGCACCCCGGTACGTCCGTGGCTAAGAGATCCCAGAGCACCCTTGGTACGAGGCGATGTCACAGAGAGCAGCTTGGATTCTGCTCGCCCGCGGCTCCAGGCCCTTAGATGAGCTCGAGCGGCGCATTCCAATCGGCATTCAATGAGACAGCCGCATTCTCTCAGGATCGAGCCCTGAAGCCCGGGGAGACAAAGTCGCGTAAGACATCTGGCAGGACAGGATCGTCTTTTTCAACACGAGGAAGGTCAGAAAGTGAAGCTTCTTTCCGTCAATCCGACAGCATCAACGGTGCCAAGGCTCTTCCGAGCAGTCCCGGCACACGTCCTGCAAGCCCCCAGCCGTGCAACGAAACACAGGCGGAGGCAGGCCAAGAATGGATGAGCAGCGGTTCGTACTGCTAGCAGTGCCATTGGGCAAGCTTGAGCCAATTAAACCAGAAGCCAGATGCATGAATCTGAGAAGCTGACGCAAGCTCGATTCGCTTGCCATGGAGGGCTCCTGACGTGGTGACGTACTAGGACCTGCACTGCCAGTAATGATAATACTGTGATGCGAAGAAGATACATCCGAGTACTGGTGAAGAAAGGCGAGAGCAGCGTAATCCGCAATAGCAAAGGCCGCTGCCAACAGCAACAGCAGCACCACCACCAGCCACAATAACCAGAATCATCACACTCGTAGCGCCCAGTCCTCTCAGTCCCTAAACCCGAATCACCGCTCGCGTGGGTGTCTGTTGTACTCAAATAAAAACCACTACAGTATCTTATAACGGCTACACCCCGGTCCAGCAAGAACATGGAGCGGAGCAAGGGGGCGGCGGCTGCCAGCGGAAGCTGCTTTGGCCTGCGAACCAACCAGGAGCTATGCTGTCGTCGACTCATGCGGCTTAGGCTTTAGGGGTTTAGTAGGGGTTTAAGGTTTTGGGCGCTATATCACTGCAGACATCTGTAGTTAGATATGACTTACGGCATGTTACCATGCACATTGATACTGCCGACACGATGACTACAGCCATAATCAGACCTAGGTCATGCAGACACGATGCCCATGCTGGCGATAGTATACTTCAGCGGCAAATCGCAGAATTGCTCGTGCTAGTCTTATTGGCGGTGTACTCGCTGTTGCTGCTGTCTTGGTAACTGAAACATACTGTGTTCACAAGCTGTCACCTGAATCATTTGCATCGCGGGTAATCCTGACTACTATCCTTGCAGCAAGTGTCACTGCTCGAATTTAATTGTTAATGAGTCCTGGCCTCCACAGCACCGATAGCGCCTCATCGACCCTATCGCAGGGGATAGGCACCCTTAGGGTCGAGAGCGCCCGCAGAAAGGCTCCAATGGCACCAGCACTGCAGCGCCGCAGTGCGCCTGTTATGTGTCGAAGTGCTGACTTGGGGGTGGAACCCTTTTGCATCATTTGTTGGGCGCTTCTTGTGCAAACTCTCGATACCTGGACATAAATGCTACTTCGGAACGACCTCCACAGACTGGAAGGTTCTCTGGTACTGCACGTTCGGTCCCAAGCAGCTTCAAAAACGAAACGGAGATGACGCGCATCTGGTCGCTAACGGATGTTACTATGCCAACGTGGCAGGTTCAAGTTTCCAAAACAGTGTGGTAGAAAGTATGCCGGTTGTTGCATTAGAATTCCGGCGCCACGCTGCATAGTTGGTACTTATGTGCCATTGATTGCACGAAGTTTTGGTAACATCTCTGAACCCAGCCAGTGCATGGCGGGAAGGTGTTTGGCCTTTGTTTTTGTGGTCGGTCTCCTGATGGCTGTGGTGGGTGCACGTGTGGCGTGCGCAGGGTTCTCGTGGTTTCCTTCACCGTTTTTAGATCTGCACTGGCAAATATTAATACCTCTGATACTAAGTCGGTTGTAAAGCATATATACATTGGCTTACAGGTTCTTACAATAATACATAGGATGTAAAGGCAAATACACGGCCTTGTGTTAGCTGCGTGACGGCAGCTTTCTCGACACCTCGATGACACCAGCCTCAGAGTGCAATGGGTCGATACATTGCTTTCTCCACGCTTCGGAGGCTTCCGGCTTCAGGCAGTCAGGGAGTCTCTGGGCAAAGTCACGAGTGTCTGGACACTCTTGCGGAACCCGGCACGCGCACCTCTACGTGCCAGTGCGTCAAGGAGTCCACACCACTGAATGGGAGCCAGCTTGCCACTTCCAAGACATGCCTGGCTGTCGAGCCGAGCATTCCCTGATTCAATCGCTGAGCTACGAACTCTTCGGCAGCAGCCGAGCCTCTATGAGTTCAAGTCCCTCTGAGCGCGACAACCGCCGGGCGCCTGCAGCTGCAGTTCTGCAGAACACAGTGAGGAAACCCCGACAAAAAAGCTATCACCTGTTTGCTGCATGTCGGCTGATCTACTTGGCCGGGAGCCGTCCATCTGAACAGATCGCCATGCAGTGCGTCTCGAAATCTTGACTTATGCAATCTTCAGCCGAGCTGCCGAGGCATCTCTGCCGAAGCAATCGCGCTGCGTCGGCAGCCATGCTGGTATCCGGTGGCCAGTACAACTGTGTGTCATACTCGCTTAGAGTTTCAGAGCTCACGTCTATGTCTGGGTTGTTCCCTGCTGAGTCTTGCAAGTGTCATGCAGCTCATGCGCGACTTCTTAAGCACCACATGCTTCTGGGTGACTCCCGCAATCTATCTTCGCAGCATGAGATCACCTTCGATGCCTGCAGGACTGAGCCTCGCTGTTTGCTACCAGTAGCAATGAAACCCCCGACTCAGCTGGAGGACCTATGCGGTCCGGCCGCAGCACGCGGAGCAGGAACAAGCGATGGAACCTCGCCATCCACGGAAAGCCTCACCTAGCACCCAGCAAGACTGATCTGAAAGTCCGAGGACCAGACGCAGAAAGCTCGCGGCAGGCTCGAGGCAAGTCTGCAGCCTGAGTGGAGAAGTTTATGACCCTTGAATTCATGTGTTTACAAGACGCCAGACAACTCTCCGCCTCAGCTTTCTCCTCCGCGAACCAGCGCTTCCAGCCGAGGGAGTCCTTTAGCAGGGATCTCTGGCCCCGAGGCTCCGGGCCGCAAGGGCCAGGACACGCTGAGAAATCAGAGACGAAATCCGTCCTGCTCCAGGGTGCTCGTGAGGGCGTTGGAACCTTGTAGCAGGCTTAAAGCAGGACTTCCAGGACCATGGCCTGCAGTGCCCCTGTGACGTCCATATGCGAACTTTTGCGTATAAGCCCGGCACCAGTCTTGAAAACGCTGATCTGCTCCAGAGTCTTCAGTTGCGCCCACCTCGGGAAAGGAAGCTGTGCAACACGTTTGCAACGCCACAAGGATGGGGTCGTAGCTGTTCTGCACTACAGGACACGATCATGTCTGCAGTCCAGGCAGTCAAAGGAAGATCCGCTTCAGAGCTGAGTTCACTGCTGATGCTCTGTGAGCCAGCTTCTGGTTGTGTCCGGCATAGGCGACGCCAGGGGGTCGACAGGAGCTCGTATAAGAACTGGCAGCGGCTCCGTGCAGTGTGCAAACTGGTACTGTGCTGGTGTTTTTGGCTACTTCGCAGTCTCCAACGGCAGGGACATTCGCATATTACTGTACCTATAGCCATACACCGAGCCTCCCTCAGTCTAAGTCCCCGAAACTACGAGTACAGTACACAGCGCTGCATGCTTCCTGTGTGCCCCCCGCCAATTTCATGCACCTATGAAGAGACCGAAGCTCCCGGTCGAGACAAGCAGAAGGTAAGCGGCGTACTGTTCAGCTCTTCCGGATGTACTTCTCCAGACCGCACCAAGATCTTCAACGCCAGCATCGAGGCCACCTGCGTGCCACCGCCGTCACGACGCAGCGGTAAAGAGTACTTCTATGTATCACAAAGAGTCAGAGTGGAGGTGCTTGGTGCTCAGGGTGCAGCCGTGAGCTTGTCCGCATCCAACAGTCCACGCCCTGGTTCACAAGAAACTCTCACGTGCTCAACACTTCGCTCGCGCAAGGCCCATGCGCAAGTAGGCGAAGACGGCGAATGTCACGACACCCTTCAAACCGCTCAAATCGCTGGGACTTTGGCGGAAGTTCACAGGATCAAAATAGCAGGAACGATGCGCCTCCAACTGCTTCACTCGATTCGTGAGCTCCTGCCCTGTGAGCTCCACAATCTCCTCTCAAGCTCTCGGGGGGCTAAGCTGCGCAGCGTCAAGGGAGCGCAAGCGAGAAATCTCAAAGAGATCAGTTGGGTCTCTCCTCTTCCTCCTCCTCTTCTTCTGACTTTGCGACAGCGTCAGCACCTGCATCGTCCTGGCTGACCTGCAATTGCAACTTGGCCCCGCAGATAGGGACGGACAGCCTGACAGAGTCCACGCAAGCCTGCTCCTGCAACCCGTCCTCTTTCAAGTCTCCTCTGCAAAATCGGAGTTGTGCAAAGCTTGGCTGCAGCATTAAGACTTACAAGAAGCACTCCAGTCTGCACAGGCCCCGCAGAGAGCTTGTCGTACAAGTATGACGGGTGTCTCCTTCGACGTCCATCTGCTCTGTGGTCGGTATCCGCTTCTCCTTCAACATCAACGGCTCGAAAATTGGAGCGGGGGTGCGCCGGGTGCAACTTTTGCGTGACTGTCGGATTAAAGCAAGAATGGCCGTATGTGGCCGACACAATCACCATCAACGTCTATTTCGCCTGGGGCTTGTACTCACAACTCCTTCGAACGGTAAGAGAACTTGATCCCTGATTTCAGCCTCTGCGAATGTCAGAATTTTACAAGTGGCGACCCGGAGAAGTGGTTGCTACGAGTAGCGGCTGATGACTGCAAGGTGCCTTCTGTACATGGGGGCGTCTTCTCATTCCCTAAGGGTCCATGTGCCCAAATAGTATATACTTTGGCCCAATGTACCTTAACAGAAAATTCCTTGAAGGCCAATGATGTACATGTATGTACACGGACCCTTTGGGATTTGCTCCATCATACTTCGTCATTCATGGCTTGTGGCCAAGTGAAAACGGCAACTGACTCCCGGACCTGAGCTCCATATCGCATGGACAAGCGTGTACGGGTCCGCTCTGCTGAGGAGATGGCCCAACTCAGGGAACTGCTTGCCTGTCCGGGACAACTTTTTTCGAGTGCTTGCAGTTCCAGACAGAGGAGTTTCCGAAAATAGGGGACCCTAATGTCGTACTCTAAATAGTAATAGGATCCTTCTTATAAGGACACCAAAATAAGGTACCCCTAGTTTCGGAAATTCCCACACTGCTGCGGCATGCGGCTGGCACCTGCGCTCCTTCGGATAAAATCGGCCTGTGGCTTCGCCAGCTGTATTAAAAGTCAGTATGAAGATGCTCGGGCAAGTGCGTGTGTGCGTGTGCGACTATAGAGACACATCAATCCGTTTTTGCCTTTGAGCTTGTCCTTGACACGCAGGTTTGTAGATTTGTTTAGTGCTTCGTACTGTAACTTTAGGGCCGCGCTCCGAGACTAAGTAACTAGGATCGTAGCTCAGGCCGGGACTGGCGAGCCAGGCCCGTCTGCTTCTCCACTTCGGCCCAGGCCTTCTTCGTAGCTCTGCGGTAGCGCAAGGCACTATGACCCAGAATGAGTTGCTGCACACATAGGAGCCAAACCTCCTCGGGAGGTCGCTGGTTGATGTGCCCCGGCCTCGGCGTAAACAAAAGGCTGAGATAAGTGAGACAGAGTGAAAGAAAAAGAGAGAGAGAGAGAGAGAGATCGGCCCCCTGCCCGGGTACCCAGGGAGGAGCCCAGGATAGCACCAAGGCACGCTTCGTGTGAAGACCTCGGCTTCGGAGCACCGGTCACGAGGGTGATTTCCGAAGTGTTCCGGCGGTTAGAAGCAAGCGGCCAAGATTTGAAAGAGCCTGCTGCTCCATTGAAGGAAGGATGTGCTCCATGACCTGCAGCCGATGTGGCGCATGACAACACACACAGCATGTCAGGAGTACGTCTGCCAAGTAGCCTCAAGGCAAAGGACGACATCACACCCAGCATCCACGAGCTCCAAGTCTTGGGCATCCAAGCCTCATCACTGCTACTGCGATCTTCAGCACCCGCTAACAGCGACACGAGTCTTTAGGATTTCTTTAGGTCGTCACGAGCATGCCGCACCGCACCTTTCGTGATTTCCTGCCGACGGCTTGCGTTTGGCTTTGCGGGCCCACACAAAGCATGCACATGAGGCAATCCTCCACACCGGGTATCGCATCGAAGGCATAAGCGCTCACCAGGCCTGTATCCTGCATTCTGCAGCTCTCGGTACTTGGCAAGCTGCAGCAACAGCCGTCTACTGCGTTCTTGTTAAGGGACTTGATTAAGTTACCATAATAAGGAAACCGTATCACTCACTATAGATCCCTACTATAATAATTTAAAACACATTCCTTAACATTCCCTAACAAGAACCCAGTCTAAGGACCCGGCATTTAGCCACTCGGAGTAGTGGCCGCCAAAGGCACCCAAGTCACAGACGATGTCACCCTGAGCAGGCAGACTGCAACAGTCAGGACCTCTGTCTGCGTGATCCATGCTGATGCGCACAAAATTTCGTGAGCTGTGTCGCAGTCTTATATATATATATATATATATGTAAAGATACCATCCATGCATCCATCCATCCAGCCAGCCATACGTCCATACGTACATACACACACACACACAGGTGTACCGGACAAGCTGGGTCACACAGCTTAGCCGCCACGGTGCAACAGCTGTTCGCATGCATTTGCAACACATTTCTCGCACAGCCAGCCTTGTGCAGCACCATCGAGAGCAAGAAGCGCAGGAGGCCCTTGTCCAAGTGCCAAAGGCTTCCCCCGGAATGCAAGGCCTCCGAGGGCGTGCTACTTACGCCACCGACCCCTGTCAAATTATCCTGGATGCCGGGTGTCTGACGCTTCGGAGCTCCAAGGTCCAATCTGTTTGCACATCGCCCTCCATGTCCACTTCCGATGGCTCCTGCAAAGGCTCAGCCCGAAGCGTGTAACTGCTGATAGACACACGATATATTGGGCCCAATCTAGCTCCTGCCACAGCAACGGCAAGGCGTCTGTGAAATTTTCCTGGCCGCCGCGTCGCATCTCATCTCCGTTACTATGTCATCCAGGACGGGTGAAATGTGCATATGTATCAATAGTATAATATATATATATATACACACATATATGTATAATATATGTATATACACACTAAATAAATATATACACATACTTTTCGGGTCTTCGGTCGGCCACCTGGCCGTCGCCGAACGTCTGCTCATGCCTTGGTTTGGGAAGCTGTGCCGTACGTTGTAAAGTCACCTAGACTCCAGTGCTTTCTCTGTTTTGACAAAATATTTTTGCGGTTTTAGGGTTTGGTTTATCTGGTTTCAATGGCCCTCTTTGCAAGTCAGACTTCTTTGAGCTCAAGAGTGGTCGGATTCGTGGCTGGTCATTGCAGCCAGGGGCTGCGTCTAGGTCTCACGCTTCAGGGTTCAACCTTCACGGTTTGAGGGAAGCTCTCCTACAGTTTAGCGGACGGGAGCCCGTTTTAGCCTTCTACTACAGCAGCCAACACCTCTGTCCAGAGTCTAAGGTCGCACGCCTGACCTCTCTTCCGAAGGTTTGAAGCTTCCCTGCCTTCTGCCTGCCCCTGAACTCTAAACCCTGAACCATCCTGAACCCATTCTGGGGTGTCTATGCTTTCCCACCCGACATTGACCTCCGAAACATCTCGGCCCAACGGTTTCTAAGTTTCGTTGTGAAGCTTTCCCAACCAGTGCCACTATCTCCTTTACCGTTCGTGGTGGTTGACCCAACATCCCTTCCTCCTAGCTTTTGCTCTTCACGATACTCCTTCCGGGGTTCGAAGTTTGCCAATCAGCATCTCCTGTCAGCACTTAAGAGATGGTATGGTTGATGATATAAATCCTGCACTACCCATCATAAGGAGTATACCATAATTCCCATAGCTTAGGGTCCTTAAGTTAATGCAGGATTTATATCATCAGCCGTATCAGGCCTAGGGTTTCAGGAAGCAGCACAGCCAAAGTTAAGACGCAGCCAAGTCTGGGCTCCCGGCAGGCCCAGCCTTCGGAGGAAGTAGCCATCGAGCTTGGCCAGGTGGAAGAGAGTCCAACCAGCCTATGGGCATGGGTTTAGGGCTTAGATTATAGGGTTTAGGGCTTATAGGGATTATAGGGTTTAGGGCTTATAGGGATAATTGGGTTTAGGGCTTATAGGGATTATAGGGTTTAGGGCTTATAGGGATTATAGGGTTTAGGGTTTATAGGGTTTAGGGCTTATAGGGATTATAGGGTTTAGGGTCCATAGGGGTTGCAGGGTTTAGGGATGGGGCACAGCAGTGCACAGTGGCATTTCTCCAGTTATGTGGCCCTGCGGCACCTGCGCTGCTATGTGCAGAGCCGTGTCTGCATGCCATTGAAGCCCGTAGCCTGGGCGCTGGAAAAAAGCAGAGAGCGCCCTCCGCTGCAACGTGCCAGCTGTCTGGCACTGGTGACTTGAGCTGAATAACAATTAGATGCCTGGCAATGTACGTCTTAAACTCTCCCAAGCCGTCAACCTCACACAGCAGCTTTCCCCTCGCACTGCTTCAGCTCCAGAGGGCTGAGGAAGATTTAAGCAAAGGATTATCGGTTGTAAAGTAGCGACACTGAAGACAGCCAATAGCACCCGCAAGCTGCAGAAACCTGTGAATGTGCCAACCAGGAAGTTGAACAAATTAGGGCCGGGGGGCTCGGGGTATAATAGGGTCTATGTGGAAGCTACAGTTCGGGCACTTGCGCAGATCGGAATCCGTTTGCTCCTGCGTCGCGCACGCTTGCAGGCTTGTGAAAACTTGAAGTCGCATAGTTCGAATCAGGATCGCTGGATCTGTAAGCAACTCGTCTACGAAGCCCTGCTGTATTGTTAGTCCAAGCTGCTGTAGAAATGCCCCCCGGATTCTCGGCTCCCAACAAATCTCTAGAGCGTTAGCCCTCAGATATTCAGACAAGCCTTTAGACCCGATCCACCTTTCCAACATCACGACACTTCAGGACGGGTCCAAAAACTAGCGGTTTGCACGTCCTCTGAGTTCACAGGGTTCTAGGGTTTGCATTTGAAAGACTGAGTTTGAGGGAGTCTATACACACAGAAGCGCAGGGGAGCGCTCAGCTGAACTCTAGCGATAGGAAACTGCCACAAGGAATAATCATAACAACACCGGAGGCAGGAGCACAAGCAAGGCATGTTACCCAAAAAAGCGCGGTAAGGTGATAATCAAAAACCTGAATATTCCATGATCAAGAGCATCGTACTATCTTCACCAAACTGTGACAGCAGTTTATCCTTGTGCTGGCTTGCCTGCTCCCGGGCTCCCACCTTCCCCCCCCCTAACTGGGGAGTTTCCGAAGAATTGGGGGTACCTTATTTTGAGGTCCTTTTCATAAGGATCCTACTATTTAGGGTACTGTATTAGGGTGCTTGAACCTCGTCTGAGGTATCAGCGAGCATGTGCTAAGCGGCGGAATGCGGCAAGCTGCCAGCGCATATCGTTGACCTCAGCCAGCGCACGAGGCAGCTCCAACAAACGAAGCCGGTGCATGCCTGGAGGGATATCCGCTGCAACTCACAAAAGGTGACAAGCTGAAGCAGTCGAGCCTGTTTTAACATGCCCAAGGGGCATGGGAAGTTACAGGTAAGACTTGAATTAGGCGGGCACGCACTTCAGAATGCAGGAAGCGGCCCGGTGAAGCACGGCCGGGCAGAAGCACCGGCATCCACCCGATGGTGCACGAAACCTTCCTCAGGCTTGTGCCCCTGGACCAAGCTCCGTCCCAGGCTTGTGAATTTAACTCTGAAGTTCCGCAGTTGCAAGCAAAAAGCAGTTTACAAAGTGACCGCAACAAGGCTTGTGGGCTGTACAATTTAAGCGTATTGCATGCCGCGATTGCAGCATGTGTCTCTTGACACATAGCAATTCCGTTTGTGGAACAGGTCTTATCCTCTCAGATGAGACTAACATGACTTGCATAACGGTCTTCAAACTTGCCTTCTTTACAAGCTTCATGGTGCTGTGGTCGCTCTCTAATTCCCAGCTGTTTCTTCATGCAAGCTCCAAACAGCACGCGCCAGCCGAGTCTGCTGCAGCTTCAATTCATAAATCTCCTGCCGCAGTTGCTCGGCCTCCTCGCCCTGCTTGCAAGCTAGCGCAGCTAGCTGATTGCGTCTGTCCTCTATTGCACATTGTACTAAGGCCAGGCTCATCTCTGTTGCTTCCATTGCCAGTCGCTGGCCATGGTCGTGCTCTTCACGGTCACCATCGCCATCGCCCGGCTCGCCCGGATCACGGTCTGGCAAGTACATGGTCGTTGCTGGAGCGACCTCTTCATCTGGGTAGCCGAACCACTCCTGAAATGCGTCTTTGGACTTCGGTCGCCGAATAAGCTGTGCATTGCAGCCCTCGGCCTCAGCATATCCGTACCACTCTGCATACCCATCGACTTGAGGCTCTGGGTGCGGCCGAAGGCATTGTAGTGCACGGCTGGGCATGGCGCTAGCACGGCCAAACCGGCGCTAGCACCTTCCTGTCAACTTGTCTCGGCTCGGGCCAAGAAGGAGCTTCCACAAGAGAGTGGGAGAGACGGATTCAGCTTTGGTCTCGGTCTCTCTACACAACTCGCTGTGCTCCCCCGCTTCTGAAGTCAGCTTCTGGTGGTCTCCCAGCCTGAGCTGTCGTGCATTTCACTCGGCACACAGACTGCACAAAACACCGAAACACCGGGTGCTTCGCACTGTCAACATGGTCTCTTGAAGCTTTCGACCCAGAGGCGTCATCTGGCAAAGACGAGAAGCGAGAAGCGTGTGGCCGCTCCATGCTGGCCAACTAAGAGCGCGCTCGAGATTTTTGGGGTCTGGGCTAGGCACGCCGCCAGGCCGGGATTGAAGTCCGTCCGTTCAAGCAAGCCGAGGAAAAGCCTTGGCTTCCATCTGCTCAGAGAGTGAGACGCTGCATGCACGGAGCGACAGCGACATCTGAGGAACTGGCCCAAGCACTGCCTCCAGCGCAGCTAAGGAAGCAAAGGCTTTGCCTGGAGCATCCACGAAGGGGTTCTCTTCTGCCTGCGCCTGCCAGAAGTCCTCAGAAGCTCACCGGACAGAGGCGGCATCGTAGACCACTCGGAAGTCCCGGTGGCCATGGAGACCGCTTCGAGCACTTCCACCTTTACGCGCGCCAGAAGAAATGCGCACACAAAGCTGCAGAGCTCTGCTCTCCTGCCTGCTTGTGGATGAAAGCCATGGCCTTTGGAGGTACAGTCGTAAAGTTTACTTTGCTTTCGGCCTAGAGCATGCAGCGGCCGATCTGCTGTATCAGAGTTGCCCTTTCTCAATACCCGGATCCCCGGAAAGTCCGAATACAACCCACGGCCACCCTGCGCAATGTCCTTTCCTCTGAGGACTGTGCGTGGTTCACCTCTTGGAAAAGGAGCGGCCTCAATACCGACAAACTCAAACCCAAGCCCATCCTTGCTTCATCCATGCACCCTGGATCTACCCGAACGTTGCTGCATGTCGTGTTGTGATTCCAAGGGGCTTCTTGCTTGTTCCGAGCGCTGAGGGTCCGGCAACAGACGATCGATGCCTGATCAGAGACACTAACTGCTGTGATTGAAGCTCCCTGAAATCCAACACAATCAATGGAGTGCGTCCTGCAGGGTCTTGTGTGCTCGCAAGAGCTGAGTCCATGGCACCGATAAGGATCTGGCACAGGGCAAAGCCTGCAGAATGGCACCAAAACCAAACACCTGGACACCATGACAGGTGGGTAGTTGCCAAAATTAAGGTCCCTTTTTGGGTATCCCAAATAATAGGTGCCGTATCATAGTAGGGACCCAAAAAAGGACCATAATTTTGACAACCACCCGGGCGAGAGACTCACGGTCTGGGCCCGCAGCGGCCGCACAGAGTCCGGACGGATCGTGCACGAGCTACCTAGCAAATGCAAGCGAGTTCACAGTATCAAGGCCCCTGTCTGGCCCTATCTAGTACTAAACATACCTGCACATATTGGGGAAAAGCAATTCTTCCCCAATCTATTTAGTGCTCCAAACTAAACTGCCCTTGCAAGCCTGATGCTTCGCGTCGTGGCGGCGACTCCCAGCTGGCATCCTCGGGTCAGCAAGCTTCCGAAGAGGCGACTGTACTTTGAGGTTCATGGCTAGTTATAAGCAGGGTTCTAAGTAGGGTAACTATACTTATAACCCATATTGGGGGACTTGTAACCCCACTTCTAGCTACCCATGAACCTCCAAGTAGCAGGCCCCGAACACAGCTACGATGAAGAGGTCCCAGGAGTTAGGCAGCGGATCTTCGCAGCGTCACTGACTCACATGATTCACAGGCTTGTCGACTAGAAAGCTTCATCGCACGACCACATGGTCAGCCCATGGGTGGCCCGTCTGGCAGCAGCAACTCGCATCATTGAACACTGGAGTGGATGCTCTGGTGACGACTGGGGGATCGTCAGCTTCTCGCTCTCCCAGGTGATCCTGCTCTCATGCGCTGGCATGCAGTGGCATTTTTGGGGGCTTGAACAAGACATGTAGCGTTACCGGGCACAGCATCGATCATCTAGAGTTGGTGATGACAAGACTGGATACCAGTTGGCGTCCTCCAGTACGGATTCCAGCTGCTCCTGCGAGAAAAGCCTTTGCATCGAAGGTCCATCACCGTCACCGGTGCCAATGGGCAGAACTCGAATGCAAGCTTGACATGATATGCTTTAAGGATGCATCCCGGGGACGGTTCATAGCGTCTCCCGGCCGCCAGAAAAAGGTCTTCCACAGACACCTTGCAAACATGCTTTGCCAGCGGACTGCATCGAAAGAGATGAGAGCTTTAAAGAGAAACACCAAGCCTTCAGAGAGTTCTCGATTCTTGCCTACCATCCGAGTCACGCCAAGTCTACCATTTGAGGTGGGTATTTTGGACCACATATCGGCGAACACCGAGGCCTCTAAGACATCGTCCGGCGCCTTCCCGAGCTGTGAAACCGCGCTGGACAAGTGACTTCTGGGAACGACCATCACCCAGAACGTGCCTCTGTGATGCTCGCTAGCAGCACCTGCCAAGATTGTGTAGCGGACTGTGCTTCGCTGCAGTGATGAGCTTGCGGCTTGAAGAGGCTTGAGGAAACTTGAGCGACGAGCGAACCAAGATGACGACGGCCATGATATTCGTATGATGACGATTGAGAGCTTATGATGGTGATCTGAACCAGAAGCTTCCTGTGACCAACTTGTACTTGAGAGCACGGACGGGGACGAAAGCTTTAGTTGTGTCATCATGGCCTTGCTTTTGTCCATCATTTCAACATCCCCGGTCTTCCCTCTGCCTCGCTGAACTGAACCCAAGCCTAGCCAACGTGTGCTCGAAGGTAGAATATGCGACCACGAGAGGTCGTCTCCTTTCTTCTACGTTTGACCCAGCTGTCCACGCTGCATCATTCGGATTTGGCATTTCGCATCTTGACGAAACTTTCTGGCCACTCGGGCTTGGGGCCCTCGGGGCCAACATCGGCGGTGCACGACACGACGCACGCCCTAATGTGCTGGGCTCCTTCGAACAGCAGCACACTCGGCCGATTCGTGTGCCGAAAGAACAGCCGCGCATCAACTGGCATGTCACATTCACACCGGAGGCTTTTATGAAACGGACTGGCTGCAGCAGATGTGTAAGCGGATATCCAGAGATTTGCAGCCAGCTGAGACAATGCCTTGCCTTGCCCACGAGTGTCAGCCAAGCAATCGATCGGGACATGGGTTGGCTGACTAGCCCGCTTGACCTGCGCAGGAATAGGCAGTTTCGGGAGCCCTGATATGCCCAGACTCTGTCGCATCTCCATTCGGGGAACTCTTGCATAGCCGGCCGGGCCTCTCCTGTGCATGCCGGCATCCCCAACCGAGCCCCCAGGGAAGAGACGCGCTCTACCTGGTGATTCGGAGTTGCTAAGCGAGCATCTCATACCTGCTGTCCTGATTCCCGAGCCCAAGAGGCAGCTCGGAGCGGCGTAGACGGGCACAAACTGCGAAGCTCGTGTTTCCGAAAAGAAGGGACCCTAATCTGGCACCCTAAATAGCAAGATCCATTTATTAAGGGCCCCCAAATAAGGTACCCCCAAATTTCGGAAACTCCCGCAGACTCTTGCTATGAGATAAAGGCGCGCACCGTCAGCTAGCAACGGTCGTAGATTCTCGTCGTCTGTAAGTCTTTACTACTGCCTCGCCTTAGGCACGGACCCGGAGTTCCAAGATCACAAGTCACATGGGTGGTTGTCAAAATTAGGGTCCCTTTTTGGGGTACCCAAAATAGTAGGTGCCGTACTATAACAAGGACCCAAAAAGGGACCCTAATATTGATAGCCACCCACATGTTTTTGCACTACATGTCCATTAACCGTGTAACAGATGGCTCCTTTCGACTACACGGTGCAGCAATTCCGACAGCATCTCCTTCACCTTGCGAAGGGTTACCAGGGTGATGGCGCGCGTGACGACCATCACAAAGGCATCCAGGGAGTACCTGAAGAAGCTTGCAGGGCATTGTTCCGACAACGCAGGTTTGTGCGGCCAGGGCGCTTGTAGAATGAATGCATCTTGCATAACTCCATCATCAGGAAGAACCTTAATGCCACCAAATGGGTAATTCTCAAAATTTAGGGTCCCTTTTTGGGTACCCTAAGTCCCTAAGTATTAGGTGCCGTACTATAATAGGGACCCAAAAAGGGACCACAATTTTGAGAACCACCCAAATGGCTCCAGCGGGATCCTCTAGAAAAACCTGGACTTCGGAATGGGGCTCATGTCTGGGGGTCTCACAGCAATGACCCGCGGTTTGCCACGAGGCGGTAGTTCTCCGAGACAGTGTTGATCTTTGCCTCAAAAAAGCTCGCAGATCTGCTTCGCTATAGGTGGCACATGGAGGCTTCCGAAAATAGGGGACCCTAACATGGTACCCTAAATAGTAGGACCCTTATATACTATAAGGACCCCAAAATAAGGTATCCCATCTAGTATCCCTAATTTTCCCGAACTCCCACATGTCCGACAGCAACGGCCTCTGTCGTCTGGGCGACCTTGACCTTCTCCTGCAGTTCTGGGGATTAACTGGCAGACCTCTGCAATTAGGGGTACCTCCTTTTGGGGTCCTTATATTAAGGATCCTACTATTTAGGGTACTACAAACTGACTATTTGGCGCGATTCCTGCTGCGGCTTCGCATCCGGATGCGGTCATCCCTCACAACAACATAACTTCAGCAAGCCCTCTCCAATGGCGTATGGGGCAAGCATCGTTGCCCCACCCTCTCCCCTCCTCTTAGTGTGCTGAGCCTTTGATTCGGGTTTCGTGTCACCCGTTGGGCTTGCTACTACTATGAACTCTTTATTGCTTAATATTCCTGCTATGATTATTCTTAGCATGATTAGTATTATTCTTATTACTATGACTATTCAGTTGGCGGCCTTAGCGTGAACGGTCGACCTCTAACTCGCCTCGTGTCCAAGCTGAAACTGTCAGGGATCGCTTTACTCCGCTCCAATCCTTGAGGAACCCCAACTAACAGGGTTCAGGGTTTATAGGTTTTTTTTAACGCCTTTCTCCACCTGCCTATTGGTCGGTAGAATCCACGTCGTGGAAAGCGAAACTTACAACCTGGGGCTCTCGGTTTATAGAGTTTAGGACTTAGGGTTACCCAAAACAAAAAGACCCTTCACCGCTGAAAGGTTGGTTTTCGAGAGCGGACGGGTGCTGGCGCCTCTCCTGTGGCCTATATACTCAGACGCCCCGTGAAGAGAAGACAATCGAAATTCGATAGCACGACTGACAAAGTCATACAAGGTCACACAAAAACCACGAACACCCCCGGTGAGACTCGCATTACACTGCTGCTTCATCCATGCTGGAGATTGGGGATAGGCGCATATCAAGAAGCTAAGCCGTATGAGCCGCAACGTTGCAGTACGTCTAGCTGGCTGTGCCAACTCGGCTCCTTGACCTCGTCTGAAGTGAACTTTGCATCCTCAAGGCCGAACACCAGCTCAGTGTCCTGCGAGTGGCAGCATGGCGCGGGACACCGGTGCACAGACCCACTTGGCCTTATTTCGACTCGTGGTGATCGGGATCTTACCCGGAAACACTCTTTTGTTGAAGCTTCTGGGCACATTCAGAAAATGCCGCACCAGAATGGCATGAATGGCTGCAAGACAAGACGCAAGCACCGACCGTTTGCCCACGATCTTTTTCGCTACTGCTCAGCCAGTGCCTCAGGCACAGGGGTCCGGGCTGCCTCAGCAAGTTCACGACCGTGTTGGGCGAAGAGCTCCTTAGCGAAACCAAGCAACCCCGGCGCAAAATCCAAAGCTCCACATAATTACCAATACTATTTTGGGGCTTCGTCATTATACAAAAAGTATAATGGGCCCCAAAACCCTATTCTACTTGTTAAGCCCCCTATATTAAGCACTGTCTAGTCTGCATCTGGCGTCCGCTTGGAGGTGAACTTCGGGAAAAACGGCCCGTCGTGATGCCAACTCCAGGCCGGGGCAGCCCGAGAGTCCTTACTGCAGTCTGTGTACATATGGTACATGCCATGCATAATGTCTGATACATGGAATATAACATTATATGACGAATATTGCATATACCCGATTCACCTGAGTCGGCAGCTGGTTGCTAGCAGTACTACTAGAAAAACTGATAGACGAAGTCCTCGTCCTCGTCGCAGTATCACTACCAGCAGTAGTGGTGGCGGTGGCAGTAGCAGTGCTAGCAGTAGCAGTCGTCGTCGTCAGCGGTGTTTGTATGCCAGTACTATAGACACCACTACCGCCACCACCATCGCTGCTTCTTCCTCCTCCTCAGTCCTCCTACTCAAGCACTGGTACTGCTTCTGCTACTGCTCTGCCACAGCTGGTCTACTACTATTAACACCACCAGCACCACCGCCGGCAATCCTACTGCCACCGGCATGATGATACACAACGGCAAGTACCACAGTCATGACGGTTGTCATCGCCATCATCGTCATCATCATCACTGTCATATACCTGACCAAGATATGGTCGCCAAGATATAGTCGCCACACCTTCCTTGCTGGTCTTACTTTTTCAAGCCACTGTACGAATTTCTACAAAACAATGTCTAGAGCAATCTACTGCCGGCTACGGCTTGGAAGACGCTGGTGCAAATCAGCCCAGGGTCTGCGCGAGAGCCACCAGAAAGGTTTCCTTGCACACGGCAAGGAGAGGGCTTGGGTGCATGGTTTCCTTATTATGGTAAGCCTGTTACGCTCGTAATCATGTGACGAGTCTGGTCAGGCAAGCGGCTCGAGGTTGTAGCATGTCTTGGCGCTGGTCCTGAAGCTACGCGGAATCACGATGCATCATTACTAACAACAAGAATGACAATATTGATATTATCTGTAATATTAGTATGATCTTTATTATTGTTGCTACTACTCTTATTATTGTTATTAGTACTATTATTACTAGTACTTTTATTAATGCTACTGTCGTTATTATTATCCCTACTAAGTCTCAACTTCCTTATGGACGAGGCTGGTCTGCAGGCAGGGCTCTCGAAGAACTGGAGGCGCCTTTTCTGCTGGAAGGCGACCCGGGCTGACCGGGTTTGCTCTTTCCACTGGGCCCCAACATCAGTCCTAGGGTTGGTGATATAGATCCTGCATTACCCATAATAAGGAATACACCGAAAATTCCCATAGTTTAGGGTCCTTAAGGTAATGCAGGATTTATATGATCAGCCGTATTCCATGGTTGTGGTCATACTAAAAATGAAGATGTCTATTCCTTACTGGGTTCAAGTACCCATAAAATGCAAAATGCTACCCAACTATGACACAGAGTCTTGTTGCCCACCAGCACAACCGGGATGTTGCCACAGAACTTCTTGATGTCTCTCAAGCAGTTGGGCACACTGCGCCTCAAGAAGAGTCGGTCCAGAAAGAACTCAGACCGTCACACGACATCATCTCCAGGCTCCTTGGGCTCAAGCCAGGATGCTCTCGCCCCCATGTCATACATGAGAATGGCTGCCTTCGAAGGAAGAGTCCCATATAATCATCGATATATTTGCTGCCAGTACATCACATACAAGCAAGAGCTGTCCATGTGTTTCTAAGACTTTGGGCTGGAAGCCTGGCCCTGTCCGAAGCCGCGCTCCTCGGCGCTGGGATTGAGCTCCCACACGTTGAAAACGATCCTCGGTAGGAAGCTGGGATGTAACTAGGCTTACCTTCAGGGAGGCTGTCCAGCTCGCGTTAAAGGAACCAAAGTATGCCTCAAAGTATTGCAGCTGAGCGGGTTGAAGTGAGCTGCTCTCCACATGTCGTAGCGAAGCGCAGCGAGACCACCTTTGCAGGGATGGATCATGCACCATATGCGGAATGGTCGTTCCGCCATGCCCCTTCACTGCTCCAACTCCAACTTTCCTTTCAAGCAGAAGCTTTGCATCTAGAAAACCTGGTCTATGGGAGCTTTTCAATTCTGCCTCTGTGTCCCGCGCAGCTCCACTCCTGCACTTTGCAAGCGGCATGCAGCTCACCACTTCGGCGCCTTTAACTTTCACAGCGACTGCCTGTTCTGCACAGAGCGCATGCAATCTGCTGCACTGGCACATCATCGCTCCTGGAAAACTCACCTGTTTGATGCCGGAGAAGGAAGGAGGTCTTTCCCACTGCCTTCTCACCGATTAGCAGGATTTTGAACCTAGGAAGCGGAAGTGTCTGTCATGTCAGAGTCAGCGAGAACTTTCCCGGTTTGTGGGTACGTCTTGCCTCCCTGCATGCGCACATGCGCACACCAGTAAGTCCGGCGCTCGGCAACGTGCCGAAATGACCGCTGGGCAGGGCCTATGCTTGCCGTTGAGTCTTTCGTTCCTCAAAGCCACAGCAGTCGAGGGAGCTCTCCAAGTATCGCAATGGCGGTAAGTTCGGAACCGACAGCGAACTTCTCGCCAATCTCGTCGATCACTGCCTCGACTGCTCGATTTGGTGTGGCCCTGCTTGGGAAAACGGGAGGCGCGGGGAGAAACAACAACCGTCTTCACACTTTTATCACTGCCCTGTTTAACGAAGCAGTCCTGTGAGTAGCACATGCGTGCTTCTTGCTTTCGCTGCATAGGAAACAAAGCGTTGCTGGCTTCTCGCCTAAGGGCCTCCAAGTAGTCTTCGTTGTCGAAACGGTCCCACTTCGCCTCGATAGAAAGACTGACGCTTCAGATCCCGCACCATCTCGGCCTCGCGCTGCCATGCCTGGAAAGCATCGAAGGCAGCTCGACCCTTCACCTCCGGAGACTTGTCACCTTAGTTCGAAGCAGCGACTCCTCGAGTTAACAAAGCCTCTCTCCGCATCTCTTGTTTCACAGAAGGCTTAGGGATGCTGGGGGTGTGGCTGACCTCCTCGACGCGCTGCGGGGCGGCGCAGGATTCACCTTGCAGCGCCATATACAGCCCCCTTACATGAGTGCGTCGGAGACCTGTGATGGGGCTAAGTTCCTCACTCTTTGGGCGATTGTGGTAGTATCCCTTCTTGGCGACCTTCACAGCCAAGTGCTCTTGGATCATCCAAACCAAAGACCTGCGTCGTGCATGGCCTCTTTGAGAATGGCCAAATCCTCTTCGTCCAGATCATCTTCGTCAAGGCGTACGACGCTCATGGCTCATCTTGTAGCACATGAGAAGGGGGCGCAAGATCGAAGTTCATTAGTTCAAGTTACAGCGCACTGGACGGATGTTGGCAGCCTGTGCTGGAGTCTGCATTGCTACAGCATGAACCATGACAACCAGAATCCATCTATATTAATATTAGTAAAGTATTTAGTACTAGTCTCAATACCTATTGGTATCGGAACGGTGCTTGTTGGCTGCAAGCGAAGGAATCCAGGAAAGTGGTGGGCCATGACCTCAACCTATCAAGCCAGGCTTCGGATTCGAGCTGAGATGCGGTCCCAAATCTTGCGCTTGAACCCTAGACCCTAAACCCTGACTGCTTATGGCTTAGACCCTAAACCCCAAACACCGAGACTCTCCGAAAATCGTAGCAGAGGGTCTAAGAAGATGTTCCCCCACTTGGAGGATCATGGGACATAGTACTTAAGGTTATAAGTATCTTAATTGGGGTTACAAGCATAGTTACCCTAACTATAACCCTAGTTACTAAGTTCCATGATCCTTTAACTTTAACCCTAACCCCCCCTAGATATAGATCCCTTATAGATTCCTTTAAGGAACCCTTTAAGTCCTCGAGAATATCACCCTCTGCACCAGCGAGCTTCTCGAGGAGGTAGGACTCCAAATCGGCCAGCCGCACCTCCAGGGCTCAGAGCTCTGCTCTCTTCCTGCAAAAAACAGTCCCTCATTACATGATACTACATTACCTGATCCTTTTTTCGTATTATATTAATTTGCAATACATTGTCCTATACTATGATCTTGTATCACGACAATATAAGTACTATCTTTCTCCTATTCGTGCGGTGCGGCCTTGAACTCGTTCTGCTGCTGGATCAACTCCGACTTCGTGCGGGCCAGGTCCGGCCTCCAACACTTCGTAGGTCTTTGCAGGTTTAGGGGGAGGGTGTTTTGGGGCTGAGGGGGTGTCTTGCTTAGGGTTTAGGGTGTAGAGTTTGGGGTTTACGGTGTAGTGTTTTTGGCTTAGGGCTTTTTGTTTTAAAGCTGAACGGGCTCCAGGTGTAGGAGCTAGGTTAATCGTATTCCTTACTGATTGATTGATTGATTGACGGCCTGTGGGTGCGAACACTCGCGCACTTGCAAGGCAAAGGAGGCTGCTCCGTGCCGTACGCAGACAGCGCTCACACACTGGACGACTACGAGGCAGAGTTGGGGACAGCTCTGAACAAGATAAGTAGCTACTACTGTACATGGCAAGGACTACAGAAGAAACTCAGCGCAAGGGGAATCCCAGGGCTGAGCACTGAGAAAATAGGGCACAGATTCCTTAAGGGTTAATCAGATGCCCCCACCTCTCCAGCTTCACGACCAAGAAGAGGAGCTGGTCCTTTTTGGTGGCTCTGAACCCGTGTACACTCTACTCTGCACTCCATTTTGCTTCCCCCGACGGATCATAGCCGAGCCATGGTCGGCGAGATTACGGAACCCGAGCCCTCACAAGTTAGTCTCAGACAGAGCCGACGTAGCAGCGGAGCCCAGAAGGTTTCTGAAATGGAATGCCAACAGATCGGAACAGCGCTTCTGAAAGCGATGCTCTTTCACTTTATGGCATGCCCTCCGTCAGACGGGCTTATGAAGCTTCTGGGGAAGAACTTGCACCGTCTTGCACACATGGGTCCTGCAAGCCTTGCTCCGTAACCGTGAAATTTATCACGGTGCATTCGGCCTCGTCACGATGTGCAAGGAGGAGGAGGACGTGACAGTATCTACAACGAGGCATGCAACCATTGCACAGGCCAGCTTTCATAACAAGCATGGAACACACTGCAGCTCGTTTTCGCCACTGCCCGCTAGGTCTTACCACTGTAGGTGGCGGATGTCTCCAAGTCCAACCTCAGATGTTCAGTGCTGCGCAGGTCGGCTTGGAAATGAGCTAGCGAGCAGGAACCCTGGCCATTATGGCCCACGGCAGTCGTTCTTGCTTGGAGAACGTTCTTACATTCATATCACCAACCGATGCCCGTGGCCTACGTTGCACACCAACCCAAAACACCAACATGAATTCCAAAATGTGAAAACTCAACTCACAGTTAATTGCGTCCCGAGCAACACGCCTCTAAGCTCCTTTGGCTTTGGCAATCGGATGCGAGTAATGCCTGCGAGGTTAAGGTTGGATGTAGTCAGTACCCAGAGGCTCCATAGTAGTTCCTTTTTGGGATTACCTTATAGGATTCTATATATGAACCCCAAAAAGGAAGCCTTAGGGTATCCAGAAGTATCAGAGACTCGCTCTGCGCATCTTCAAGGTGGAGGCCGCCTTCCTTACGCCCTTCGCGGACTTCTTCCAGTATGTCGTTTGCGTGCCGCGCTGGCCTTAGGAAGCACCGATTGAAAAGAGCGCATCACACGCATTCCGTAGGCCGTAGTCGCAACAAGGCACCTCACTGCCGTAGCTTCAGCTTGCTTCGGCAAGCTTCAAGCCACGTTGCCACCGTCCCAGTTGAACGTATCTTCTCGCAAAATCAAAAGCGAAGTATGTCTAAAGTCTAAAGCGAATAAGGCAGGATATGCAAGAGTACACACAGGAGCTCCGAAACAATTAGCCATTTTCACCGCAGGTGTTCTGAGTTGTCAGGGCTTCAGAGACCAAGCAGAAAGTAAACTTGCAAGTTGGACGCCAGCGGGGGTTGCACATGCGGAACCGAGAACATGCCTCCCGGGACAGCCATTGGTTGAACGAGTCTGCATAGTAGACCTGCCTTTCCACAGCCGCTAAGAAGTATCTACCGAATCTACAGTACTGCAGCACTACGATGATGTGGCAGCTGTAGTCGTACAGCAGCGTGTCCCATCTTTTGCACACCTGAAACCAACCGCAAGGACTAGCAGCCGAATCCTCGAGTCCCCTGAGGCACGTGCACTCCCTGGCGGGTCCCAAGTGTCAGGTGTGGCACCTGCATTTGACACCACAGCAGTTGATGCTAGTCTGTGTATATACCCCCGATCCTACTACAGACGGAACTATCTGAATGACAGTGGCATTGGCAATGAACGGCCCAAACAACACTTTTTGCCACTGAGTCAGACCACATCAAACTTGAGCAACCTCTCTGCTCTGCCTTGCTCCCACAAGGGATGCTTTTTGGGAGGTCGACGAAGGCGCATGCCTTCGTGAACGCGAAAACTGAGACTTTAGTCAGGCTCTGAGGCGCCTGCAGTGTTGTAGCTTGATCGATCGAGAGCCACACAACGTTCTCTTCGATGATAATTTCCGTCATCTTGATGGCGACCGTGCAACCTCGAAGCACACATGCAGCACTCTAAAGCGGAAAGGGAAGCTGCAACGTAAAAGACTGGCTGACCATAAGAATCAAGTGGTCTAGACAGTTGTTCATGGCAGTGAACATCGTCATAGTCACACTTAGAAGGAGCAGTAGCAGGAGCAGTAGACAAGCAGAAGAGCAGCCATAGCAGTGGCAGCGGTAGTAGGAGGAGGAACGACAGAATAGCCATTTTTTGAGCTGGTAGCAAGAGTAAGAGCCCCTGAGCTCAAAAACTGAAAACCTAGTGATTCCACTCCACACGCTCTAACAACAACGACAGCAATGCTAGTGATAGTACAAACTCTTCTTGGAGATCATGGGTAGTTATAAGTAGGGTTGTAAGTAGGATAACTATATACTTATAACCCATATTAGAGGACTTATAGCTCACACTATGACGCGTGTGCACGGCGCAAGCAGTGCGACCCCATGAACCTCCAAGTTGGCCCCCGCCTCGGAGCTTTTCCAAAGTCTGCTTGGCCGCTTGGAACTCTGAGGTGGAAAGGCCTGCCTGGCATGGACAAACCCGAAGGAGCTGGGACTTCTAAGTGGGTGTAGTTACCTATACTATTTTGGGGATTCCTTACCACAATGATAGTATAATATGGGCCCCAAAACTCCTTTTATCCTTCCATCATGTTTTGGAAAAGGCTTAGCAGTATCGTCTTTGCTAGCAGCTTTTCCAGCGCTGCTCCAGCTTTTGCTCCAGCTCCTTGTGCACAACCGTCATTGAACGTAAACCCCCAAATTTTGAACTATAGAAGCCCAACTAATTACCCATACTATGTTGGGGGGTTCCTTAGTATACCCCTAAACCCACAGGTGTTGAACTATAGACCCTTAACTCTAATCTCGAGACTACTCCGCAAACGTGGGCCGGGTCTGCCCGAGCAGCCGCGCGCTCCTCGGATCCCTCGCCTGGCAGGTGCCAGAGTATCAGGTTGTAGGGGCTTACAGAGTTTAGGGTGATCGGAGTGTCGTATATCGTCTCTTTCGGGATCTGACGGAACGCTAGCATTGGGGTTTGATTGAGTTTGGGGATGAAAAGGGTTTCGGCTTGTTCACGGGCTCAGAGTCGTGTAAAGCTTGGCTTTATCCGGCGCAGTCGTAAACATGTGACAAGAGCAAGTGCACGAAACAGCGGGACTAGTGAAAGACCATGCAAGTAGCTGTAAACGTGTCAATGTTCGTGATAACACGAACAATGAGGATGATGGTGAATGAGTCTCGTAAGAACAACAGTAAAGTAAGAGCTTCGTGAATAGTACAGTAGTTTTACCAATGACAGAAGCCAGTAGTGCCGTAAGTAGTGTTACTATGCACTGGACGAAGTCATCAAATCACCACTGCATAGTGGCAAGACTCCCTCACTCTTCTTGCAAGTCCGCACCTCCAATGTAGAGCAGTGTGACATGTGGTCGCACCTCGTGGATGCTACTTTTGGGGCAGATTCTTCTTAGTAAGCACGCCGTGCAAGTCTTCTCCCTTCGACTTGCAAACCTCGGAGTTGCAATAGCTTTCTGGATTGAGGACTAAAGCCGGACATGTGACAACGGGCGATTCTCTACACATGAGCTTATGACCTAAGAACCGAAATATATCATAGATGGGACCGTAATTTAAAACCGTAAGTAGTAGGATCCTTGTTTATAAGGACCCCAAAAAAAGGTACCCCTTATTTTCGGAAATTCCCATGAATTGATAGCCACTACCATGCCAGACCACCCTTGGAAGTTGCTCCGACTACGTGGTAACCTGGCATCAATTTCTGGACATCCGGGGCAAGCACCACCGGCAGAAAATTCCGTGGTAGCACGCCGCGCTGGGAGAGCACCTGCCAGAGGCGTATCCTGTAATCCTGCATGTTCATGCATAATGATACGACAGAAGACACCATATAGTTGAACTCCAACCGACAAACGGTTGGCTTACAAAAATGTCCGCAGAAATGCCTACGTGGAAGTGTAGTCGAAGAAGTGTGACATTCCATGCGATATAGTTTGCCCTGCGACATTGCAAACTGTGCTACCAGCCGACCTCGTAAAAACATTGCAAGCGGTTGCAGTACGTCATCCGACTATGCGGAACACCGCAATCGGACCCTCCTACCGACTGCTAGCCGCAAGCACTCCCGGAGGAGACAGCGTCGTGACAAGATTAGAGTGTTCTGAAGAAGACGAAGCTTGCCCGTGAACGCTGCCAGACCGTGCAGCCACGATGACAAGCTGGCGCGAACAGCAATCGCATATAAAACCCGCAATCTCCGCCCCAGGATCAAGCCTTCAGCACATCCGGCATGTCAATACGCCAGAAGAGCGGCTGTGGCGGCTCAGTCCTGGGACACTTCGTGCCACAAGCGCAAGGGACGCACATCCGAGGCTCTGCCTCGATGTCTCCACATCCCCGACCTCAGAACAGCTTTGGGCCGGGGACCTCATGTTTTGGGTCTGCAGGGCGTGTTGTCGCTGAGTGATGCATGGCGGACATGACCTAGGACCTAGGATTACACGATGGTATAGGTATGGGTGTCTGGATGTCTCTCGATAGGATGAATGCATTGCCACAGCTACATATACGTATATATGATGATGATGAGGATGATGATAGGCATATACATATAAAATCTAACGTATGCATCTGCATGTGGCCTGCGAGTACTTCTAACCCTCTATGTGTGCAAGCATGGGCCTGCATGTAGAGCTGAGTGGGGTCGTGGGGGCTGTGCCGACAGAGTGCAAGCCACTCAGCAGCACTCCGCCGTTGGCATTTAGATTATAGCGAAACTGTTCATGACAGCAATCTATATATCGTCATTGCTATAGCTCCGACTCCTGACATGTAACAACGGAATGGGCTTGATAGGAGATTTGGTGCAGCAAGAACTCGAAAGCTAGACTCCTTTGAATCCTGTTGAGGTTTAGGTTTAGCTAAATCTGGGTGGATGACCTCTGTGGTGCGCTTGGCGCGGTGTCGCTCCTCGCAATGGAGTCTGTCGGCCTGCACCAACAGGGGTCTGGGGTTTGGGGTTCGGGGCTGAGGGTCCAGGGTTGAAGGGTTGCAGTTTTTGGTTTTAGGGCTCGGGGTGTTTATTGTTTGAAGGGCTTAGCGGCTTAGCGCTTCAGATTTATGCTGTTAACAACCCTTTATAGGTATATAGAGGTATACGGAGCAACCACAAACGCGGACAACTAGCATGCCACGTGAACAACAAATTCTGTGTTCCGTATGCAGCATCCCGTACCAGGACCACGCACTGTATACAGCAATACATACTGCAACATCAACCATACCAGGAGCAGTATAAAATGAACTTTCAAACCAGATCGAACACAAACAGCTGAGCAGTTGAACACCATGTCAAATGGTTGACGCATTAGAAAGGTGTACGGCGAACTAGATTTCGTTTCTGAGACACAATAAAACTTCCGGAAAGCGTGGCGTGAAAGCTGGGAAAACATCGGAGCCCATCAGACCAACAGTTTGAATTGTGCGATTGTTATCCTAGGGTCCGGGACAAATTGTGAACTTCCTGCACGTCCGCCGGTCGACTTGTGCAGCAAGCAGGAATGTACGCCGTAAGTCCAGTCCATCAAACCCGAAGAGCAAGACTCCAAAGCCTAAAGCTGCAAGGCTGCAAATAACTGTAATCACAGCAAAGCCAGCACTATAGCAAGAGTATCAATGAGGGCAGCGAATTGCTCATGTCGACATTCTGAGAGGTGCTAGGGCCCGCGCTTCGACTGCTCGAGAGCCTGCGCGGAAGACTTGCACAGACAGTGCAACTGATGTCTCGAACGGCTGAACAACCTCGATTGATGTTTAACACATGTCGCCAAACTCTGGCCGAGGTGCATGCATCCAGCCAGTACTCGTCGGCTTCTTGCCGTGCACGCTTCCCTGGGGCTTCGTGGCTTGTGGGCCTCAGCCGGCCCATCTTCGCAGCGCAAGAAATCAAACTGAAGACTACTTCAAGGTATGATGATTGCCTTGACCCGAGCGGATGGGCGTGCAGTGGGATCCGGTGAGATCTTTCTAGAAATGGTACATGTATTCCGGGAGGCTCATCTCCCCGATCCGGCGGCACACACCGCAACAAGCTTCCTCGCCTGGTCGCGGCTCGTTTTGCAAGCTTTGCCTCGGATCAGTCGCCGGGAGCAGCGAGCAAGAGCTGAGCTTACTGTAGGAGTTAGGATTAGATGCCTTTGAGGGAGCCAGAAGTAGGGTTAAGAAGGGTCCCCTTTAAGGGGCCTCCGTAATACTACCTCGCATACTGGGTGTTTAGGCTCTGTGCTTTAAGGCTCAGGATTTAAGGGGTCTGTGTTGTATGGTTGAGGCTTGAACGGCTCTGCGTTTCATGGCTCCTCGTTTTAATTCAGGGCTGTCTTTTTATGGTTCAGGGTAGGCTTTTTTGGTTTTCGGGGCTTCGGGTTAGGCTTTTAGGCGCCCTGCCTTCGGCTGCTTGGAAGGAGCTGCAGGCACCGATGGAGTCGGCGCCGTCTCTATCAAACCTTCCGGAAGGCATCAGCTGGAGACAGGCCAACCCGTAGACCTAAAGCCGCGACAACCGCGCGAGACAGCCGAAAAGGCAAAATCGTATGCTTGAGCATCGGAGAAACTCCCAGCAACAAAGCAAGTTGAAGCACGATCCGGGCTGCTCTTGCTTTACTCTCTCATCACAAAACTACCGTGAAATGAGGTACCTAAATACCATTCTGCAAGTGGGTCCCAACTTGCGATGGCATGTACAACTTTGAGCCTGGGCAGATGCCAACTTCAAACTATTCGCACTACGCGCGGTATTCTGTAGTGTAAACGGGCTTTGCCTTTGACAATGGTCAGGATGGCGTCCGACGCCTGGTTGTCAAAATCATGGTCCCTTTTTGCGTTCTTAAGAAAATCTAGCACCTAATATTCAGGGTAACCCAAAAAGGGACCATAATTTTGATAACTACACATGTGGAAGATTGGTGCAAAGGTGAACCTCTCCATTCTGCTAGGAGCCCTTGAGCGCCTCCTCGGTCTTGCCCGCCAAAGCGAGATGCACGCTACTCTGCACATCCTCCCTGGCATCGTGCAACGCATTGCAAGACTGAGCTCTGTGTTCAAGAATCCCCTCAGTCCCCGCCTGGCAAGAAGCCATCGTATAACGTCAGCCTGGAAGGAAGGATGACTAGTGATACACCGCCAACATGGTAATCAGTCCAGCATCTGCTTGCCTCAAGCTTCGCAAAATCATCGACGGCGTCGCTACCCATTCTAACCGCCCTCCTGGTCGTAACTCATGCTGCTTTGCCTTAATTTGACCACATTCACAAGCAGCCTGCCCAACGCCTCCAAACGGCGGCGCACACGGAGGGCTTGGCAACGGAGAGAGCCAGCAGCTTCTGTGGCTTGCTGACTGCTTTGCTTTGAGCTTGCTCGAAAGACTTCTCTTCTTTCAAAGTGCTTTGTCGGTCGTTGCCGCAAGCCGATGTTATCGTTAGTTCCGTGTGCCTCCAATCATCACAAAAACAACAGTACAGCGAGTTTCTGTAATGGCCACAGAGACTACACCAGAATGCATGCTTAGCCAAGTAGGCTGCGCGTCGGCTCCATGCATCATCAAGTAACTACCGCGAGTTCAAGCTGGACATGCGCTGTGCTTCCACAAGTTGTGGGGAGCTGGTCAGCTTCAATTGGCCTGAATCTCAGGAGGATAGTGCGGGTTGGACAGCTTCGTCTGCATGAAGAGTCGGAACTTGTCGTTGTAGCTGATCTCCTCAGCACCGATCGTCTGGACATGTCTTTGCGGTTCCAGGCTGGCTCGAAGCGGAGCGGTTGCTGCTTCGCGACTCTTCGACCTTTGCATCAGTCGAGGTCCTTGTCTCCAAGCTTCAGCACCTTGCGCGCACCGCGCTTGATGGTGTTGCGAGCCTGGCTGGGAGCACGGGCAGGCCAAAAGTACAGCATACTACAACGCTTGGCAGTCCAGTTGAGGCGTTGACGATAACGGGCTGAAGCACGGCATCAATGTGCTCGCCCATGTTCTCGACAAGAACCTGTCTTGATATGACCACACGCAAATTTGGGACCTGATGGACGGACCGGACTTCTCCCTCTTTGGGCTTGCAAGCCCCGCATCCCCCCCTTCCGCGGCACAGGCTGGCAGCACGCTTTTACCGGTTTCGATCGACTTCTCGAACAACTGCACCTGAGCCAGCTGTCGACTCGCGATAAGGGCATGCTAGAAGTACACAGAAGTACACTCACCGTGCTCTCATGTACATGTGGACGCAGGGCCCAGGCCATTCGCGGAGCTCCCATGCGGGTGATCTTAGTGGCTGAAGTTTGCGCTCATCCCAAGATCGCATAGCATCACGTGAGAGGCGGATTCCAAAGAGACGCCACGATCAGTCTCAACCATTCCCGGCTGTTGCTTCTTGATGCACTTCCAATGCCAACATACACACAAGCATGAAGGCAGTCCTTCAAGTAGAAACCTCACTACCGTCTAACGAAGCAAAACACATCGTGGGGCCTAGCTTCTTCACACGAGAACTGTTCGAGGATCGCACGGGTTCTGAGCCCACTACAGGAGCACACGATACAAACACACAACTCACATGTCATCCATTTCATTTTGTACACGCTATCGAAAGATCTTGCGAATGCTCGGACGTTGATTCTAAAAGCTTGTACGCTCGACCGGATGACTCTGGAAGCCACATGAAGCCCCTCAGTTCTCCGAAGACTCTGCTCAGAAGGTCCTAACTAAAATTGCGTGTGGTTTCGGGCACACACCCGTAGAAAGTGGTCTGGGGTGGAAATCCACTCAGGTTCCAGCTTGCAAGTTGTTCTCGGCTTCCTTGTTCTTAATCCACACGATGCCCTGCGTGAAGACTTGACTATCAGGCTTAAGTGGAACGCCAACAGAGTTTCAGTCACCTCCCACCTGAAGTTGAGGGTCGATGACCAGGCACCATCGTTGACTGCATGACATGATTGCACCTTGTGAGTGGGGCATGGCATAGCCGAAGCAGCTTCGACTTCATCTAGGCCCTAGGCCACTCAAGATGTCGAGATTTGAGGCACGAACCATTCTCCAAGGAAACACGGTCACTGGGTAGACCATTTGCCTCAGCAGGGACAGGCTGACACACCAGGCTTTTAAGCTGCCATCAACACGTTACGATTACGAGTTCATTCACCATATCAGCCTGCCACATGCAGTGTCCTTTCTACGTGACTTGTCGACATGGCATTTTGGAGTCTGAGATTGTCACGCACCATCTCGCTTGCTCTGCTTCCGTCGACAGAACCTGATTATGTAAGGCCGATGTCTTGCCGGTTGCATCTGGTTCCGAGCACAGTGCCTGCAACGGACTGATCTCGGGTCCCAGAGGTACGTTGCGAGCCTTCGATGTTCAATGATCTACTTGCCAAGCAGCTGACAAGGTTTTTCACCTTCTCAAACTCAATCCATAACTCAAAGAAGGCAATCCTGGAGGAAGTCGACGAAGCTGGCTGTGGCTGTCTCACGATAATCTCGAGAGAACACCTGGACGCAATGGCATTTCCATGAGTGAACCGACTCGCAACCTGTGGCGACCGAGTCACGCCAAGATATGACGCAAAAGAGCAGGCCACCAAGGAATCCCCCGGAATGTAGATGAGCTCTTCTGACGTCTTTTCCACCTTGGGGACAGAGTGAAACATGTGCCATGCCTCAACCAAACGATACGGAGTCTCCAGGTGCGGCACGGTCTGCTCCCAGATGACGCCGTTGGCACCTCAAAAACACGACGGAGCTGAGGCCATGACTCATCTCTTTCGTGGCTATGGACTTTTGCCTAGGACTGTGATCCGCACTCAGTGCACCAACCAACCGCTGCGCCATGTCCAACTTGTTCTGACACCTTGGGCATCAGCCATCTGCCAGCACAAAGCAGCTCAAAAGTCTTGGCATCCTGCCGCTCAGCTTCGGCCATGACACCCTCCTTCTCAGCAATTGCCTGCGATATCTACGGACTCACAAAGTCTACTTCTCCGCTTGGAAGCCGTTGTTTCGGGCACCATCTACGCACCAATGTCACACGAGGCAATCCGCTATTGCCGACCTTTTCTGTGCGCACAGGGCATATATGGTCAGGCGTCTGGCGTTCCCAGCCCCCCCCCCCCCCCCCCCCCCCATGGTATGGTCTGACAGGGTGGGGGGGGGGGGGGCCTGGCGTGTGCGGAAAGGGGTTGGGGCCGTTGGAGCTGCCACTGGATGGTGGGGTGGTGCTGGCGGCCAGGGCTCACGCGCAAGCCCTTCGCAAGCAAGCCGTAAACCCTATGACGCAGCGCGTGCCCGGTTTTGAGCAACTTTAACTTGTACTTAAAACGCTACACCCAACCCTAAACCCCACCTAACTGCAGGCTCTAAGCCTAAAGCAGAGCATACACCGCAAATCCTCCCTAATCCCTTGTCGACTCGAAGCCTTATACCTTGTAGCCGTAAACCCAAAACTCAAAAGCTTAAGCTAAACCCTAAACCCCGAAACCCCACAACCACCCACAGGGGGAAGAGGAACCCCACACCCCACACCACAGGGGAGGGGGGGCCCCACCCTATATCCGGACCATTGACCTTTGGGGGGGGAGGGGGGGGGGGGCTGCGGAGCGCGTGACCATATATGATGAGCCCGGTGCCCTGCCCCCTTTGACCGTCAAAGCGCGTTGCAGTTTGTTCTTGATGCCTGCGGATCATCGTACGCCAAGAATGAGCTGAGCCAAGCCCTGAACGATGCGTGTTCTCAGCGACTTTACGACTCGCGAGGTGCGGGATCGCCATGTCTTGCTTGCTCGACTTGCGATTTCGCCTGCGTGGTTGAAACGTCTCTGCATGCACGTGTCGAGGCATATTGACGCGGTGGCGTTAAAGACGCAGTTCTTGACGTCGACTCCGCAGAATCGGGTGTCTCCAGATCCTAGTTCCTTCTGTCAGTCGTATTCACCTTGGACATCTTCTTCGTCTAGGACTCGTCGTTGCCATCTGGGCGTTGAAGCCCGCAAGGACCCCGCATGAGTCCACGTGAGGTTCGCCCCGAAAGCCTTGTAGGCCTGGCTGTACCACTTTCTTCTGCCAGAATTTGAGAAAACTGGCATCTTGAAGCCCGGAAAGATGTTCGAGAGGACCTCCTCCCACGACTCTGAATCCTCTGACTCTGACTTTAGCACTCAGGCGGAGCATTGCTTGCCAGGTATCAAGGAGAACTTCTTATGCAGATCGAAAGGCTCCGAGAGAATATTCACACGCGTTGCCCCTCGGACCACCGTGGAGAACCAAGTGGCGGAGAATGCAAGAACTTGTTTGTGCTGAGCGCGGAAGTGCACAATGTCATGAATAGTCCACGTTCTCTCTCCTGTGGAGCTCTGTCACTAAAGCACTCGACTCCACAGGGATGGTAATTAACTGGTAACCATGAGGACGGTTCTCCATCAACACAGTCTCGCAGGATCCAAATCCCAAAAACAAACCCGATGTCTCGGGCCAAAATCCTTCCTCACGAACGACTACAGCCAGAAAGACGTGCAGCCGCTTGGTACCGGAACAGCGTGCCATCAAGAACAAGGCGTCTGCAGCTTCTGGAAGAAAGCTGCTGTTGTTTCTTCCACCCATTGGGACTGCAACGCGTTAGAGTCATCCTGCCAGCCAAGGTGTCCTCCATGAGACGTGTAGGCCAACCTAAGCTGCAGTTCCTGCTGCATGCAGCACAGTAACATGATGTCACATGGTTCAGAGCTCTGGGCTATTTACTTCCTGCGGGGCAAGCGGCATAATGTTGGGATTGGCGCGGACCTTCTCAAAGGGAGCCCATCCAGTGCTCATAGGGTCGTCTGCAGCACTGACCATCAACAGCGGCACAGAAACCTGTTCCACCCGTCGACATGAGCTGGCATCGTAGTAATATTCATCCACTGAGTTGTACCCAAACATGCGCCGAATCAGGGCTTCATCTATGTCGAAAACCTCCTGCGCAGACTGCAGTCTGAGACTGTCGACACGTACGTCCGTTCCGTTCCACCCCGGTACCGGTCCACTTCCATAACGAGATAGCGCCGGCTGTAAGCATTGCAGCAAGTTTCGTGTGACAAAACGGCTATACACGTACTTTGTGACCCAGTGTTCCCGGGCCTGCCGACCACAACGAACGAGGCAGTGAGTGGCACAGAGGGCCACTCCGCCGTTGAGGAAGGAAGACTTCCTTTGTGAGCTGGTGCCGAACCCTTGCTCTGCAAGCGTGTTGATGAGGATGTTGGCTCCCAAACTCCAACCCAGCAAAAACACGGGCTTCTCCTTGTGTGGGGCCTCCACGAGATGGCTTCGCACATAGTCGACAGCCTCTCTCACGTCATTTGTGGATCCTCGATAGGCTGAGAAAACGCGCGGTGTTCGAAGCGAGCAGCCAGCACAGCCGCGCATGTTGAGCACACCAACCGCAAAACCGCAACTGGCCAACCTGAACGGTTGGGAGGTTTTGAAAAGATTCAAAGACCGATTGCACCTCTGCCTCCAAGAGGCTTATTGGCCATATTCTTAACGTAGCCACCCTGACTGCTCCCGCCCAGCCCTGGAAGGAGCAGCACAACCGGAGCCTTGCAACATCTTCATGGAGGGCGATTTGCTGCAATGCTGCACGGAACAGTCATGTGCTAGACATACTGCCTGATTTTGATATGGGAGTTTTCGAAACTAGGGGGACCCAATATAACAATATTATAAGGGCCCCAAGATATTGGCTCATATCGCCAAGATGATACATCCAAGTCGCTTGGCCGCCGATACTGGGCGCAGTTCTGCCACGACTGTCCTGCCATCGGCTTGCTATGTCAACTCGCGCGAGAGACCGTCTGCGAGACTTCACATGGTTCTTTTCGAAGGCAACAAGAATGCACGTGATCTCAGAAGGTCCTTCAGGACCAGGTCCAATGCCAGAGCACCACCTGACCACCGAACAGAAGTGACTGATGCACTTCCACTTCATCTGGCTTGCAACATCCTTGCAACACACTGGTCAGATGTCTTGTGCCGAAGTGCCGTCTTTGGTTGTAATGATGTGGCGCTTGAATTTCAGGTCTGCAGATGATCGGCACAAGGCGGCAAAAAGCGTCCTCAGTGACTCGGGGGCGCTCATCATGACCATAATGACTGTACGGGGGTTTCCGAGGATAGGGGACCCTAATATTGGACCATTTTAGGATCCTCATTGTAAGGACCCCAGAATAGGGCACCACTAACTTTCGGAAACTTGCACATGGGTCAGCCATAGGCCAAAACCCTGTTCAACCGTGGCTCATGAGATCACCCTGCTTGAGGAACCAGGGCGGTCGATACCAATGCTGCCACGTCCCCAAGTTCTTGATGCTGCCGGCTAGCCCGGCAAGGAAGCTGTCTTCAGAAACGTATATGCCTCAAGTCTGCAATCCGTGAAGCATCGCACACGAGGGCATAAGTGCCGCGGAAGTGCTACAGTACTCTCTGCACCTTCAGCATCTTGTGACATGGTCCCCACTCGAGGTTTGGCCTTCATTGCCGTCGCATGTCGGTGGAACGAAGGTTTCTGTCAAGCACGCTGCCGCGGCCGAGGACCGCGTGAAGGTGTTTCCTAGCGCAGGCATTGCACCGAAAAGGGATTTGGCGGAAAACAGCACCTTGAACTTTGGGCAAGCTTCGTTGAAGCTTGGAAACTCTTGGCAGAGCTGATATAGCGCTGGATCTCGGAGCACGCTTCAGTCTTGGAGCATCCAAGGGCCCAAAAGAGAGGAAGGACACGCTACTCCAAGAGCGAGCGAGCAGTCCAAGGCCAGCCAGGACTGAAGGGCGGCAGCAGAAGGCACGGGACATGGCGGCAGTTTGGACTTCAGGATACTGCAGCTGCCAACCTACAGAAGTCCTTGTGAGCTGGTGCCCCGTGCGGTAGGGATGTTGCGGCATGCGGCAGTTTGGGTTGTGAGTAGTAATTGCACCTGTGCCGTCAAGCCTTCCAGCCCTATCGACTTTAATTCACCCATTCCGGTCGACACGATTGACCCCTGAAGCCTTGCGGACCATAGCGACATTGCGGTATGATAGACAAAATCGAAGCACAGCCATCCAAGCCACAGCTGCAACGTCCAGGGCTAGACAAAATGCCACACACAGTGTGTGCCTCATCAAAATCCGCGACGAGAGTGGCTAGCCTGTCTTCCAAGTCCTCGCAAATTCTGCAAGCGACATGCCTCGTCCAACTAGCGCTGATGGATGAAGGATGCCGGCTGCAACCGCACATATCTGTAGTCCTTGACCATCGCTGTCACCTCCCTGTGGCGCTCGTTGGCTTTCTCCAGTGTTTCAGTAGCCTCTTGCAGCGACCTGAGAACCCGCAACAACACCCCGTTTTAAGGGTTTGGGAGACCTCGTCATACAGTCTATGTATGATGCCCGACTACTATCTCACTGTCTGACCTCTTTTTGGGCTCCACTTGGCAGACCACATCGTAGTACCTGAACATATCAACAGTTCTCAATGCAAGTAGCAAAAATTGGATCAGGGGGCACTTGATGATATTGATGACGAACTCACTGAGGCCTCCAGCTGCCTGGATCATGGAGTCAATGATTGGATACCGTGTGTCCGCTGCGACGTCTGCTGGGTTTCGCTGCTCTTCCACTCGCTCGCGAATGCGCTGGAACATGCGGAGCTCAGCTGAAGTGAAATTAAAGAAGCTTCGTAGGAACGTAATATATCTTGGCGGGTGAATTCAGCTGGCACGCTTTGCTTTTGCCGCTGTCGCAAACAGAATGTTACAGTATATTATTGTGTCCGGAAAAGTGGCTGCTGCAAAAGAGAATGCCGGCCATTGCCATTCACTGCTCCATATTGCAGTAGAACTATGGCAAGGCTTCTCCCAAACGGCACAGGCATATAATGTCAGAGTAGGAGCACTAGCGACCAACTCACACTCGGTAGAATTTTGGAAGCACCATGCAATGCATCGCTCGTCCTTGCTGTTTCAGGTCTTGTGTTCTTAACGAGTAGAACAAGCGGCTCCTTTCAACCACTACTTGTTCAGTAAGCTGCGGCAGTACTGGCACCAGCCCAGCCTGGGATTTCTTTTTCATGTTCTCTGGGTAGAAGTCCTCTCCAAGCCCATCTTTGATTTTCCGAGCCTGGCATGGAATGCCACTGAAGGGTCTTGGGGACAACATCGGAGACACTTTCGCAGTGCTGATCGGCAAGAGGGTAATTACTGCAAAAAGATGCGACAAGTCTTCTCTTCCACATGCTACAGACACTGACATATTATCTCTCGGCCAATGTTTACTGTCAAACCATGGCAGCTCCGCCTCTTCGACGTTCTGCGCCGGGACTTTGCCCTCGTCAATCACGAGCTTGAAGCCCTTGCAGTCCCAGCCGCGTCAAGACTACAAGCATGATGGGTAAAGGCCGTCCAGTCGGATATCTCGCAGCTGCCGGTTGCAGGCCAGCCTTCAGTTGAGCAAGGAACTTGTTCGGGTCGGTCATCATCTTCTGTATTCCTTTCCAAGTCTTGTCCTGATTCTGGCGGGTAACATGGAGGGGGGGAGCCTGGAAACTGCTGGAAGTGATTCGTTGAAGCCCAGCACTCCTTGGCCCTGCCCTTCTTATCCGTCTCAATCATAGGATCGATGCCCGCCTAAGGAAAGCAGAGCAAGCTGAAGCAGAATCTGTATTCAGTCCTGGGCAGCGCTGGTTAGCATTGCTGAGTGTGCCACCAGCAGGTGCAACGCAGTCTCACAGACTTTTGCAACGTCATCTGGTGGCCGCGTTAACGCCTCCCATTCAAGAGTCTTGGTGTAGTCACTTGCGATGTAATGCATTAAGTGCTTGGACTAGTGTCGTGCTGCAAGGGTCTGAAACATCTAAACTGTAAACGCATGGACGTGACATACTAAATTTGTGCGCATGGTGGACCTAGACTAAACTGTCGCAACAAGAGCACTGATACTAGTATCTATGCTCACGCAGGTCTAACAGTCTAACATGATTCGATGAGTGCAAACAGTACTTCTTCCATCGTAGGACCGCAGAATGGGGTAGACACACATCATATTCTGCCGAACATGCGGCCTCTACAAGATGCCTTCTTCCTCGTCGTGGTGTGTGGAGGTCGTGGTGCTGGGGCTGGTATATATATATATATATATATATATATATATATATATATGTGCATGCCGTATGCATATGCCATGCAAACCTACGTGAGCACATGGGCACCCATATAGATGCAGGTGCGAGTGGAGACATGGAAATACTGAAGTATCTGTGCAGATTTTCACCTAAGGACGGCGCAAAGGGATAGAGCCAGAGTCGCAGGACACAGTCCACTGGAGCAGGCCTTCAACTCGTTGAACTCCTTCTTGTCCAAGACATCAAGCGCTGCCTCTCTTTGGGGGCACTGGAAGTGATAGCACCCCTAGAACTCTAGAATATGTCGACATGTGTATGCATGCGCACACTGATGTGTGGGTGCATGATGCATTGGCAGGTGTATGCTTCCTTTTACAGTATGGTTGGAAAACTGCAGGAAAGAACGACAAGGAATGATGTGACAAGAGCCCGGGCACAGGGGTCCCCCAGCCTCAGCTTGGTTTACCAGCGGTAAGGCAGCATCGAGATCCTCCAGTCGGAGCTCTGTGAAACATGCTCTGGCTTGCAAGCCGTTTTTGGATGCGACAACTGTTTGCCTTTCGGTCGAAAATAGCGGCGGCCCACATCAGCTTTGAACTTCTGTAAGTATTGAGCACCCTGCTCGCATGCAGTCTTCCTTCTTCTCGGCCACCTGCCCATTGAAGGCGAGGCTACTGCGGCTCACAGCAAGAGGGCACAAATCCGAAACCCCGAAGGTGCCCTGCCTGCTGTGCAATCTGGGCGCACTTCACAGCCTCGATGTTGGCCTTCTCCGCCTGCATAGTGCCATGCGCAATGTCTGTCAGAACTTGCACGGGACAAGCAGGACTGCTCATTGGATGTTCTGCGCCATGATGCCTCAGTATTCACCTTCGTCTTCTCACGGCCCACCTTCGAAGCAAGCTCGCTGCGGGGGCTCTTGGGAGCCATGACCGGTGTTGCTGTCATCAGCACGGATTGTACTTCGTGGGTGGCAAGCAGGAAAAGTCGCTGCAACTGCCTCTTCAGCAAATGTGTCGGCTTTCTCAGCTTTCTCCTTCACGATGACCTCGAGCTCAAGGCCATGGAGCTACAGCGTCCCAGGTCAAGTACGATGCTGCAAGGTCCTGACGGCTTTTTCTTGCAAGTCTTCTTCCAAGTTCGCCACCTGAATATACCACGGTCAGCAATGCGATAAAGGCAGACCGGTGCGGACAGCGGTTGTGCCCTTGTCTACACCAGACCAAAGAGACAACCTTTGAATGTGCGGCATTGCGACTGAGGAAACGAGCCTCCTCCTGTGTGGCACGCAGCTTGATGAGACCGGATGACAATCTCGTCTTCTTGTCTTCAAGGGCGAAGACCTTTCACTTTCTCTCTTCAACCGAGGCAAAGCTCACACCCCACACTAGCGGGCCTGCTTCCCGAGCATGCCGGAATAGAGCTTGATCAGCTCCAGGAAACTTTTGGGCGTCGTGTAGGCAAAGCGTTTTTCCTCCTCACGCCAGAACTTCTCACAGAAAGTTGCATCAAGCAGAAGCAAACGAGGATCAGCTGCAAGCTGACTGGACTCCGGCTTAGCTTTCTGCGCAGCGGCCAGCGATTCACTAAGAAGGTCAGTTCTCACACCTGATCTTGCACCGTCGGGACAGGTGCCCCGGCAAGATCTTGGTCCCTAACGCTACTTGAGAAGCTTGGGATGGTTGCCGGTGTCGAGGGGTTTCCAAAGACCCGGGCGCAGAAAGCGTGGACTCCCGAACTGAACTGATGCATACTCTGACTCTAGTCCCTTCTGACAAAGAGCAGCTATGCTCGTATGATGGCTATGACACTACGAACAGGATGCATGAAAATTGGCAGCTCTCAGATGAATTATCTTTACAACTGCGTGCAAGTCTTGCGAGAGCAGCTGCAGCCTGGCAAAGGGTGTCTCTTTTGATCACTCCAAGGGGCCTAGAATTCCGGTCGCACACACTCGCGAGTCCTCTGCGACCGAGCTGTGCGAAGTGCAGAGCTCGCTTGCCCTACCGAAATACCGAGTGCAGCTCCAATACTTTCGTGCCTTACCGCGGTTTGGCCGAGAGCGGCCGGCTGGGCGGGGGCCGCGTAGCTGCAGCCGAGCGGGGTCGCTCGGGCAAGGGCCTCCTGCAGAGAACGGAAGCAAACCTTTCCGATGTCAGCAGAGAGTAGCCTTTGTGTGGCCAGACTCTCATGAAGCTGCCCAGCGCCCTACTCGTAAGCATGCCACAGACAGTGGAAAGTTCAGTACGGCAGGACTGTACTAAGTGCTACAGCTGCTACGTGTAAGCTTTGCACGGAAATTATAGAATTTGCGTCATGAGTGGATCAAGCGAAAATAGCATGCAGGGTACCTCGCCACAACGTCAAACACATCCGAAGGGAGGAGCCGTGAAAAACAACTCGTGCTTCCAGGTACGTAGGGACATTCGCGAGCACTTGGGAGCCCAAGTCACTCAAGTCCAGGGCCAAGCACGACATTAAGATGACGGCAACAGGATGCACTTCTGCGATGAAGGCTCTGCATGATGCCTTGCATTCGAAGCCGAGCCAGGTCTCGCATCCGCTTGCCTGTCATGCTTCGAGTCTATGCAGAGGGTCGCGGGCCAGCTTGCCATCGGGCCAATGGGGGACAACAGCCCTGGCTGTGGTCACATCAGATGAGCCCTCTCTCTTGCAGATGGCAAGTAGCGAAACATTGCAAACCCTAACACACTGCCGTCCCCGCTTACACGTCTTTACCAATAATCAGATCGGCTGTGGAACCGGAGACATTCACTAAATGAGCAGGGCTCCCTCTTTGCTCCCTATGCATCGGAAAGGCCTGAAGCCGGATCCCGGCAAGCTCTCCGCAGCTGCCTCTGAAGGGGCGGGCCTTCAGGCAGAAATTTGTGACTCAGCTCAAAGGACTCTCAGAAGACTTTTGGGCGCCAGCCTCTCCCCCGCTGGAGGATCTGTGGAGGCTGGCCTCCCGTTTGTCTTCGGCTTTCCGCAGCCACGACAATAATAGCAAACAAAGACATATGAGAAAGATGGCGAAAAGATGTATACACGCACTATCCAAGGGTCTCTTCTTGAATGGTGAGCCTGGGAGCAGGACCATTCGACTGCCTTCAGCGCACAGGATAGCAAGGGAAAGATGCTCGACTCCGAGAGCGCCGAGATCTGTGTGGCGGACCCAGATTTCCAAAGCATGAGTGTGCCGCCATCGATGAGGGTCTGGAGGGCATGGGGGGATTAGGGTTTCGGCTTAAAGGGTGAGGTCAACTGACCAGTGACTAGGGAGGCCCATCGACACATAGCCATGACCCAGACACTGGCTATGTGTAGGAGCGAGGATTTCGCACAGTCTGGAATGTTTTATCATCCAGAAGGGCGGATCGCTCACGCTGCATTGCAAACTGGCGGGATCACGCCTGGCCCATGAGCGACGGCCGAAATGGAGCCTTCTTCTTGTCCTCCCGTGGGCACAAGGGCATGACAAGACTTGACGCGTCAAACTGATGCAGCTTCTGTCTGGCCTTGCTGTTGCTCCTGGGGTCTTCCCTGCGGTCTTTGTTCAATCTACGCTCTCCCCCTTCATCACAGAGCTGATGACTTTGCGTGCCTCTGGCCCTGACCCTTCGACAGAGCCTCAGGCAAATGATCGAAGCCAGCTGGTTTTGCAGCGTTCCAGCTGGGGCTGTGGCGAAAGCCAGCTCACCTTCGCTGCGCTGAGTCATGTATGTTGCCCGCGGTGGCCTGCACCAGTGGCTCACACACATGTGGGTAGCCACACCGGAAGCATGAGAAATGCGGAAGGGGCCTGGTGTCCAGTGATGGGTGGCTGGAGGTGTCTGCGTGGTGAAGGGACGGTCGCCTTCAGCTGATGGCTGTAATTCGGAGGATCTTCGCTCCTACCTCTTGACCAGGGCCTCGGTACATCGAAGTCATGGTCCTAAGCCGAGGAGAGGAGATCTTGGACGAGAAGCTCAGGCGCGAAAGCATTTGTAAGGCGATGACGCGTTGCTGCAACGTCTGCAGGATGTCATCTTCGGCATGATCTGCCTTGCAGTTTGCGGCGAGGATCAGCAAGCAGTCTAAGGAAAAGCCGCGCACCGGGCCTCCTGGAGTGCACGTAACCGTTCCTGAGCCATGTGCCTGAAGAAGAACGCAGCAGACCACAAGCAGAAGCATGCAGGAGCAGGCGACGCCCTCGACATCGATTCCAAGCTGCAGATAGCCGGCATCCACCCCAGCACTCTCCGCTCGCTGCAGGGCGGCCATGAGGGCCTGCGAATACGAGAAGCCGTCTGTGCACCTGGTGCTACTCGTACTACAGTACTACAGTAACAGCCTGGATGTTGCGGCCATCCATGGCTCTGAAGAGGTCCGACTGCGCTTCAGCAGCAGTCAGCACGGATTGAGCTGCTCGCAGCACCTCCGACAGTGAGGTTGAAGTCTTGATGATGGAAGTAGCTAAGTAGGCGCTAACAGCCCTCACACTCCCATCCCCCGAATCCCGAGAGCACCTCCTCTGAGACTCTCAGAGCCCGCGCTTTTGCGAGGGCAGCTTCCAGAAGCACCAGGTCCCCAGTGTCAATGGCAGCCTGAAGTTCTGCTTCTGCCTCCCTCCGTTCCGGACCATGCGCCGCAAGCTCTCGGAGGTCCTGGCCAGGACCGGACAGAACGGACCGAGCTTTCTCCGAGGCTGCGCCGTGATCTCTAGAGCCGAGCTCCGCAACCCGTGAATGGGCTCTGGCCCTGCCATGCCCTGCCTGCAGCGCCGCCTCCGCATCCTGGATCAGGTTGGCGTCGACCTCGGCCTCCCGCGCTCGGAGCAAAGCCAGCTCCAGGGCCTCCGTTCAAACATGTCACCCTCGGAGCTGCTTTAGGCCAAGGATTGCAATGCCTTGCATCTGATATCGAAACTGCAAACAGCACCTTGGCGTCTTCGCCGGCCATGGCTGCGATGAGTTCCTCCGTCGCGTGCTCAGCCTCGTACCGCTTCATGCGCAGCAGGGCGTCCCGTGCACGCGCGCAGACCTGGACAGGGCAGACATTGGCTCTCATCACATGGACGAACGTTCGTACGAGGCATCTTGCTGAGTTGCAGCTCATATGACAAAGATGGTGGTGCGGCAATGCTGGCGATTTGTCGTCCGTCCGTCCATCTTAATCCTCGTCGTCGTCCTTCTCCTTCACATCGTCACTCGTTTGCTTCTTGCTAGAAGATGCTAGGATGATTACTATTGTCACTCCTCGGCCTCCTGCTCCCGCTGGTGTGACGACTAATTACTGCTCTACTCATAATTTGTATCATTCATCATGTATGTATGTATGTATGTATGTACGTATGTATGTATGTATACATATATAAATACATAAGCCTCAAAAGCAACTAAATAATGCTTCTCAACGTCATGTTGTCGTTGGCGCTCGCCTGCGCATCAACTTTGGCGGCTTCTGCCCGAGCCAAGGCAGCTGTGAGCGTTGCCATGTCCTCAGATAGCATACTGTATTGCATTCTACAAAAGTACGTCTTATACTGTATGATATGACATTAAACTAGTATTGTAGACAATCCAAATCTCTGTGAAAAAAGTGTCTCAGTCCACGTGGCACTGGCCCCCATCCTTGCCCTTTCCCTCCCCTGTCTCAGTCGAGGATCTCCTGTGATGGCCTTCAGCAGTTGGGCCTCCGCCTGAAGGACAAAGAGAGGAAGAGAGTCAGTGAGAGAAAGAACACAAAAAAGAGATACAAGTCCAAGGGCTGTTCCCGGCCTCCTGCTGTTCCAACAAGAATGCCAGCTTCTGCTCACCTGAGGCCACAAAAAGCTGCAGAGGGTTGAAACCACGTTACAAGTATCGGCTGCGCAGGGCCTTGGAGCAAGATCTCCTCGCTAACGCCACCGCTTTTTGCCGCATCCAGGGCCTTTTGCAGTGCCTCTGCGATGTGCAAGGACCGGCGATGCACCGGGAGATCACAGTGTGCTCAGGCGGGCACGAACAGATCAGACAGCTTCATGGCTGCCAGGAGCTCGTTCAAAGCCAAAAGAGATGCCCGCGCTGCTTCTTCCTTTGCCTAGCGGAAATGGTAGCGACCACGATCCCAGCTCGAGGGACATGAGGTCGCGCCTCCAGGGCACGAAGATGCTCTTGTGCACGGTCAATCACCTGGCGAAGTTGCGGTGCCAAAACCTACGCATGAAGTGTCAACCTTTGGCACTCACATTCATGCCTCAATGCGAGAGTATGCTGCAACCAATATTCTGTATGATCATTTCGTGCGTGGATGACAGCTGCAGCATACGACGCGGAAACTGGCGAGTGGCCACAACCACAACAAACTCATGATAAAAAGCGTGACTTCAAGGTTGTTCGGAGTCGAGACGGCTAAGATCTTAACCTTAAAACAGGCAGCCGACCATACACACGCCCTTCGTAAAGCAGCAGCTCTGACTCGTTCAAGCATCCAGCAGTTGCCGTTCAAGCTAAGATGGCTGCAGTAGTCACTTTGGCAGTACACGGCTGAGCAATACTGTGACTACTATATTTTTTGATCATATTACGAAATATGAATTTTTTTGTTATCCTTACTATCATAATTCTGAATGTTACAGGTCGGACAAACATCTGCCTCCGGGCTGACGCCAGCAGAGCTGGCCCTGTCGATCGCGAGCTCCAGCTGCGACATGTCGCTGCCCTTCATCGCTTCGAGGAGAGCAGCTTCGGCTCGGCCAGCTTCCAGCGCTTCCAGTCGCTGCTGGCATTCCTTGAGCTTGTCGCGGCCTTGCTGCACCAAGTCTGGAGAGACCTTTGCCGCAGGATTTGCAAGAGCCGCTGCACTGTGCTAAGACCGCTGCAAGCGAGATGCCTCACAGGTTTCGGCTCTCCGTACAGCTCGTCCGAGGTCCTTGCGCGTCGGGATGCTCACGCACTCTTGTCATCGCCTCTCCTTGCACACTGCATCATCTTGGGCTGCAGCCTCGATAGCGGACCTGATCCGTTCTTCCGGCATCGTGCTTTGCAGCGACGTGTCGGCAGCAGCAATGGCTGCCTGCACCGCGAAATCCACTGAAAAAATCGTTCAGGTAGAGCAGCCAAGTGATTCAAAAGAATCCATGTCAAAGTCTCCTGGAGCTGTGCTGCCGCATCTGTGCGAGCTTCTGCTTCCTTGCGCAGCTAGAAACAATGCTCATTCTGCGTCGCGCGACGGTGCACTCTCGCCGTTCTGTCCTGGAGCTCTTGGAGACGTCTGCGGCTTTTCCTTGGTCGTTCATGTTGACCCGATGACAATCCCCCCCTCTCAAACTGAACTCCGAACGGTGCAGGCCAGCGAAGTTGCGGCAGCTGCTGGCATCTTGCCGCTACTGGGAATCTTGATAAGCATCGCTGAGTGGCTGGGGAGTGTAATGGCGATTGATTTCCATCAAACAAGTTACAGCAGAGGCTCTTTAGCAGCTCTGGCGCAACTCTTGCAGCCTCTGCCTCCTGCAAGGCAGCCTGCAGAACCTGTCGAGATGTTAATTAGATGTTAGTGTCAAAGAATACGAGTGAAGAGCTGATTCTAAATACGACCCCCCACATGTACCCCAATCGCAGGTTGGCAGTGACACGATGGGCCTCAACGTTCTGGCCGCATACGGCTTTCTCCAAGCTTTGGGCTGCGTGGAGGATCTGCTTGGCCCGCTGCAGCACCTCGTCAAGGGGGTTTTCCACCGGAGCTTTCTTCTGCACGGGTCTGTCTCTAGCTGGACCCTTGCTTCGCCGTAATGCTTGCCTCTGGGCCGACGCCAGCAGAGCTGGCCCTGTCGATCGCGAGCTCCAGTTGCGACATGTCGCTGCCCTTCATCGCTTCGAGGAGAGCAGCTTCGGCTCGGCCAGCTTCCAGCGCTTCCAGTCGCTGCTGGCATTCCTTGAGCTTGTCGCGGCCTTGCTGCACCAAGTCTGGAGAGACCTTTGCCGCAGGATTTGCAAGAGCCGCTGCACTGTGCTAAGACCGCTGCAAGCGAGATGCCTCACAGGTTTCGGCTCTCCGTACAGCTCGTCCGAGGTCCTTGCGCGTCGGGATGCTCACGCACTCTTGTCATCGCCTCTCCTTGCACACTGCATCATCTTGGGCTGCAGCCTCGATAGCGGACCTGATCCGTTCTTCCGGCATCGTGCTTTGCAGCGACGTGTCGGCAGCAGCAATGGCTGCCTGCACCGCGAAATTCACTGAAAAAATCGTTCAGGTAGAGCAGCCAAGTGATTCAAAAGAATCCATGTCAAAGTCTCCTGGAGCTGTGCTGCCGCATCTGTGCGAGCTTCTGCTTCCTCGCGCAGCAAGAGACAATGCTCATGTTGCGTCGTGCGACGGTGCACTCTCGCCGTTCTGTCCTGGAGCTCTTGGAGACGTCTGCGGCTTTTCCTTGGTCGTTCATGTTGACCCGATGACAATCCCCCCCTCTCAACTGAAGCCTGAATGTGTGGTGATGCAAGGCACCACCGGTTTCCTCCCATGCATCCGACACGAAAAGCCATCTGGGGTGAGAAGATGAGCCGAGGCACTCCAACAGCTCGGCCGCAACTCCTGCAACCTCTGCCTCCTGCAGAGCAGCCTCGAGGACCTGCCACTCTTGCACTTTGTGTGCCATGTGGCCGCTCGACAACCGGTCATGGCGTTAGTAAGAGATGTCGGATGATACCAAAACAGGAGCAGCTACCGAATACTAACGAACAGCATCCAGATTGACAGACACGATGGGCCTCAACGCTCTGGCCGCACACGGCTTTCTCCAAGCTTTGGCCAGCGTGGAGGATCTGCTTGGCGCGCTGCAGCACCTCGTCAAGGGGATTCCACCGGAGCTTTCTTCTGCACGGGTCTGTCTCTAGCTGGACCCTTGCTTCGCCGTAACGCTTGCCTCCGGGCCAACGCCAGCAGAGCTGGCCCTGTCGATCGCGAGCTCCAGTTGCGACATGTCGCTGCCCTTCATCGCTTCGAGGAGAGCAGCTTCGGCTCGGCCAGCTTCCAACGCTTCCAGTCGCTGCTGGCATTCCTTGAGCTTGTCGCGGCCTTGCTGCACCAAGTCTGGAGAGACCTTTGCCGCAGGATTTGCAAGAGCCGCTGCACTGTGCTAAGACCGCTGCAAGCGAGATGCCTCACAGGTTTCGGCTCTCCGTACAGCTCGTCCGAGGTCCTTGCGCGTCGGGATGCTCACGCACTCTTGTCATGGCCCCTCCCTGCACACTGCATCATCTTGGGCTGCAGCCTCGATAGCACACCTGATTCCTTCTTCCGGCATCGTGCTTTGCAGCGCCGTGTCGGCTGCAGCGATGGCTGCCTGCACCGTGAAATTCACTGAACAATTCGTTCAGGTAGAGCAGCCAAGTGATTCAAAAGAATCCATGTCAAAGTCTCCTGGAGCTGTGCTGCCGCATCTGTGCGAGCTTCTGCTTCCTCGCGCAGCAAGAGACAATGCTCATGTTGCGTCGTGCGACGGTGCGCTCTCGCCGTTCTGTCCTGGAGCTCTTGGAGACGTCTGCGGCTTTTCCTTGGTCATTCTTGTTGACCCGATGACAATCCCCCCCTCTCAACTGAAGCCTGAATGTGTGGTGATGCAAGGCACCACCGGTTTCCTCCCATGCATCCGACACGAAAAGCCATCTGGAGTGAGAAGATGAGCCGAGGCACTCCAACAGCTCGGCCGCAACTCCTGCAACCTCTGCCTCCTGCAGAGCAGCCTCGAGGACCTGCCACTCTTGCACTTTGTGTGCCATGTGGCCGCTCGACAACCGGTCATGGCGTTAATAAGAGATGTCGGATGATACCAAAACAGGAGCAGCTACCGAATACTAACGAACAGCATCCAGATTGACAGACACGATGGGCCTCAATGCTCTGGCCGCACACGGCTTTCTCCAAGCTTTGGCCAGCGTGGAGGATCTGCTTGGCGCGCTGCAGCACCTCGTCAAGGGGGTTCCACCGGAGCTTTCTTCTGCACGGGTCTGTCTCTAGCTGGACCCTTGCTTCGCCGTAATGCTTGCCTCCGGGCCAACGCCAGCAGAGCTGGCCCTGTCGATCGCGAGCTCCAGTTGCGACATGTCGCTGCCCTTCATCGCTTCGAGGAGAGCAGCTTCGGCTCGGCCAGCTTCCAGCGCTTCCAGTCGCTGCTGGCATTCCTTGAGCTTGTCGCGGCCTTGCTGCACCAAGTCTGGAGAGACCTTTGCCGCAGGATTTGCAAGAGCCGCTGCACTGTGCTAAGACCGCTGCAAGCGAGATGCCTCACAGGTTTCGGCTCTCCGTACAGCTCGTCCGAGGTCCTTGCGCGTCGGGATGCTCACGCACTCTTGTCATGGCCTCTCCCTGCACACTGCATCATGTTGGGCTGCAGCCTCGATAGCACACCTGATTCCTTCTTCCGGCATCGTGCTTTGCAGCGCCGCGTCGGCTGCAGCGATGGCTGCCTGCACCGTGAAATCCACTGAACAATTCGTTCAGGTAGAGCAGCCAAGTGATTCAAAAGAATCCATGTCAAAGTCTCCTGGAGCTGTGCTGCCGCATCTGTGCGAGCTTCTGCTTCCTCGCGCAGCAAGAGACAATGCTCATGTTGCGTCGTGCGACGGTGCGCTCTCGCCGTTCTGTCCTGGAGCTCTTGGAGACGTCTGCGGCTTTTCCTTGGTCGTTCATGTTGACCCGATGACAATCCCCCCCTCTCAACTGAAGCCTGAATGTGTGGTGATGCAAGGCACCACCGGTTTCCTCCCATGCATCCGACACGAAAAGCCATCTGGGGTGAGAAGATGAGCCGAGGCACTCCAACAGCTCGGCCGCAACTCCTGCAACCTCTGCCTCCTGCAGAGCAGCCTCGAGGACCTGCCACTCTTGCACTTTGTGTGCCATGTGGCCGCTCGACAACCGGTCATGGCGTTAATAAGAGATGTCGGATGATACCAAAACAGGAGCAGCTACCGAATACTAACGAACAGCATCCAGATTGACAGACACGATGGGCCTCAATGCTCTGGCCGCACACGGCTTTCTCCAAGCTTTGGCCAGCGTGGAGGATCTGCTTGGCGCGCTGCAGCACCTCGTCAAGGGGGTTCCACCGGAGCTTTCTTCTGCACGGGTCTGTCTCTAGCTGGACCCTTGCTTCGCCGTAATGCTTGCCTCCGGGCCAACGCCAGCAGAGCTGGCCCTGTCGATCGCGAGCTCCAGTTGCGACATGTCGCTGCCCTTCATCGCTTCGAGGAGAGCAGCTTCGGCTCGGCCAGCTTCCAGCGCTTCCAGTCGCTGCTGGCATTCCTTGAGCTTGTCGCGGCCTTGCTGCACCAAGTCTGGAGAGACCTTTGCCGCAGGATTTGCAAGAGCCGCTGCACTGTGCTAAGACCGCTGCAAGCGAGATGCCTCACAGGTTTCGGCTCTCCGTACAGCTCGTCCGAGGTCCTTGCGCGTCGGGATGCTCACGCACTCTTGTCATGGCCCCTCCCTGCACACTGCATCATCTTGGGCTGCAGCCTCGATAGCACACCTGATTCCTTCTTCCGGCATCGTGCTTTGCAGCGCCGTGTCGGCTGCAGCGATGGCTGCCTGCACCGTGAAATCCACTGAACAATTCGTTCAGGTAGAGCAGCCAAGTGATTCAAAAGAATCCATGTCAAAGTCTCCTGGAGCTGTGCTGCCGCATCTGTGCGAGCTTCTGCTTCCTCGCGCAGCAAGAGACAATGCTCATGTTGCGTCGTGCGACGGTGCGCTCTCGCCGTTCTGTCCTGGAGCTCTTGGAGACGTCCGCGGCTTTTCCTTGGTCGTTCATGTTGACCCGATGACAATCCCCCCCTCTCAACTGAAGCCTGAATGTGTGGTGATGCAAGGCACCACCGGTTTCCTCCCATGCATCCGACACGAAAAGCCATCTGGGGTGAGAAGATGAGCCGAGGCACTCCAACAGCTCGGCCGCAGCTCCTGCAACCTCTGCCTCCTGCAGAGCAGCCTCGAGGACCTGCCACTCTTGCACTTTGTGTGCCATGTGGCCGCTCGACAACCGGTCATGGCGTTAATAAGAGATGTCGGATGATACCAAAACAGGAGCAGCTACCGAATACTAACGAACAGCATCCAGATTGACAGACACGATGGGCCTCAACGCTCTGGCCGCACACGGCTTTCTCCAAGCTTTGGCCAGCGTGGAGGATCTGCTTGGCGCGCTGCAGCACCTCGTCAAGGGGGTTCCACCGGAGCTTTCTTCTGCACGGGTCTGTCTCTAGCTGGACCCTTGCTTCGTCGTAATGCTTGCCTCTGGGCCAACGCCAGCAGAGCTGGCCCTGTCGATCGCGAGCTCCAGTTGCGACATGTCGCTGCCCTTCATCGCTTCGAGGAGAGCAGCTTCGGCTCGGCCAGCTTCCAGCGCTTCCAGTCGCTGCTGGCATTCCTTGAGTTTGTCGCGGCCTTGCTGCACCAAGTCTGGAGAGACCTTTGCCGCAGGATTTGCAAGAGCCGCTGCACTGTGCTAAGACCGCTGCAAGCGAGATGCCTCACAGGTTTCGGCTCTCCGTACCGCTCGTCCGAGGTCCTTGCGCGTCGGGATGCTCACGCACTCTTGTCATGGCCTCTCCCTGCACACTGCATCATCTTGGGCTGCAGCCTCGATAGCACACCTGATTCCTTCTTCCGGCATCGTGCTTTGCAGCGCCGTGTCGGCTGCAGCAATGGCTGCCTGCACCGCGAAATTCACTGAAAAACTCGTTCAGGTAGAGCAGCCAAGTGATTCAAAAGAATCCATGTCAAAGTCTCCTGGAGCTGTGCTGCCGCATCTGTGCGAGCTTCTGCTTCCTCGCGCAGCAAGAGACAATGCTCATGTTGCGTCGTGCGACGGTGCGCTCTCGCCGTTCTGTCCTGGAGCTCTTGGAGACGTCTGCGACTTTTCCTTGGTCATTCATGTTGACCCGATGACCATCCCCCCCTCTCAACTGAACCCTGAATGTGTGGTGATGCAAGGCACCACCGGTTTCCTCCCATGCATCCGACACGAAAAGCCATCTGGGGTGAGAAGATGAGCCGAGGCACTCCAACAGCTCGGCCGCAACTCCTGCAACCTCTGCCTCCTGCAGAGCAGCCTCGAGGACCTGCCACTCTTGCACTTTGTGTGCCATGTGGCAGCTCGACAACCGGTCATGGCGTTAATAAGAGATGTCGGATGATACCAAAACAGGAGCAGCTACCGAATACTAACGAACAGCATCCAGATTGACAGACACGATGGGCCTCAACGCTCTGGCCGCACACGGCTTTCTCCAAGCTTTGGCCAGCGTGGAGGATCTGCTTGGCGCGCTGCAGCACCTCGTCAAGGGGGTTCCACCGGAGCTTTCTTCTGCACCAGTCTGTCTCTAGCTGGACCCTTGCTTCGTCGTAATGCTTGCCTCTGGGCCAACGCCAGCAGAGCTGGCCCTGTCGATCGCGAGCTCCAGTTGCGACATGTCGCTGCCCTTCATCGCTTCGAGGAGAGCAGCTTCCGCTCGGCCAGCTTCCAGCGCTTCCAGTCGCTGCTGGCATTCCTTGAGCTTGTCGCGGCCTTGCTGCACCAAGTCCGGAGAGACCTTTGTCGCAGGATTTGCGAGCAGCTGCACTGCGCTACACCGAAAGCCACCTCCTGGCCACAAAGCTGCAAGACCGCTGCAAGCGAGATGCCTCACAGGTTTCGGCTCTCAGTACAGCTCGTCCGAGATCCTTGCGCGTCGGGATGCTCACGCACTCTTGTCATGGCCTCTCCCTGCACACTGCATCATCTTGGGCTGCAGCCTCGATAGCACACCTGATTCCTTCTTCCGGCATCGTGCTTTGCAGCGCCGTGTCGGCTGCAGCGATGGCTGCCTGCACGGTACAATCCTGAAGCGTCTCTGATGTTGGTATGCTTGCCGCGCTTTCGTCGAGCTGGTTTCACAGGTCTTCAAACTATTTATGGAGCACGGAGCACTTCCAACACCTGACCTTTGACTTCACACCCGAGCCTGGAGATGTGCGATTGCATCTGAACGAGCTTCTGCGTCCTCAGCAAGGGCAGCTGGCATCAGTGCCCGCTGGGCCGTTTGGCGCTGCAGGGGAATGATCGTTGCTGTTTCGGTAAGTTGTGGGTCCAGCAATGCCGGCGTTGGAGTTCTGTGTCGCTGCATACAAAAACGGCCCCGTCAAAGCACGATTTGCCCGCCAACACAACTCCGCGGCAATCGCAGAACTTCGACCCAGCTGGTGCTGGTGAAGTGAAAGCGTTACAGCCACAGCAGTATAGTAGAACAAGGATTAGTCTCTTGATGGCGCAGCCGACTCTTACAGCCATTGCATCGCAGGCTTTCTCTCGACGCGAGTCCCGTGAGTCCTGCAGCTCGCCAAGGCGCTCCCTCGCCTTCCTGGCAAACTTCGGTTCACGAGAAAACTCGAAGAAAGGAGGAAAGGGCAGTGAGAACCTGTGTCCAAGAACCCTTCAGCTGAGAACCTAAAGCAGCCGAGCGTCTCCAGCAGCTCAATCCCAACTCCAGCTGCTTCGGCATCCTGCAGCGCCTTCTTCAGAACCTGCAACACATTGAAGAAACCCGGCTTCGATGTTTGCACCCCAAAACCTGTCTCTGGGTCCGCAATGCGTGGCCTCGACATCTCGGCCAGCAATGGCTTTAGACAAAGCCTTCATGCTTAGACCATATGCGCTCAGGCCCGCATCATCCTGGCATACCAATGACTCCTCTCATGCTCTCCATGGCCATCCGTGGTCTGTGACAGGTCTTTTGGCAGGTGGACCTGCGGCGCAGTGAGATTCTTGAATTTCCTGGCATCACAGAGGCAGAGGTGCAGAATGTAGACTGTAGACATTCGCTCTGGTAGCCATCAGGCACCGTCGCTTCTATTCAATTTAATTCACAACAGACGACCGCGTTTTCTGAACAGCAAGAATTCAAGCGGCTGGGTGCGCTGTGCTGCTTGCAGAATGGCTGTAGCCTTTGCCAGGGCTTCGACCTTGTCAAATGAAACACCCTGGGACCCTGCTCTCAAGCCCGGAGCTCGACACTGACAAAGCCTAAGATGCTGGCAGCCGCAGGGCTTCTGGCGCTGCCTGCAGAACAAAAGGGACAGTAGCATGGTGTGGAGGTACACCGCAGCGTGGAGCGTGGTGTGAGTTGCACCTTCGCTATGGAAGGAAGGGTTGAAGGGCAGGGCAGGCCTCTGCTTGCAAGCACGAAGCCCGGAGTACATTCAAGTAGCCGCAGCCAGATTCAGGTACACTGCGACCGTCTTCGAAGGCCGGGCTCCCGGCAGCGTTTTCTTGGGAGGCGACCGCAGTGGAGGTGGCGGCAGCGGTCGCGGCAGCTGCAAGTGTGAGGAGCCTTGACAAAACACACTCCTGATCATTCCTGACTCCTCGAATCGAGTGTGTTCAGCTGTCAACAGCACTTGCCTTCTGCGAGTGCCTCCGCTTGTTTCTTCTCCTGCAAAGCTCCAGTGGCGCTGCAGCGTACAAATGTGGCGTCAATGACGGTGCCGCACCTCCTTGGCCTTTCTACGCTCTTCCTTGCGCTTCTTCCGGTCCTTGCGGGACCTGCAGTTTACCAGACGGGGTGTCTGGTAGCAGGCTTTCCGACTGCTGGGCTGTGGACTTCGTTGTGGACGGCGGGCTGGTCAGAGAAGCCTGCGAGCGCCAAGAGACCATGAGCGAGAGCAGCTTGCGACAGTTTCTAAATTCAAAAGGAGTCAACTTCAGGTAGCCTCACTTTCCTCGGCATCTGCTTGCTCCCTGGCTCGATCGTTCTCATCAAAGCCAGGTATTCTGTGGGCTTGCCAAGTGACACGCCTGCTGTCTGGGGGAGGCTCGATGATTTCAGGCCTCTCAGGCAGCTGCGCAGCAGTCTGGGAATCCATGTTTCTGCTGAGATGCAGGCTGCTGCGGAATGTCCTGGCAACATTCATCCGAACACCCCACGGCAAGCAGCATGCAGCACGATTCCATCCAAGTCCTCGAAAGCTGCTAACCCAGGGGACCTGCCGCTGTAGCTGTGAAGAGCAGGATTTCAAGAGCTTGCGGCTTACTGTCGCCGTTGAAGGGCACTGCATCTCGGCTCTGCGGCTTCAGCATTGAGCTAACATAGACACTCTTTCCAGCAGCTGGGGGTCACTGGCATCGGCCTCTCTTTTTCAGAATGATCCGGAGTGGGAGGTGCCTGCGACAGTCAGGCTGTGCAGCGCGCAGTGCTGAAGCCTCGTAAGGCGAGACAGCTGAAGGCCTCCATCTGCTCATTCAGTCCGTCGATGTCCGTGCGTGGGGTCAGCTCGCCCTGCCTGAGATGTGCCGGCCGAGTCTATACTGCGCTGTCACACTGCCATGCACATACAGTAGCATCGGCAACTTGAATGAGTCGGGCACGGTTCTTCCTCCGGCTGCCCTCCACCCTGAAGCAGAAGCTCACTGGATTTACGACATGACACTCGCGCACGGCATCAGCTTGTGCTTCCTACCGCGGCTATGCCGACAGCCTCTTTGCTCACTACCTCGTCGTCCCCGTCTATGTCTTCAACCTCTGCATCTGGTAAGCTCAGCGTTCGTATCCATGTCTATGTCATGCTGACATACACGACTTCGGAGCAGCTAGGCCATGGCATCTTCTCCCTTCTCATCACGCGGAATTGCCGAGACCTTCAAGACAAGTCAGAATTGCCGACATCACTCGAGGACCCCAAGTATCCCATGCCAGCCTTGGAGTCTGGCTGGCGACAGCATCTCCTTTTGATTCTTTTGATGAGCTTCCTTCGAAGACCCTGAGAGCAGCTTGAAAGTGACGCTTTCTGAAGTTATGCTTCCACCGTGAGGTCCGAACCGGACACGCCAGCAGTGGGGCCACACACAGGCCAACAAGGACCGCGACCACTGCCACAGCCACGCCCGCTGCAGATTGGCTCTCCTCGCGACCGTCGCGCCAAGCCCCTTGCTGAACACGAACAAGGACGTGATCGTTACGATGAGGAAGAAGATGATGATGATGATGGCAGTGGTGGCGGTTGGTGGGAGGATGACATGATGCTTCTCCGTCTTGCTTCGTTCCGTCATGACTCTGCGAAAGATTGAAGACCCAGTCCCTGCAAGCTTGCAGCCTGGCCTCTTCAAGCAATGGTACAACGCCGAGCTCGATGCTGATGCTGCCAAGGGCTGGAAGGAAAGCAAAGCACCTCCCACGAAAAAAACAGCAATTTCATGCGAAGGCGGCAGACCAGGCTTGACCAATATGGAGCGCAAGTTCTCATGAAATTATCTGACTGGGCTCACGCCTTCCGTCCGTGGCGGCCATGCACAAGCACACCTGTCAGATGCTGTCAACCAGTATTGCTTCCTGCCGCCAACATGTGTAATGCCACAGCCTGATGCGTGCCATCGTCAGGCGGCCCTTCTTCGAATCTGCAGACCTGCTTCGAGAGAAAAGCTGCATGAAGTTGACGTGGCGCCGACATTGCCATTCTCAGCGTAGAGACAACAGTTTCCAGCAATACTCCCGACACAGCATTTGCACAGTAAGACTCTGCCACTTTCCAGATCGATTGCTGACCTCAACCATATTGAACCACTTCGAGCCTGGTCAGTGGCCTCTGTGAGGCCAGGGGCAGTGGAGCACGCCCTAAGCAGCACACTGATGCGAGAAGGGGCATCTTGCTCAGTGTTGATGTTCTGCGTGGCATGCCCCGCTACACGCGTCAATTGAGACTTACCTTTGCTCTTAACTTGCCAAGCACATCGTTCTCGGCCCGTAACCCCCTCGCGACGACCGTCGAGTCGTAGCGGCATAGACCTGTCTGTGCCAAGATCTCTTCGCCAACTACAAGATGGCATCGACGACTGCCTTGCTCTTAAATGCAGGCACTGCGAGCATTTAGGCATGATGAAACTGAACAGCCACGGAAGTGCGTTAACTTCGGCTTCCTTCATGCCTTGTCCGTCAGCCGGGCCCAAAGCTGCGCCTGAAGGAAACCGGAGTCGTCGTCAGGTTTTCAGCATAACAACAGCAGATGCCTTCATCCTTGATGAGGACTCCCTGCAAGTCGCCGGTCCTCTGGGTCTAACGGACTCCGACATCTAATCCCGATGAGACCCCGGATTGAAGGGCCGCGGCAGGTTGCTTCCGGTGAGATGTAGCTCAAAAGCTGCGCTTGCGAAAGGCCTCCACGACGACTCGAATTCGAGCCCCTTGCACCAACGTCTCAAACTGCAACTGCCTTTCCGGGTCGGTGTGCCAGTCATCCACCGTCGCAGCACAGGGAGGACCCATGCAAGGGCGCTCCTCCTGGCAATGCAGGAGTCTTTCGTCAACATGTACTGAGCACCGGGGATTGGCCTCAAGCTCCGGGCATTGCGCGTCGTTGTTGAGCATACCCACGATCTGCCAGATTCACACGTCTCTTGACACAGTTGCTGCACCGGTCAAAAACGCAATGGGCGATGCGGATATCCGCTGAGGCCTGTCGCTGCCACAGCTCACTCCCCATGCCGCAAGTAGCGGAGCAATGCGTGCGATGACGCCAAGGCCCGACCTCACAATTCAGACTACCACTGCAGGCACAATCCGCCGCAGAGGTTGAAAATCAGGCGTCCACCAAGCAGCCGTTGAAATCTGTCCTGACCACGCACAGGAACTACGCACTTCTGCCAGATCAGCTTGCTGGTTGGGGGTGCTGGTCCCCTCATTAAAGAACCGATGCTTGTGGGTAAGGTCTTCTGCAGTCGAATGCAGACACAGCTTGCACATGGTCTCTTGTTGCAAATGCACGCGACCCTGCCTCTCGCCAAAGATATCCGCACTTCCAACCTAAGTGCTTTCGCAAACAAGATCGGTATCATTTTGAGTATCTTGCCCTGACTGACTGAAGCTATCTACACTCAGCTTCACACATAGTGTGGAAGCTTCGCGTTTCCCGCAGGCAGCCAACACAAGGCCTTAGTGTAGGCAGTGCAGATCACGGCCGTGATGCTACCCTGTTCCAGCCTTCAAACTAAGGCTGCAGCGTGTGTTCCCTAGCAAGTGCGGCCAAGCAAGTCATAAATCGAAGTGGGAGGAGGTCAATTGGACGCTTACAGCAGGTAGCCTCGGCAAAGGGCACCTCGAATTGCATCGAAGTTGCAGTCGATTCCTCAGCAGCAGTTGACTTGTGCCCCCGAAGATGAAAGAGGGTGTGCGCAACCACATGATCTATGAGAACTGAGGAAAGCACCGTGGGACTGTGCAAGGTGCTTTGCGCAGGGAGAAGTCGGCCGTTTCCGATGCAGGCAGTTCCTCGGAGATGTGCAAACTATCATCGCTGCTGGTGTTCTGGTACTGGTTGTGGGCATCAAGGCGCTGGTCATCACGATCATGCTTATTATCTTCTTCTCCATATCCACATGCCGTTACGTCGGTGATGAGGATGATGAACCATGATGCTGTGACGATGACTCTGTCTTTGTCGTCGCCACAGCAGTAGCAGCGGCAGAAAACGACAAAGACAGCACCAGCAGCACCAGCAGCAGCAGCAGCAGCAGCAGCGGCAGCAATACAGGCAGGTGCAGTAAACAGCAACACCAGCACAACCTCGTCGTGGTCGCCTTCGTCGTCTGTCGGTCATCGCGGTGGTGGTGCTGGTGGTGGTGGTGGTGGTGGTGGTGGTGGTGGCGAAGGCGTCGGCGGTGGCTGTGGCGGTGGCGGTGGTGGTCGTGGTGGTCGTGCTCGTGGTGGTGGTGGTGGTGGTGGTGGTGGTGGTGGTGGTGGTGGTGGTGGTGGTGGTGGTGGTGGTGGTGGTGGTGGTGGTGGTGGCGGCGGTGGTCCTGGTTCTGCGATTGAATTGAAGCTGTAGTAGCAATCGCCACCTAAGCAGAAGTATCGTACCAGTAGCAGCCATAGTGGCTTAAGGCCTCAGACATGTGAACTCAGACTTTGCTGTTGACTGTTGGGATTTGTGGTCGAAAAGCTTTATTGTGGAGGGCTCTTGTGCATCCCGCTGCACGGTCGTTGATCTGCAGATTGAGTGTTTAGCAGCTGGGACCTAGTGGGATCTACAAGGGGATCTTGCACCCGTCCTGGATCGATGCTTCCCGAGGTGACGGGCACCGAGATGAGGCTGTCCTGCCAAAAAGTGGCCAGCTGTGCTTGCATGCGAGGTCCTAGTTGCGGGTACTGAAGCGTCACCACAATTCACTACATGCACACGAAGATGCCAGCAACACAGATGCTGCTCCTCGGGGCTGAAGCCCAAGCCGGTCAAGGCAACCTTGGTCAGGACGCCGACGGACCTCAGAACACCCAAACGCATCCCACACCATACGTGCCCTTGGACATCCCTGATGCTCAAACCTGGACGAATTCTGAGGACAGGTCCCGTGCACCACGTCGGTGAGGGGATAAGGTCCGAAGATTTCCAGATGCCCCAAACGATGCCAGCCCTTGCAGTCGTGCAAAGCTGTCACGGCCGCTGCCTGACCACCACGGAGATCTCCATAACAGACTCGCACGGAACAGCCGAACCGCTCAAAAACCCGCTCCATACTGCTTTATGGAACCCGGACCTCGCAGATGCAGAGCTCATGCTCTCCTGGGACGAGGCCACGAGCGTAGTTCTGGTCCGTGCACTCCATGGCCTGCAAGGCTTCCGGCGAGCCCAGAGCCGACAAGGAGACCACAAGAGCAACAGCGCTATAATGTGCTATAATACTATAACACTATAATTAATACTATAATTATACTGTTATAATACTATTATATACTATAATACTATTATCATACTGTACAAGTACCAACACACTTCGACTTCGAGCGATCCTTTCAAGCAATTTCCAGCAGGGTCCTTGCAGGGCAAGCTGTGGAAACTGCCGTCCGCAGTTTCGAGGCCTTGGAGCTTTCCACGCGCCAAAGACGGTTTTGAAAGCAGGGCTTCCCGAGGAACGTTCGATCGCAAATCCCCCGAAGCTCTGCATCATTCGTAGGCGACGGCACGGCCTCATCGAAGCACGGACACCGCAGCACATGGCCAAGGGTAGGGGCAGGGGCTGCACACAGAGACTTCAAGCCTTCATCTGCGAAGTTAAGCCACTCAGCTCCGCAATCTCCTTGCGTGGCAAACTCACAGGCGCAGCAGGCAGCACGACTAGTGACAGCACACCACGTGATAGATCCACCAAGGAAGTTGCTGCAGCGCGGCCTCCGTTCCCAGGGCCCCGCCAACAGGACGTCGCCAAGGCCGCCGTGCCCAAGACAACGGTCGGACCGGCAGTTGAAGCGACCTGAGCTTCAAGCTTTGCCCAAGGCCCTTGCAATGCAAGAAGGCTTTGGTCTGCAGTCTTTGCAAACTCTGAGTGCGGGGCAGAGGCAACGCATCTGGCTGCCGGCATGGGAAGGAGTCAAGCCCCGGTCCGGTCCCGTTCTGTGCGCAGGCTCCACCTGACGCGAACGGAATGCGGAAACATTCGCCTGACGTGTGCAGGGGAGCTCAGGAGCTGGCTCTCTCCCATGGCCTCAGCTCTTCTGTCAGAAGACTCATCTAGCAGTGACAGTGACTCGTCAGGGGTTTTTTTGGGGAAGGCACAGCGCAGGTGATGTTCAAGAGCGTGGAATGCCCGTCCGTGATCTCCAGGTCCAGCGGCCTCGGAGAGCTCACAAAGCGAAGTGACCGCCGGAGCTTGGGCCTTGGGCCTTGGGGCCCTCACTCCGAGAGAACAACTGGAAACCAGTGAGTGCTCGGGTACGACAGCACCTGCATGGGCCCCGATTCCCGATGTCTCCGGGAAGAATCCGACGAGCTTTGATGACTCAAGAGAGCTGTGCAGCGCCTCTTGCCGGATGGGGATCAAGTCTTTACACTCCTGCGATACAGATCCAAATCCCAATCAGCAATCAGCACGGCACCGTCTCAGCGAAAAGCGACTGTTGTGGGCTCGATCATCGGTCCTGGTGCACGTTGTGCACCCCAAGCTGTGCACAGCATCCTTTCAGAGAGCCGATGTGAGGATCCAGGGCTTCAGGATATTTCAAGACTAGGTTTGGGACGTCTCGCGATAAACATGCTTGGAACAACATGGGCTTATTAGATTCACGGCAGGACGTGTTGAGGTTCTCATCGGACAACGGCAACCACAACCACCAACAACTAGCAATGAGCGAGGACCACCCCCACAACAACAACCACCACAAGGAACCACATCACCACCACCGCCACCACCACCGAGCAGCAGCACAACGACAGCAGCAACAGCGGCAGCAACGGCAACGGGCAGCATCAATAGCAACAGCCGGCACAACCGAAACAACCTCACCCACCAAAACAATAACACCAACACCAACACAAAAATGAAAACACCATCCGAGAACAAGCGTCCGAAAGCTTGTGGAGCAGCGAGATAGTCAGCATCACGATACTTATGTAATATCATCGTGATTCTCCATCAAACATGAATAAATCCATCCCTCCATCTATCCATGCATCATCATGCATCCGTTCATCACCTCACGCCAAGCTCGATTCGTGCGATCCATCAAACATCAATCATCCGCAAGAAATGCCTCCACAGAAAAACTGTTCGTAACGCTTTCGCGAACGAGCACGACCACGATGGCAACTCCAGTAACTGCAGTAGCTGCAACTGCACCCACAACTATCATCACCACGAGTGTCAAAACTACACAACTTTCTTCTGCTACTACTTAGTACTAGTTGCTTCTGTTCTGCGTAATTGTGGCGTCGGAGCAAAAGGAGTAAGCCCACGGCTGATCCCATACGAGGCTGCTTCGACACGCACCTGGACCAGAACTGCAACGAAACAAAAGAGAGCAATGGACGAGGATTAGACATATTCTCTCACGATTGTTGCGACTCGTACGCCGAGTGAACTCTTTATTCTCCAGCATGTATCAGCAAGTCCTCTTGCTCAGTGTGGACAGGACAGCCTTGAGAGGAATTGTGGCAAAGCCAACATCTGCAGAAAGCACCTTGCAGCGAATTTGGAGGGCCACGTGGAAGTCACTGCATGGACCAGGCTAGCGTGACATTCCAAAGCCGGGTAGGTCCGTGGCAACTGACCTCACTGCCCCCAACACGCGCAGCTCGCCGACATGTTGTAGAGAGACGCTCTGCTGTCCAGCCTGACATATGTCGGGGAGCTTTTGGCGAAAGTCGTGGTTGCGATCCGAGAACAGTAACTATGTTATGATATTGCTATACTATTGCTACTATTTTTGTTATCATAAATATTGTCATTACTATGCGTACTGTCATGGCCTGGCCAGGGCAGCCGAGGTTGCCCTCACAAAAGCAAAGTGCATAGGAGCCTCAAAACTGCAGGAATGGCAAGGCATTCCGTGGATCCATGCTGCAGCTGAGCCCCCAGGCCAGACGGAACCCTAAACCCTGCTGAGTCCCCGGGCCAGACTGTAGGGGCCATGGCATTTCCACCCTGACCTTTGGAAGCCCAGGGTGGCAGCGTGCGGCGCGCGTTTCACTCCATCCCTCGTGGAAAGGCTCGAGCTGACTGTCCCACCGTCACCAGCCTGAAAGCTGCAAGACAGCATAATATAGGGGCCTGAAAAATTATCAGTGCATACCAATACTAGTTTGGGGGTTCCTTATTATAACTATAGTGTAACGGGCCACAAAACCCTATTCTACTCATTCAGGCCCCTATATTAAGTCAAAGTAGCCAATCAATCTCGTTCTCATGCGACCTAGTGCTTGGCATCTATCGCCTTTGCATCCCGAATTCCTGCTGTAGCAGGACGTGGGTGGCATCCGCAGTTGAATTTCAACAGGGATCCATCACTCTCAGGGTTGGGCGATGATTGCTGAACTGACGATGCCTGAGTCCGGCTGCGCTGCGACGAGTTGTAGGAATGGTTGGAAGTTTCTAAATCGGCAGATTTTATTGGCAAGATATCTGGTAAGATGCTGGCAAACAAGTCATCACACGGTCTATACTTCATCTCTGTGAGGAACAGATTGCCCCTCTTGGCGACTTCGGCATCCTGTGAGGAAAAGCGGAAAGGAAAGCTTGCAACGCGCCCTCCACGAGCCCGTTCGCGCGTCCTCGCCATGCAGCAGAACGGGCTCGTTGGGGCACTGCGACGCGGACGGGACGCAATCGAAGCGGAGACCTGAGCCCAGAGCAGAGGAGGGGAAAGGCGGGGGAAGAGGCCTGGGAGGCCAAAGGGCCTCCTCCCAAGCCACTGGAGCGCACGTAGCCCATCAGCATGTTGAAGAATCTGCCCTGGCCGTTCTGACCTTGCACCAGACGATCACTGCAAACTGCAGCTGTCATGTCAGGTCCAAGTCTAGGGAACGCGCAAGCGAAAATTCCATGAACCTGAAGCCACTGCACTTGGGACTTGGGACGTCTACGTGCAGTCAGCACTTCGTACCAATATCTTGTGAGACCCGGGCTGCCGCTGAACAGTAGCAAACCGTGGCCATGTCATTCTCCTCAGCAGGCGCGCAACTGGGCACGGCATGGCATCCGTGGCGACAAAGAGAGTGTGCTCAGTCCGCGGCATAATCTTGAATGTCAACCTGAACATAGTATGAATGAACTGTACACAATATGTGATAAGCCATCTACTATAGCTTTTGAATTATCCCAGGGGAAGTTTGAAGCCTCCGGTCCCCGGGTTCCCTTTGAGGCTTTGGCACCCACTCTGGCGGTGGTGTCTCCGAGCAGAGTCACTAAGGACGTGGAGCTAAAGACCTGCACCAGGTTAAGGCACACCATGACACCCTGTTGTTGCGAGTGCTCATCACTGCTTGCAGTGTTCTCGGTTTGACCTGCCTTGCCGTCCAAGTTTGCACAACTTGAATTCCCAGCGACTGCCACCACGGAATCTCCGGTGCCCATCCCTGTCATGAAGCGAGCTCTGTTGGCTCAGTCGGGGGAGTGGCAGCCAAGTCCCTAGCCGAATGCTTCTGCACGGCTCAGCCGGCATAGCTGCCCCCGATAGCAGTGAACCTCAGGCACCTCGGTCATAGCTTCGTGCTTCTGGCCTCCAACCGAGGACTTGGGTTCGGGCCGCATCCCCAGCAAAGCCGACCAGGGAGAGAGTTCCTGGAAAATTCCAAGGATTGCAAGACAGGGCATGAAGACTGCCGGCCCCCCGGCCCCGCCCCGCCTGCGTGCTGCCAGTCCGCTGCTCCACAAGCACCATCAGAGGAAGCGCTGGCGTAGTTTTCACAGTAGCACACCTCCAACCAGATCCCTAAAATCAGAAAAGCTCGACAGTACGGCAGCATGAGCTACCATGAGCTACCCTAGCCCGAACCGTAGCTTCGGGAATCGGCCCCGACCTTCAGTAGCCGTTGTGCTCCAGAGTCGGTGCTAGCCGTAGTGAAGCCAAGGGTAGTAGTCCCTTGCGGCACCTCGGGCCGGGGTCGCTTCGAAGCCTAGGAAACCTTTGCAAACAGGAGCACTCAAAGTGCCTGGAAGGTCCACGCAGAAGCATCTCCGATCCTGTCAGCAAATGCCCAGAGGCATCTGCTCGCTGCTTCTTCGGACGCTTCGTGGGTTTATTTTCAAACATATATGTGATCTTTGTTTGAATTTCTATAAATAAATGTGTATATCTATATGTATATATATATATAGAATATATACAATATTATTCGAAAATACACATATATATGGTCACGCGCTCCGCAGCCCCCCCCCCCCCCTCCCCCCCCAAAGGTCAATGGTCCGGATATAGGGTGGGGCCCCCCCCTCCCCTGTGGTGTGGGGTGTGGGGTTCCTCTTCCTCCTGTGGGGTGGTTGTGGGGTTTTGGGGTTTCGGGTTTAGCTTAAGCTTTTGAGTTTTGGGTTTACGGTTACAAGGTATAAGGCTTCGAGTCGACAAGGGCTTAGGGAGGATTTGCGGTGTATGCTCTGCTTTAGGCTTAGAGCCTGCAGTTAGGTGGTGTTTAGGGTTGGGTGTAGTGTTTTAAGTACAAGTTAAGGTTGCTCAAAACAGGGGCACGCGCTGCGTCATAGGGTTTACGGCTTGCTTGCGAAGGGCTTGCGCGTGAGCCCTGGCCGCCAGCATCCAACGGCCCCCAACCCCTTTCCGCACACGCCAGGCCCCGCCCCCCCCCCTGTCAGACCATACCATTGGGGGGGGGGGGGGGGAACGCCAGACGCCTGACCATATATATATATATATATATATATAGATTAATCTTAAGGCTCTCAACAATTTCCCCCCCCCCTCGCTTCTAAGCCCCGGAAGGCGCTCACACCCTGGTACTCTCTGCGACTCTGAAACAACTGAGTACTTAAAGGATCATGGAACTTAGTAACTAGGGTTATAGTTAGGGTAACTATACTCATAAACCCAATTAAGCTACTTATAACCTTACTTACTAAGTCCCATGATCCTCCAAGTAAACAGGGACTCCGAGGCTCCCAAGCGCGCTCTCTCTCTCTCTCTCTCTGCAGCGTCGCAGCAGTCACACATACAGTGCAGAGTACAGAGCTTCTCTCTGTTCATTCCCCGCCTCTACTTCTGGAGCAAGCAGATGGCAACAACGGACTCTAAAATATCTACTCTTGTCGGACTCCGTGGTGTGTATTGCGGGCGCATTGATTGGGTTTCCGGTCTCGCGGTTTTTTAACTGAGGGGGCTCTAGGCAACAGCTCAACCGCATCGTGAACATGCGTCCAGGATTTGTCTACATAAGCAGAGGACCAACACTGTCGGGGTTCCACTCCACCGGAGCTGGGAAACCTGAAGCTGAAGGGGCGATCTAGGGGCCAATCTTCTGGCGGAAGGTCTAGCACGACAGATAGAGCCACGAAGACCAGGCGCACCCTGCGGGCTCGGTTTTTCACGAAGTTATATTACCTTGGAGGTTTGGGAGAATTCTCAGCCCACGAGCGCCCGAAGCCCCAAGGCCCTCACCCATCAAAGCCACAATGTCCTGCCTGGGTTGCAGCATAGTGCTGGTGGTCGCCTCACCACAGGGCACCGCAGGGTTGCCTTCTGTAAGCTCTGCCATGTCCTCACAGTGTTCCAATGATCGCTTTCAGTGTTGAGCTCGGATTTGGGTGGTGGAGGGTTTGGGATCGTTGGAGGTTTGGGGTTTACGGCATTGAGAGGGTACAGAAGCTTCTGGGCAAGCGTGCCACACGGCAGTAATCTGTTGCACGAACCGGGCAAAAAACAAAGCTTGCCATGCATTTGCTCGCAAGAAAGTTCACACTTTCACGAAGCCCGATCGCTTGCAGTGGAAGGCACTGCCATCATGCTTGCCTGCGTGCCCCAGGTCCATGAACAGAAGAGCTTTTCTGAGCTTGGGCCCTGAACCCGAAAACTCCCAACGCCCCTGTGATAGTAGCCCGCTTGCTCGGATAATCCTTGGGAAATGCAAACGCTCCTGTGCCGACAGCCCTCCGCGTTCTGATCGGACTGTGATGCGGCATTCCTGCACGAGATTAGGCTTGCTGGTTTGAGGCTTCAGGGTTTAGGACTCTGGCTCGCGATGCTCATGTCGACTGGTTCATGCTGCTCTGGCAGAACCCTTTTGCGTTGGAGCCCGTTTGAATGGCATGTGGGTCTTTAGATATATTGAAAGCGAGCTGCGATGCAGTCAGCGGCCAGACTCATGCCGTGCAAGATCTGATTGTATTCTCGGTCACATAGACTTAGGCAAAACCGGTCCTGTTGAATTTGATTGGCACCCACCACCAGGCATGCAGCAATGGGAATCTCGCTGTGCTTGATGCCCATCGCGTAAATTACTCCGACCTGACTCCGGGCTGAGCGGTTCGAGAGAGACTGGCCGACAGTAGCCGTGCTTCTACGAGAGATCTACATACAGCTCTAGGGAAAGACTACCCAGAACTCTGACTCAGTGCAAATCCTCTGAGGCTCCGGCATAGTGATACAAGGCATTGTCCCGGTCGCAGGGAGACTCTGCTGGTGGAAGGGAAATGCCCAAGCTTGCAAGATAATTCGTTTCGTCTGAAGCTGCACAATAGCAAATTGGAAAGGAGCCACGGATCCGCATTTGTACAGGGAACCAGCTGGCCTTAAGCCATCCGAGCTGGTTCGAGGATTCGATGATGGGTCCCCCATGCACCAGGGGTGAAGGCTCTGCATGTGGGTGATACACATAAGATGCAACAGACAGCGAGTGTCTCCGCTTGTCTGAGTCTGCGCCGTCCGATCGGCCAGGGCAACCTGTGCCCGCATCTCTGACAATCGCACGATCCCTGAAACTCAAGTCCGGACCACTCAACTCCAGCTTGAATGTTGCACCGATCATCTCGAAGAGTTCCACGCCTGGGGCTGGTCCTGAATCTGAAGGTGCCCAACACTCTTTCAGCGTGGTACCCACCTGATGTGTCGGAACTGAACACAGTTACTTGGACCTTCCGTCAACCTGACACTCACGGGGGGCTGCGGTTTCGCGGTCCTGCTGCCCAGCACCCTGGAAGCAAGGGTCCGAGAAAAAAAGTAACCTCGGCTTCTTGTGGACCCACAGTTCCCAGCAACCTGCGAAGGCCTTCTTTACTCAAACACGCCAACAGACAACAGCCTGATACAGCCCTGAACGTCTAGGCCATGCCACTAGCAAAGGCGTCCATGGCGAACGGTCGCCCGCAAGCAGTGCGCAACATGCTCCCAGTGAAGAGCGGCGCACACCTCTTGAGGGAGCCATGGGCACAGTCCTACCTAAATACCTACCTACGGTCTCGGCTCCAACGCCGATCGTGGCTCTGAAACGATGACGACTCATTTCTTGGCTAAGTCGAATGATGGCATGCACAGCAGTGACTACTAATGTGGCCCTTCCTGGTTGCACGCTGAACTGGCTCACGCATCATTCGCCTCTGTTGCTATCTGCTTTTAGAGCTGATCAGCCGAAGGGTTCGCGCGCGCGCGTGCAACCATTGCCCTGATGGACCTGTAAGGCCAATGTTCCCTCTGCAAGACGAGATGTGATACGTTTCATACCACTCTTCAGATCCATGCAATGGTCTCGAGAAGGGTAGGTTAGGTCGCATGCAGATGTCGACCTTGCTGCCTGTCTCATGCATAGCTCCTGTATGAACTTCTGCGAGAGCTGGTTCACAGCCTGTGAAAGGGCCGGCTGCCGCTCACTTCCGTTCTCTTCAGGTGCACAAAGCCTCGAAGCTGTGCGGGAAGAAGTCAACAATCGCCAGCCTCGCAGCGCTGTCCTGCCGAGCGGATGCCGTCGAAAAGGCATGTCGCCTGGCTGTGGAAATGCCCTCCTGCGCCCCGAGCTCATCCAGCTTCGTCAGGAACTTTTGCGCCACATTCAACAGAGCATCCTCTGGCCAAGGTTGAAACCTGCCAGGTCTGCTGACAGAGCCCGCAGAATCGCAAAGCACGGCAACTTCCCGATACAACATCGCTTTTATACTAGCTTTAAATTCGACGTGTACTTGCTTTAAACCTATAGCTACCAGTGACCCGTACATACGATGCTGCTGCTAAACGGCTTCGGTGCCCGGATCATCTTATCGCCCGCAGTATCTTCATCAGCTGCCCTTACTTCTCCATGCATTCACATGTGCTTATAATACATGTATATATAATGTAACTTGTACGGATCTTAGAATATTCAGTTATACTTATATCATATTTGCATAAACCACATCAATCCTGTCCGCACTTCTCTTTCGACCTAGACTTGACCTTATCTTCGTTGCAGTTGAAACCCTGCTTGGAGGTTCATGGGCAGTCATAAGTAGGGTTATAAGTAGAGTAACTATAGCTATAACCCTTTTTGGGGACTTATAACCCCTCTTATAGCTACCCTAAACCCTAAATCCTATAGATCCCTTAAAGGAACCCTTAGAGGCAGGAATCCCAATTCGCCAGGCACTCCAGTCGATGGTCGTGCAGTTCACGAGCGCTGGGAATTTCCGAGCTCGGCTCCAAAGTCCGTCGCCCACGGGGCTGAAGCCTGGAAACCCTCTGATTGCACACAAACCAAGATAGTTAGTAGTAGTAGTAGTAGTAGTAGCAGCAGCAGTAGTAGTAGGAGCAGCAGCAGCAGTAGCAGCAGTAGTAGGAGGCAGAATTGGATTAGCGATAGCAGAAGCTATGATGAATTTGATGCCCACGTATGCGGAGACAGATGGCATGCGCCACAGTACCTTTGCGTCGACATCCCATGTCAACACCGAAAATTTATCCGAGGCGGCCCACATCCGCTCACTGAATGCCAACAGCTGCAAATAAAGGCCGGGCAGACACAGCGACATGTGCAGGTTCTTGCGGACCTGCGGAGCATGGGGAAGGACCCAATGAGTCACAGCTGCAGGCAAGGGTGGCGGTAGTCACAGGAGGGAGAAAGTAGCAAGTCCAGGTGAAGCTTCGGGCACCTCGAAAGCTCGTCAGTAGAAAAGTAGAAAGGCAGGTCGCAGGACACTGTAGCCACCATGACTAGTCCTAATGGCGGCAAAGCATCCTTCATGGCCACAAAGACTCAGATTTTTCGAGGTGGATGTCAAAAGCCCCCTTCCCCCGTATCAATAACCGACAATGATAAGGCATGAGCAGTAGCATTAGAGTGGCAAAGCAGCCTCGAGAATCCTGAGTTCGCTTCCCTACCGCTTACGGTTCGGGGAGTAGGATCGGGTGTTTGGACTAAGGTTTGGGGTTAATGATGCTTCGCGTCTGCATCTGGGCTTCTGTTCCCTTCCTAAGACATGTCTAGGTGCCAGGCTCGCGAGATGTAGAAAGCCCACCTGGGTTGGAAAGATCTGGCAGCTAGACATCCAAGCAGAAACTTGGGATCGTCAGGCCGAGTTACAGATTGTCCGGCGTGTCCACGATGCCCACACCCTTTGCTGCACTCCTCACGCTTCCGAGCAAATCGCAAGGTCTCGTGAGTTGCCGCGGCAGCGGCAGACGCATCCACTGCTCGCTAAAGAAGCTGCACGCTGAACGTCGGCATTCACTAATGGTTCAGCCGCACCGGAGTTGCCTGGTCTTCTACAATTGCTGATTCGGGCCGCTCGCTTTTTGGAGCAGCAGAGGTGAGTGGGCACAGCCAAAGATGCAAAGGAATGTGTAACCCATCTCCTGACCGCGTTGCGAATAGAATCCTTGTCCTGGCAGCATCGCTGCTCTTGGCACAAGCATCAAGCCGTGGGAGCGTGCCACACCAAATTGCTGCAAGAGATGCTGCATTCCGCGGATACGGGTCAATTCGAATCAAGCGAATTCTATTTGTAGTCCTCGCTGGGATACAAGTCTGTGATCTCCCCGGATGAGAGCAAGTCATTGAAGAACACGAAGAACCTGCCGTGGGCTATGTTGACCGGGATGGTGCGCACACACACACACACACACACACACTTGACACACTTGACACACACCCACACACAAGAAGGAACTGCTGATTGCCACCTCTCGTCCGCAATCTGGTTGTCTGTGAAGAGGAACATGACCCCCTCGTCTTTTTCACCCGCCCTGGCAGCAAAGAGCACTTATGGTTAGCACGGGCTTCCACCATCACGATCTGCTTGCAGACCACCTCTTGTACATGTACTGAAGGTCGGTTTTCAGGTCGTTCAGGCCGTAGGAGCTGGTGATGACAATCATGTGCCTGCCAGGACAGGCTTCATCGTGACAATGCAGTTGCTGTACCTCTGTCGACCCATGTCATGCAGCTGAGGTTGCCACGTCAGAGCCTGACAGATGAACGCACTCAGCCTGCCAAAGTGTGACACATGATTGGATGTGCCAACTTCTGTGGTCCAAGCATCGATTGAAAGCTGATATTCTGATATAATATCACATAATACAACAGGAAACAAAAATGCAATATATAATAATATGAAAAATATAAGATAACATAAGATAACATAATACAGTATATATACAATATAAAGTATAGTCTGTATGTATATATATATATATATATATATATATATGTATACATGTGAGGCTCCCCAGCTTCCCTTCCGAAAGCATGGCCTACTCAGGCTCTGCCGTCCGCTGCCACCGACGCCCACCAGCAACGGATGGCCCGAGGGGCCTCTCGGGAAGAGTAGCGCAAGTGGGCTTCTGTAAAGCCAGCATCTGCGTGTAACCGAAGATGTGCATCTAAGCCACTGGAGATGATACGGCTGATGCGGGCCACGTGCTTCATGGCGTCCTCAGAGACACGGCGTTACCTTCTCCCGGCTTCAGGGTACTGTCTGCACCTCGAACAAGACTAGATCCATGGAGGGGAAGGTGGCGTCGTAGTCTTTCATGGCCTGCCGACGGTACAAGGAAACTGCTACTCTTGGAAGTCCGTCTGAGCCACAACCCTTCCACGTTCCAATCTCCAGACTGACGATGAACGACACAGCAGGACAGGACTGAAGTTTGCACATTTTCCAACAAAGCACCACAAGTTCGGTCAGGACACGGCGAGGCTTGAAATTTAGCTAGATGCAACGAGCCTCCTGAAGAATCTGCGACAGGCGCTCCATGTCCTGATGTCAGACTTTCTGAAAAGACTTGGCCTTCGAAATGATCATTAATTCAAGGTAAAAGGCCTTGATCTTGTCATAGACGCCGCCGTCTTCCATGTTGTGGTGCCCCTGTCATGTAGACGAGTCTGAATTCGCTTAGGCCAGGTACCCCGTCATGCTCAGCAAGACTGGCCTTGGAGAAGGGTGCAAAGATGATGGGCTCCGGATTCTTCTCCTGAGGGCATGCGATACGCAAAGGGGCATAATGTGGACACACGTCTTGCAGGGGGCACGCAAGCAATCCGCTGCCTGGAAGTACTTCTGCAGATTGTGTTTCGAGAACATCTGCTTGGCGATCTTTTCCGTGAGCTGTCGCAGCCTTGCTCAAAGAGCCGAATCTAATCAGGCCCTCCCCTCCGCGGTATGTTAGGCCTACTGTCGGTGTAATACATGTCTTCTCCCATCTATCCTCACCGCTTGACCAGCTACTGAAGTACAGCTTTCGACATGCTCCTCTCGGGCTATGTCCACATGGTATGCCGACTATAAGAATCTATTTCAACATGTATGTGTATATATGTATATACACATAGACATATGCTTGGTCCAATCAAATTTGCCTACACACACTGTTCGTTTGATTTATTTTGACTTCCACACACACATATATATATATATATATATACACACACATGTATGTTATAGAACAACACGGTACAACACGGTACTGTGTTGCTTGCAGAACTCTGCACCGGTCTATGGCGCCCGGCTTCTTCAGGTCGGCCATGCACACCAAGCGGTCGCCGTAGATTCTTTCGCTTTCGTGAATCCTCAAAGATTTTGAAGTTGGGTTCAGGGTATTAATGTCGCTTACAGCAGTGTTCTACTACATGTATATGGGGGGTATAACAGGATATATCAACAAAAGCTTGGGCTTCGAGCTTGGATCTGAGGTGCCGTCCACAACAGAACAAGCTTCTCTGCATCCATGAACTCGCTTGGCTTCGCCTGCCAAGTGCCACGAAAAAATGTCGACGGGCGGTGCGCGCACGGTGAAGTTTAAGCTATAGAATTAGAAACCTTGAGCAGCCCAGAAAAGACGCCGCTCATGTGCCGGATATTGAACCTTGCAACAAGAAGGCCGACAGCTCTGAATGTGAGGGCTTTGCGAGGGTTTGGGCTGCATGCTTCGCACTCAGGTTCAAGCTCGTAGTGCATGTTCTGCGCAGTCTTTCTGAAGTTGGCGCTTACCTGAGATCACCGAGGCATCCCAAAGCTGTGAGTGCTTGAAGCTACACGCCGAGCCTGGGTGTGGAAGCTGAGGGCTGCTTTGATGACCCAATTGGAAATCTCTTGCACTGGCACCTGCTGAGTCAGTGCCGAATATGCACGAAGCAAAACCTTCCCCTCCCGGTGACTCTGGGACACCGAAACGACATTGCCGGATGCCCCTCCAGCCTTGAATGACAGCGTATCGAAGTGGCCTTTCATGAAGGTCGAGTAGATCAAGTTCAAGGCATTCCTTACTCCATCCAGCCGAGAGCCAGCAATGCACTTCTGATCGAAGCAACACGCACAAACACAGAGACGGTCGCTTGCAACGTTCCGCATAGCTTGAGCATCTCCAACACTGGCAAAGCCGAAGCTGGGCTTGCAGCTGTTCTGGAAATTGGACTGAGCTGGTCCTGCAAGCGAGGCGGATGCCAGTGGTGGAATCATCTCGGCTCATCAGGCGGCGAAGCGATGCGTCTGAGGCTCCGGTCCAGAAATGCCGCTGCAGCCGCGGATTCACAGTGAAGGATCCCGCAGTCGGGTTCATGCAGCAAAGGTACCTGGCAGGAAAGCTGACCTCAAGTCGCTGCGGCTTCTGCATCGCGGTATCGCACGTCACGGCATGATGCACCTGGTTTAAACATGTGACGTCTATCTGTATCTGGCTCTGGGTGTCACTGTCCGGGAAAACCACAAAGGAATCTCTGCGGCTGCGCACTGGGTGCCACCGATGTCCTTGACTTGGATCTTTACCCGATCGTACCAGTGGTTGTAGTCCTGCGAGCAGCCACCAACAACGAAAACGAACATGAGCACTCTGTCCCTAGCCACAGCAATATCAACATTCGGGTCTTGGGATGTCTAGAGTCTAGTTCCCTCTCCTGCTTTTGCTTGATCAACTCGATGGCAGACTGGGTGTTGTATTTGTCCAATGCTGGCCTTGGCATTCAGTCAGCTCTGACCGCCTGCGCAGCCCATCCGCTTCGCATGCCCGAAAGGTCACTGAGTAGGGCTGTGGCATGTTCAAATCATCAATGAAGTAGATCATTTGAAGCTTGCCCGGGGGAGCGTAGAGCTTGCCCGCCTCTCGGGACTACTCTTCTTGGCTATGCCCTTGCCGTGACGAAGAAAACTCCTACCGCGCTGCAGATGGCACCTTCTTCTCCAGTGGGATCTCCATCATCGTCTGGAGCATGGTGGAGTCTGTGTAATAGCTCCTGGGCTCTGTCGACGTAGCTTGAGGCTGACCACAGTACTCGCAGCACAGCAACACATCACAAAATGCGAAAAACGGCTAGTGCCATAGAGACACATATTCATCTTGTAGCCCATAAACACCTCTCCAAGAAGCTCGTTTCCAAATGATGGACTGGGGTACATCTGCAGTAAGCAACTCAATAAGTGTCCTTGATCTAAAGTCTAAAGAGGGCCGGCCTCATGGTCCAGCCTCTTCAGAAGACCCGTGCAGGACTGCGTCTTGCCTTCCGACGATCCGGAACCACAGAACACCAGGCCGCCCCCCCTCCCCCCGCTCTCGTGCATATGGCACCCACAGCCGATAAACCCGTGCAGCAGCACAAAAAAGCCAGGCAGGACGTCAAGTCGTCACTACCACTAGTGGCCGCTAGCAGGATCAAGACTGTCTGAGCAGATCACCACAACCAGCCAGGCCGATGAGCATCACAGGATGACTGACCTGCCGAGCTTTTCCCCAAGCCTTCGACCTGCCTGCGCCCTATGCAAACTTTCGGCACTTACGTGGTATATGTGGTATTTTGGGTCCTTTATATGATAAGGATCCTACTGTTTAGGGTGCTATATTAGGGTCCCCGGGCCTCGATCAAGGCCTTCATGAAGTAGTCAAGGCAGACCGTTTCGGTGGTCGGCCTGGAGCAGGTCCCCCCGGAAAGCCAAGTCAACTCCTCATCCGCACTTATCATAATTAACTATTATTACTATATAATTTCTATTATGCTCAATATTAATATTATATGACGAATAGAAGTACTATTATTATTGCTAGCTCATCTTCCACTTCCTGAGCAGCGTGCACGGTGATCTCTCCCATTGGTGTTGTGCTTCTGTACCTGAAGAAACGCCACGCTGCCAGAGACTCAGCGGCACTTTGACAACGATTGGACACGTCCACTCTCACAGCAGCCGACCGGACACCGGCTGGCAGGACCGCTGCACTATTCGAAGAGGCGGGGGGGCATTTTTAGGGCTGGGTCCTAAAGTTTTGGAGGCGCAGACTCAGGCAGGGTGCCAGGCAACAACTTTAGTGTCGAGCTTGCTGTACTTCAGAAGCTCATACTTTGCCGCGGACGGCTCTTAAACGGCCGAGGACCAAACTCATGCTGGGTGGACAGCCACGGCTGAAATCTCCGATTTGAGGGCTGCAACCCCGAGATGTTCCTCGTTCACGGCGGGCTCGCGCGAAGTCGACAAGGCAGTAGAAAAACAATGGCAAGTCCGACGTGGCGCTGGGTGACTGTTTCTTCTGGGGATGTCTGGCTGGCTACGATCCCAAACCACACGAACAAAAGGGCGGCGGGGATGGCAAGATCTGTCTTTCGTCGGTAAAGGGAAGACGAAGTTCAAGGGAACAGTGAACTCAGCCAACCAAGGGCCCAACGGATGTGTTACAAGGGACACCATCAAGCCTGTAAACCCGGACTGCATTTGTGCTGCTAGGTCCGGGTCTACAGGCTTGCTCGATCCAGATCCTGACGCAGCTGGACGTAGCCGCTCCCAGGTCTTGCCGCATCTTCTACGTGGGGCCCGAGCACCAAGGGCAGGTTTAGCGAAACCTGTCGGATGCATGACCAGACTAGACTCTGCGAGAAGCGTCAGAAGTGCGACTGCAGTGCAGACTGGGACATTGATAAACTGTCTTTACTGGCGCACTGGAGAGGCTCGACGAGAGTGCTCCATTCCTCTAACCTGCAAGACAGGGCCATGAGAAATACTGCGGCCCATAAATGACTGAGGCCAGATGCCTTGAATCACGGACATATAGGTCAAACACCAACCCCTTGGTCGGGTACCTCAGGCTCACAGATTTGCCTAAAAATGTTCTCATGAGCTTAATCAGCTCCGATAGAGACAGAGCTCAGTCAAGACACTTGATGGTCTTCATTTCATTCTTCCACCAGTTGCTGAAAGCTTTTCGGTAGTCAACTCCATCCACCTGAGTGGCATTGGCGCTGGGACCTTCCATCTTCCGGAACCAAAGCGCGAGCTCTCAAGGCCCTCGCTTCGGCGAGGCTACTCCCGGTCGCAAAGATGATGCAGAAGACGAACCAGGCTTCTACGGCCTTTTCAAGGTACACGGAACTCCGGGTCGGAAGCCGCATCTCTCGACCTGCGACTTCCCCGCCTCCAAGTTGTGAGATGGCAGGCGGGCATCCAGGAGGCTGCAAAGCGAGGAGATCAGCGCGACCTCCACATAGGGAACCTGGCCAAGGGAAAGAAATCTGCAAGCAGGGACGGCTTTGCTGGCTGAGTTTCGCTCGCTGTCTGCCTGGATCTTGGTAGATTTCCGTATCCACGTGAGCGTTGGGGAGCAGTACTTGTCGAAGAGCATTGCAAGCTGTTCCTAAAAGAAGGCGTAGTGAAGCTGAATGACCGTTGCATCTGTGAGGATTATCGCGCCTTGAAGGGTTCTGGATACGTGCACTTCTTGATCCAAGACTGCACATAGCATTGCCACTGGACGCCCTCTTTGTCCGACATGCACACCTCAGCAGCTGTGCATGAGCGACTCAGGTGATTCATGCTCACGCAAGATCACGGTGCTGACTGCATGCCGGCACGTGCAGTCGTCACGTATGAGCTTTGGGTAGACTGTTTAGGCCTGTACACTGCAGTGGCAACTTCACAACTACCCTACACCAGAAGGCTTGGCTCCTTGCAATGCCGGCTCTGGTTGCCGTAGCGGGGGTTGCATAATTCAGGTCGCGGATCTCGAAAATCATCTTCATGTGCATCTGCACACAGCTAAGCAGTTCAAGCAGCTTCACGCGCTGGCGTAGTGGCATAGGGTGAGCCCAGTTGCCTTCAGTGGAATTCGCTCGTTGGATGGAAGAGTCAGCAGCCTGACAGCCGCGGCCAAATCCCCACGGGAGCTATTGGGTACGTCAAGAGTGCCCAGGCCTGCTGTCATCCATGACCTTAGCACGGCTCCCGTCTCCCGTCCTAATACTCGCATTATGCTCGGCAAAATTGCCGCTCGCCAAGGCCGCAGCACTGTTCATGGATTCGATCCAGTTGGCATCGAGGTCACCATCCAGCATGATCCACTTTGGGTGGGTGTCTGGAATCAGCCTGGCGCGCTTCTGCATGCGGTGGAAAAGCCGGGCTGTGACAGGAGCACAGCAAGGATCGCAGCCAGCAACAACCTCGGCCCCGACATGCCAAGGGCACCCCAAGTCGCGCATCGTCTTCGAGAGAATGCCATCTTTCCACTCGCGGGTGTACTCAGAAGCCAGGGGCTAAAAAAGTGCAAAAATCGAGGTGTCTCTCCGACTTCGCACCCCAAAACATTTTAAGGAACCGGCCATGTTGACGCTTCCATAGAGTTCGTTTGTAGTGATGGCTTTCGGGCTGAAGTCCACGACAGTGGTCTTCTCCCCTGCAGACGGAGCCCAATGAATGCTTCCCACAACTCTCTCCTAGTGAGTGTGGGGCCGTGCTTGGTCTTCGCGTTCTTCAAGACCTTCCAGAGGAATGACTTGAAACTGCCCGGATTGCCTCAGTCCGGGTTCGAAAAACTACGAATCACGGAGAGAGAGAGCTAGAAGACGCTAGAAGCACAAGATCTCGGGGCGAGACCCATCAAGAAGACAGAGTGCCGGATCTCCAAGAGTTCGATGAGCTGTGAGATCTTCAGAAGCAGATACCTGCAAGACACTTCACCAAAACATGCGGCTTGGTTCAGCAAGGGATGTCAGGGGTCACCCATCGGGGTCGTTCGTGAAGCCGAAGTCAGATTCCATCACCTCGGACACGAGCCGGTGGACTGAAGGCATTCGAGAAAGCTTCAAAGACCCACCTCCACACAGAGCTTCTCGAAGCTGTGATCCCGCGCCCGGGGAACCTAAGCAGTCACATGTCTGAGTTTGACAATGATCGGGTGCAGAAATAAAGCACGTCTGCCTCTACCCCGGGGAAGAGATCAGCTAGCAAGCCCATGAAGATCTTCAGGTCATCCCCCTGCCAGACAAACGTGGCGACGTTGGCCGACCATGCACAATGATCTTCATCATGGATCACGCATGATGCTGCGGAATAGGTCCTCAATCTTGGCCACATTGGTGTCTCGCAGAGACCTCCCACACAGAATCTCATGTGCCGCCACATCGCTACTGTAGCTGCTCTGACGCACCAAAGAGGGGTAATTAATGCAGCTACCTTTGCTGGTGGCAGGTTGCAACACCATTTCTGATTCTCTGCTGCGACATGCTGCAAGGCATGCTCCAACAAATGCATGCCAGATGCTGACATAACGTTGCAGCGTTTGCGCAACCAAGACATGCAAGTGCCCTCGTCAGGCTACAGTGAAATTCTGAAAAGCTCCGTCTGTCCTCTCGTTGATGTGCCATGTCCTCAAACTCGATCTCGCCGAGCAGCCCTTTGGCCCTTTGGCTCATCATTGTCCGCGGCTTCCTGCGACTCCTTCCCTATGGCAAGGAGCTTCTCTGCTCTCAGCAGCAGCTACAATGTCCCCTAAGTGTAGTATGGCCAGTAATCTTTTTCTTGTGCGTGGACGTCTATCTTCTGCAGACATTGCCTCGACCGCAAAGCGGAGCATTGCAAACCATGGACCCAAGAGAACTTCTTCTGCAAGTCAAAAGGCTCTGCGAGGATATTCAACCGTGTCGCTTTTTTGAAGACTCCTGAGAACCATTTACCATAGCAAGGGAAAACAGCGTCCTACAGACCGCGGAAGTCTCAACGCTGACACGTTGTGCTCGCTCATGTGGATTACGTCCTCCCTCTCCCACTTCTTCTCCCCAGGGTGCCACGGGGATGGTAAACCGTAAGGATCCGTAAGGGTGCATCTCCAAAGAGACGTTCTCACAGGACTCGGACAGGTCTCGCGTGAAGTGGCTCCGCGATGCTGCTATGACCATGCATTCATCTCCTGCAGGGTCGCAGGCTGTGGGCTGTCATGCAACACAAACCGTTAGCGAAGGATCATGTGGGATGACTTAGCTAAATCAAAACTTAACAACCCCACGCGGATGGTGGAAAAAGCAACAGTCCTTGCTTCCATGACCATTCCTGCGACAGTGCGAAACCTTGCTGCATCAACGGCACACCCCATGCATCCGCTGACATGGGTTGATCCGCAACGTGAACGTGGGCTGCTGTGAGATTTGCGAACAACTTCAGGCCCTTCACAATACCAGTGGATGCCACCTTACTGTACTGGAAAACCATGACCTTGCGTCTTCCAGGCCTTGCTTGCTCCCATTACTTGATCATGCCAAGCCAGTTCTCGTCTGTCATGCAGGTCGCAAAGCACTGGAAAGGTGAACATATGTGCGTGGCAGTCCAGCACCGGGCTCCCAGGGGTTGTTAAGTAGCTTGCTGGTCCATGTTCCACGACCAAACTCGCCCATGTACTGCGGATTCATGCAGTGGCGCAAGTCCTCTGGAAGATGAAAAGGCTCGTGACGCCAGAGATTCTTCAGAGGCTCCGGACCAGCCGCTGGCCGAGCTTGCTCTGAAACGGTCCGGCAACCCGCCAGAAACGGCAGTGTCTTCGCCGACAGCTCCGGCACTCTGCAGAGACACAGTAGCTGTCAGCTTACCTGTGCCAACCCGAAACGGAAGCTTTCGGAAGCTCAACTGGAGCTGCTCGTTGGACCGCACACCGGATCCTGCTTGGTCCCAGCTTCAGTAGGACAGTAGGAGTCTCAGACGCTCAAGCACAGCGCTGATGATGATGCTGATGATGATGATGACGATGCTGTACAAGGCAGTGACGATACATAGTGCTCGTGCTAAGGACTATGTTGAAAATTGACCTCTTCTACTTATACTTACGGTATTATCATTCCTTGTCTTCTTCGTCGTCTCTTCTTATTCTGACTCCTACTCCTGCTCCTGCTCCTCCTCCTCCGCCTCCTATACTCCTACTCCTCCTACTCCTCCTACTCCTGCTGCGCGCGCTGATTCGTAGCCACTGCTGCTCCTGCTACTCCTGCTTCTCCTCCTACCACTATCACCTTCCACTACCACTATCCCCACCGCGACGCCTACCCCTACCCCCACTAGCACGACTACTAGTACACAAACCAGTACTACTACTACTACTACTACTACTACTACTACTACTACTACTACTACTACTACTACTACTACTACTACTGCTACTACTACTACTGCTACTACTACTACTACTACTACTACTACTACTACTACTACTACTACTAAGACTACTACTACTACTACTACTACTACTACTACTACTACTACTACTACTACTACTACTACTACTACTACTACTACTACTACTACTACTACTACTACTACTACTACTAGCCACCCCCCCCCTACCAACCACCTCTTTTACATACTCTTGTAACCCACATCCGTTTTACTCGGTATTTACAGCACTTTCGTCATGTAGGAACATCTTATGAAGCTAGAAATTTCACCTGCGAGTTTTCAAACTCCAGCATCCAATTGTGAATTTTTGTTGTGGGGGTGCGTGGGTGTGCGGGAAGAATGAAGTCGAGATTGTTACGCGGACACCTCGAACAACATCTCCGCAAGAGCCATTTTACTCGGTATTTACAGTACTTTCGGGATGTCCGCCATCTTATAAAGTTGCCAAGCCTACCTCTGGACTTTTCTACGTTGTCTGTTTGCCTTTGCGAGGACTTTCAGCGAAAACTCGAAATTGGGTGGGGGAAGGCTTGTTTTACTCGGTCTTTAAAGTAGTTCATCTGGTATGTTAAATCTTCGTCATCATCATCATCAACAACGAACATCATCACGACTTGAACAGAACAGAGACGCATGCAGATTGCGACTGCACGTGTCTCGCAGGTTTTTTGGAGCTGGCAGTCATTGCTTGGCGCGTGTCCCTGCAAGGTTTGGTGGAGCTAGCAGTCAATAGTTGGCATACAAAGCATCCTGGAGCATCTGGGCTACTAGGAGCAGTTCCTGTGGAAAATCGCTGGCAACTGTTCGAGGCTGCCTGTACGTTATCAGCCACCCCAAGCAACGCATGTAAAAGGGGGTGGTTGGTAGGGCGGGGGGCCGCCTACTACTACTACTACTACTACTACTGCTTCTACTGCTACTTCTACTGCTACTGCTACTGCTACTGCTACTACTACTACTACTACTACTACTACTAGTACTAGTACTAGTACTAGTACTACTACTACTACTACTACTACTACTACTACTACTACTACTACTACTACTACTACTACTACTACTACTACTACTACTACTACTACTCAGCCGACGACTAGGACTACGACTACTACGACTGCAACGACAACGACGACGACTACTACTGATAATAATACGACTACCACGACTACTACTACTTCTACGAATACTCCGACGACAACGACGACGACCTCTGCAGTTACTGCTACTGCTACTGCTGCTGCTGCTCCTGCACTGCCACTGCTACATCGCCACTGCTACTGCTCCTGCTCCCGCTATGCTGAAAACACTTATGTTGCTGCTACGACGACGACGACTACTTCTGAAGCACTGCAGCTACTGCTGCTGCGACTCGTACCCTCGTACCACCGTTTCAGGCACTTCTCCACCCCAGCCACCATCCGGCAATCCGCACCCCCAAGCATCCACCACTACAACCGTTTCAACGACGACATCCATTTTTAGGATGATGACTTGGTCATGGCCATGATCGTTCTTCCCTAAACGGACCGGAGTGCTACTTTGTCGTTCATGTTCGACACGCACCTGTCCACTGTATGCAGCTCGCTGCTGCTCTTCGCACGGATGGCACATAAGCAGATGGAGGATGTAGCCTTGTGCTTGCAATACGGGTGCAATCGTTGTGTTATTCGTTGCCCTTTGGCTGTTTTCTAAAGTCTACAGTGCTACCAGACGCTTTGTACTCCACTACAACAGGGCCGGCAGTGCTAATTAAATAAAATGGGCTTACCATTTCCAAAGATATCTGCCAGCAGCGTTCATCACCTTCGTCATGCTCGCCCAAGTGTCGCGCGGAATGCGGGTAAGTGTCGTCAATGACGTGCGCAAGCCCGGTCTCCCAGTGCAGCTTGGCAGTGCCAACATACAGCTCAATAGGCCTGTAGTGAGAAAAAAAAAAGCCAGTACCACTTCTTCATATACGATAGTCTCGCACTTTGCTGCTGAGTTGCGCAGCCGGCACATCAAGCCTCATGGCAGTGAGTGCTCTGTCCAACTACAAGACTGCCCTTCTTTCGCATCAACAAGACAGGACTACACAGAACCAGGCTAGACTCTAGACTATGTGGCTGCAAGAAACCTTTGCCGCAGGCGAGCAAAGGTCTAAACCTAAGTGCAGACTTAAAAGCGGTAGTTGGACCTTAGTAGGATCCTCAATGTAGCTTCTTGTGACCGAGGAGCCCGAGGTGTGCAACTAACCGCGGAGGGCCGCCCATGTGGGGCTTAATCCAGGCCCCGGGACGCATGCGGTTGATGTATGCTGCAGCGTGGTCGCACTGGAACTCGGGCCTCTGCCAGGGGCGAAGGACTGTCGAAGAAATGAAAACAACAGGGCGCAAAAAAAGCGCATAAGCAAACAAGGATAGGGATGACCCATATAAACCCCCTTTTAATGAAACCCAATAAGGGTAGGGATATCCCTATCAAAATGCTTATGCCTAGCTCCTGTTAGGGGTCCCTAAAACAAGAGCTTGAAGAAGCGCTCCGACTACCAGCCTGCTCTGCAGGAGCTCACCTTAGATGGGAAGGACACAGGATCGCGGCTGTTTTGGTCTGTTGTCGGAAGCCCCGCTACAGGCAGACTTCATATCTTGATTAGTCACCTCCCAAAACAACAATGCTCCTGGTCCGCTCCATCACGGCACAAAACCCTTGTCAGCAAGACGCTGGAAATAGCTGCTGAGCGGCAAGTACGAGGCAGCTGAGAACAGGCAGCCAGTTTCCACGGCTCCTCTTCCCGAGTGTCCGCCAATTCCAGCACTGTCCAGTCGGTATCTCTGGCATGGTCTTGGCCCTGCGAGCGATATCAAGCTACAAGTGTGACACACCCCTTGACCCCTTAGAGCACTTGTGTTGTGAGAGTTTTCTTCGGGCTACTTTGACTCCCCTTTCTCCAACTGGTCCTCTGCATTCCTTTCCGCCTCGTGTAGTGCATCAAACAACCCGACGTGCTGGAGCAAAGTGTCAAGCTCGCCACGGAAGGTGGAAAAGTGCTCCTGCGGGCTTGCATCATGCCCGGGTGCGTCGGGTCTCTCGCTGAACGACCCCTTAGGCCCTAACCCTGCCTCCAGCCAGCTCTCGATAGGCAGCATCTTGCTTGGCCAGACAGGGCCAGGAGAAGGAAACATCTCATGATTGTAGTTCATGTCGTGGGGATGCTGCCATGGGAACCTCGCGAAGTATGGGTGCCGCATCATCTGAGAGAAGTGCCCACTGGCGTTGCGCAGCATCCTGGCAGCTGGTCGCACATCTCCCCGCCTGAAGCAGGAGCTGCGAGTCTATTACAGGAGCCGTTTCGGGGGTATATTATATTATAGTCATAAAAAAGGAACAGTATAGGTAATTACGTAGGCCCCTATAGTACGAGTCTGGCACTCTGCAACCATCTGCAACTTACAGCGCTCGAACCCAGGTTGCAAAGGGCCTCGCAAGCTCAGTTCCGATTTCTGCTTCGATCATGACCAGCTGCTGCCAGAAGATGTGACACCCGCGCTCCATGAAGCTGCGAATCTCAGCTTCTGTAGGTTGCTGAGCCGCATCCTGCACCAAGTGTACAAAAGAAATCGGAAAGCCGACGGCTTCCAATCAAGACAGCACTGAAATTCGGGTGCCTCGATGAACTGGAGGCACCCCGCGCTTTCGAGGCCGCATCTCAGCAGCTCCGCGGCACGCATCTGTGCAGACTCGTCGACCTCCGCACGTGGGACCACTCCGTCCTTCCAGCGGAAGTAGAACCAGTGGTAGAGCTCCATGCCTCCAGGAAGCCCGGGGTGAATCGCAGTCCGAAGACTCTTCAAAGCCCAGCCTATGGCGAAGCATAGTGCCGGGGTCGACTTCAGCGCCAAGTTCTCCAGGAAGGCGAGACCTTCCGTCACGTCCTCCCAAACCTCCCGGAAGGTTGCCTGGGCGTCTGAAGGAAGCTTGCCCACAGGCGCAAGGCGTGAGAAATCGTGAGAAAACGAGATCTCGCTTCCGCTGCAGGCAGTCGCAGTGCCGCACCGAAAGTATCGGAGCTGCTTCTTCTCTTTCAGCCAAGGCGCCTCAGGAGCCCTGGAGTAATAGATCCCCTGGATGAACTTGTGTACCTCCTCCATATTCTGGAGTGCATTGTCTCGGGAGAGGCTCAGTGGACCCCATGTGATCACATTGCCCTCATCCGCAGCGCCCAGGCTTGCAACAAGGATCGCAGCGCTGCAAGTCCATCTCATCATTCACCTTACAACTTGCTGCTCAACACGGAGCTGCTTAAAAATGATGTCCATTCAATTTCGTAGGCAGCCCCGACATCCAGGTCGTTCGGATGTTTTCCGGGTTCGAGCAAATCATCTGAACTTACGATTCAGCCCAAGCCACGCCAGTTGGAATTGCGCAGCCCGCTTGGTGATGCGATGCTGTGGCTCAGCCATGTCGTTTTTTCCCTGCCGATCCCTACTGCCTGGTCTTGTGGTTGATTCGTTTTTCTTCATGCTCTGCATGCTGTCGCTGCCGTTTCTGGTTACACCCAGTTCTTACTGATGCGGTACCAGTGCCATTCCCATCTACATGCATGAGAAATCTCACTGCAACAGGTGTAGTCGTAGTAGTAGTCGTAAGAAGGGGGTGGGAACAGCAGCAGAAGCAGGAGCAGAAACCGTAGCGTTTGTGGCGGTGGTGGTAGTGGTAATTCGTGGCGGTTGCGGTAGTAGTTTTTGCGCGATGATACCAAACCTAAGTCTTAACATTGTGTAGTATTCACTCTTCGACAATCTCTGATTCCTGCCTGAACATGTGGCCAGTTGCATGGTTGACGGATCGCGCATGATTCGAAGGCAGTGGGCACAAATGTCACAGCTCCTGCCTCATCAGCACGGCTTGCTCTGTCAAGCTGGGATCTGCTCGCTTGAAGCCTCAGCCGTCTCCGACATGCACAAGTAACCATTGTTAAAAAATGCGATTGTTAAAGATGCAGTTCGCCTCTTGGCCTAGAGCTCCAAGGCCGGAGCTACCTGCGACCACGAGAACGGATTTGATAGCTCTCATCCCCCAATCATACCTCCAATGAAGATGAGAGCAGCTTCACCGACTGCGGCTAACAGTCCCACAATGTCACAAGCCCTTGCTCTGCCCAATTCGCCCTGAGGCAGCATGGCACCACGTCTCCCCTTGACTCAGGGCACTTGTTGGATTTCGACAGCAGGTCCTGGAACGTGCAGGTTGCGTAATCTTCGAGCATGATCCGGCTCGGTTCGTCGAGATGGGGCTTTTTGCATCTTTCATGAGGCTTTCAGCCGAAACGATTTTAAAATCGCGCTCTGTGAAACGTCGCGTAAACCTGCGGCCGCTGAGGATACCGTCAGGGCCATAAACCAAGCCTCTCGGCTAAGTGCTGGTGTTGAACCTCGCGGCCTCAGGCTGCGATTGTTGCAATGGAACCTAATAGAACCGAGGGGGCTGCCCTCGTCGGATGCACCCAGCGGACCTAGCGACCCGAGTGCTGCGCAGCTGCAGCCTCCAGCATCTCGTAGGAGCCTCAGAGCGTTGCTCTGGACTTTGAGGAAAACTCCATAGCTGCGCGAAGCGGCATGAGAGCAGGGCTGAAGCATCAAAACCTGTCTACCTTCTAGTTGCGTGGGTTGTTCCTTGTTTCCGCCCTCTTTGTCATGCCTGGCTCACAACCGTTGGGGAGCGGGCTACTGGGTGCGTCCGAAGCATCCGCCTCTCAGGGTCGCAAAAAGGGGGGTGCGAAGGTAGAGCCCCGTCAGTGCAGAAGTCCCTCAAGCACGGTGGCCTGAAGAGGGGCAGGATCCACCGAAGTCAGGTCCGCCTGCCGCCTCAGGCCACCGTGACTCTACTCGAATCGATCATCTGACGCTCGGAGCTGAGCTGCCGACCTCTTTGGACAGGGCCTGTACGTGCAGAGCCATGGTTCAGAGTTTAGGGTTTAGCGACCGTGAGGCTTTTGATCTGACTTGAAATCTTCTAAGACCCCTTGAGGACATCGCCGCAATGGGGACAGCAAGGAAAGCTCAAACTCCGTGCCTGGCCAACGAGAAAGCACCGTTCGGCACGCTGACAAAAGGATGCTTCTTCTGGACAGGATGGTCGGAAGGTACTCTCCTCTGCATCTTATATCCCACCTGGTGGCAGTACCAGGGAACCTGAATGATGCCCTGAACTACAGGCAACAGGCCTTGATTTGCGTCAATGTAGTTCTCGCAGGACGCATAAGCAACCTTGCCTCGTCTTTGAACCGGGCAGGTCTTGAGGCAAGCAAAGCTTCAGCAAAGCACATACATCGACTTGTCGCAGAATAAAGGCTTCAGCCTTGCCAACACTGGGGTGCCCACATGCACAAAGCATGACAAAGAGGGTCGGCACACCTTGCGCGCTGGGATGCTCAAACTTCACGCAAGCAAGGTTCACGTGAAGTTCCTGTAGCATGGCGTCACCGGCAGCAACTACTACTACCACAACCGCTGCGGTTATTAGTTGCCGTTTGCGATTGAGGCCCAGACATATTTCAGCCTCTTCAGCACCAAAGCAGAAATCAGTCCTGGTTCCACCAGGGTCGCAGACAAATTCAAGCAGGGCGTCTGCCCTGGACAGCGGAGGATGTTAACATGTGAAAGCTGGAGCTGAGGCGGCAGCAGCAGCGCTATCCAGAAGCCACCCTCGGCTTTCAGATGCGTTGTCCATGAGGACGACGATGATGATGCTGATGACGGTGATAGAACATGATGGAGATTATGATGGCTGTGGTGAAGATGACGTTGATGCATTGGTGCTATGGGCCATGAGGGGGCAGACAGGATGACGGAGGCGATGACAATACTTCCAGGGTGGTGGCTAGTAGGATGTTGATGAGAATACTAGCAGTATTAGTAGCATTAGTAGTACTAGTAGTACTAGTAGTACGAATAGTACTAGTAGTATTAGTAGTATTAGTAGCATTAGTAGAATCAATACTACCCTTCATGAAACGTGTCCGGGAAGCTGCCACGAGCTTCTTCCTCTTCAGCGCCTCTTCTGCATCGAAGGTTGCCAGGCCTTGCTCCCGAGCTTGGGAGCTCAATGGTTGGTCTACCGCAGTACTTGTCGCAACACGCCCAAGAGACACACACACACACACACGCAGAGACACACATGTGCACCTGCTTACGGCTGTTTTTGCGAGTGATGGTCATTCTGTATCTGGGAAGCCACAAGGATTGGCCGTACTCATCCTTCTCCCGGCTTGCTGAGCACCTCCCCCGAACAAACCTAGCAAGCCATAGACAGCCATGTCGAGGGAACTGACTCGATCCTGGCAGGCAGACTGTCGGGCAGCCTTTGTTTGAGCTAGATTTCAGGGTTTTGACCCCGCAGAATCAGCTGCAACCCCGGCAAAAGGATTGTGGATGGCTGTTGCAAGAATGGTGTCACTGTTTCCTTAGCACCTTTCGAACACTGAGCTGTTGTTTAACCGGACTTGACCTCACCATCAGTGGTCCCTCCCCGGAAGTGTTCTCGGGATCCACGTTCATCTCGCTAGTTGCACACATCTTGATCATGGTGTACTACAGAGCTTTACTGTTGCCTGTCTGTTTCGAGCTCAGGAAGGGCTGAGGATGATTATGCTGTTGCCGCTGGCCATGACGATACGTGCTGCTGCCGCTGCCGCTGCTGCTGGTGATGGTGACGATGATACTGGCGCTGGCATGTTGTTGCACATGTTGACGATGGCGACGCAACGAACTAAGAAGGATGATAACAGCAATAGTCAGGAAGTGACGAGGATGATGATGACGCCCAGGACACGGTTGTGCTTCTAGCGGTGGCAGGGCGAGGTTGTTGGACTGTGTCGGGCCGTGCACATAGCTATCCATGGGGCAACAATCTGGCAAGTTTTTGCTCTGCACTCTCACGTCCGCCAAGGTATATCTACACAATTCTACACATCTCTGCATACCCAACACAGGAAGGCTAGCAATACCAGCCCTGATGAGGCAGCTTCTCAGGCTGGGCCACAAAAAGCTGGTTCTGGACAGGAGCCCCGAAGGGTAAGCGATGGGCCACGGGTCGAAACTCTTCTTTGAAAGTTTGCTCCAATCTATAGAATTCGTCTCTTCTTCTGCCCATTCATGGGGCCCTCGGAGACTCCAAGCAGGTCTTGCACCTGAAGTCACAGTACTCAAAGAGGCATTTTAGGATTTTTTCGGGCAAGTAAGGAAGATGTACAAGGCTAAGGGCTCCCGCGACACTGAATTTTTAGCCAAACGGCAACGCGCGGCAGCTTGCCAGCTTTCAGCTGTGCTTGGACCGTCTTGTTGTTGTTACCAAACATTCGGCAGGCCTTCCTGGCAGGGGTTTCGCCAGTTTAAGGGGTATTCAAGGCTTTTAAGGGTTTAGGAGGTTAGTAGTTAGGGTCTATAGGGCTAAATTTGATGACAACACAATTGCAGCTTTCTCTTTGGGCACCGCGGCATTTTCGCTTAACTTTCTCGGCGCCACCCACTCCTCAGGGCGTCTGGGCCTTTGTATGCAGCCGCTTCGGTGATCGCGACGAAGTTCTCATCGTTGATCATCGTCTGCAGAATCCCACTTAACATCACCACGATATAGTCGACGGCCCATCTGTGTGCCAAGTCCATCGCTGTGAGGACAGTTTCCCACTCCAGATCGTTGCAGGTGCATCCAGTGTATAACACCTCAAGGAAGAGGGAGACTCCACTGCTGCTGGCGTCCTGTGCAAAGAATGGAGAAAGCCCCCTTCGAGGCAAGCCTACGGGGACAATCAAGGAAGCAATATGTTCAGAGCTCCTTCACATCGATGGTCTTTCTGCGAGCCTCTACCAAAGAGCCGAATAGCATGGCATCTAACACCGGCGATGCTTTTTGCAACACCCTTAGCGTCGAACTTAGCGTTGGCACATAAACCTGACGCAGAATAACAACAGACCACATGGAAAATCTTCTGGACGCGAGTCAAGGGTCAGGTCGTGCGCCGTGACTTGTCCGTCGGATGTTTCGAACGTCACATTATGGGTCTTGGTGCAGTGGCACAGGCTCTCCCACAGCTCCAGAACGCTTCGACTGATTGTGATTCTGGGTGGCTTGACATTCGCCTGCCGTCAGCTGCATCCGAGCAAAGATGAGTGTTCAAGCAAGCAGGAGCAATGAGTGTTGAGGATAGCCCTGCCACAAGGCACCCCAACTCTCAACCCTGCTAGCAACCTTCGACACGGCGAGAAGGCCTAATGTCTCTGCTCTGTACATACACCCGAAGACCCTAGAGCTTAAGCGCCTAAACGGGCCTAAACCTTAAGCCCAAGCTTACACCATCATAAAGCCGGAAGCCATAAGTCCTTCATCCCAGACTCCCCAAAATTTCCCCCCAACTCCCCTAAGCCCTAAACCCAAAGCCTGAAACGCCCGACCCGCCGGACCCTTGCCCTGAACCCCACACCCTAAACCCTTACCGGATCTTTGCCTCGGTCTTGGCCATCCTTGCCAGGGCTCCCTTCAGGTACTCGATCTCCCGGGTCCAGTCGGCCTGCTGCTTTCCTGCATCATCGGAAGCGTCGCAAGAGGTCTTAGGGCATAGGGGCCAGACAATTAAGTATAGTTTCTTTAGACGGCTTTAGGGTCTGAGGGTTTAGGGCTTTAGGGTTTAGGGCTATAGTGAAATATAGCTGCTCAGCTGTGAGGACAGTAGTGAATACCAGAATGATCACCAGATGAACAGAAATAACAGTGATAGTGATGAATGTACGAGTAGTTGATACTGTACTCACCACGAACACTAACCGAAAATAACAATAGCCCTTACCACCATCATTTTCCCCATCAGTTGTGGCGGTAGCAATATATTGTAGGCAGAGTATAGGATTCTTGCTCTAGGCATTGACCTAAAGGCGGCAGAAGTTGCTTCTTCTGGAAAAGCCAAAGCAAGCAGAATACATAACAGTAGTAGTAAGTTCCTGAACCCTAAACCTAAACTCCTAAACACAGTAACAGTAAGTTTCAAGTAGAATCTACAAGAATCTGACCTGTAGCTGGGCTCCTTGGAAGCTGGCGACCTTCCACTTTTCGGCTCGCATCTTTCTGTCCCTATGTTATGGATAGACTAGGTCTCACAAGTGGCATCTTCAATCTTTTAGTAGCATAACAATGGTAGGAATAAGTCCTTGGAGCAATAGTCACTGCTTTTACCGCTATGGTCGCAATGTGAAACAGATTACAAACACTGATAATCACAACACATACGAGCACGAATGGGAAGAGGCACCATCACAACAGTGTATGTATGGTGAAGACCATGCTACTCATGCCCATCATCTCTTCTATAATGGCTTGTGTTGGGCTTTCCTACGGTCCCAGGGTCGCAGACCTTTCGGCTTCGCGGCATGCCTTCTTAGACACACGTCGAAATACGGCGCAGAAAGCATCTACGTCGAGGGCTAAGGTCTCGGGCACGCGCTTCGTGCGAGTTTTAAGAGCTCGAACAGGAATGCTACCAACACTCCATAAAGCGCCTTTGCTGATAGTTCCTGTTCTTGTCTGGCACCCACACGGGGTGGTAAGACTCGGTGATGGTCGATTTTGAGGACCGGCCGTGGCCGGCATCACCCAAGTCCTCACCACTACCCTCAGACAGGCCAGTCTCTGTGCAAACAAAGGGGCAGCAGACGGCACAGGCACAGTTGCAGGGCCGAACGGACAGTTCGGATCGAATGAGCGGAAGGATGCGGAAGACAGCGGGCCGCTGCGTTCCCAACAGCAGCCAAGTAGCGGCGTAGAGTGTAGAGCGTAGAGTCTAGTGTAAGTTGATGTGCTTTTGTCCGGATAGCTCTGCTCGAGGTCTTGGTCTGCCCGTTTAGTATAGGGGCCTTAATAATTAGAATAGGGTTTTGGGGGATCCTGATTAGAAATATGGTATAATGGGCCCCTATAGTAGGTTTCGGTTCGCTGAAATTGGTATGGGCTTTTCCGGTTACGAGATAGTGCGCTCGAGGTGGTTCGGTGACGTGATATGCATGAGCGACTCACTGTTACCAGACACTTCGGAGGCCTTAAAAGGTGGGATGAAGGTAGGTAGGATTAAGGATCCCCAATACAAGGACTCTTATTTGGGTATTATCCCAGCTACCTTCATCCTACCCTTGGAGCCGTTTGAACAGAGTGGTGCCCCAACTTGGCGCCTTTTTGGCTCATCTCATGCTCTAAGCACTTTCGGCAGGAGAGCACCAGGGAAACAGCAGAATGGTTCTTGTAGTCGATGTGGACCCGCGTTCCTGCACCGACGGCTTGCAATGCTGTGCATTCGACATCCCTGGCATCTTCAGCAGGCAAAGTCCTTTCTTGTCGTGGTTCTTCCAAAGATCCGTGCCATAGGTGCAGGAGACGGGGGCTTGCTGGGCTGGATCAGCTCCTTCTCCCACCACCCACTCTATGACCCGGAAGTACGGGTCGAAATCTTCCGACGAAATGCCGGCGAGGGCCGCCTTCCTTGGGGCAACACACATCTTCAAAGCAACACAGGCCTATGGCACTAGACTGGGCTACCGGGATGGCGATTCCACTGTCTCGATCCTGCCGGCATGAACGGCAAAGCTCTTCAACAGCCAAGAAGCTGCAGAGGAGTTATCTTGTCATCCTCGTGGATGGACAGCCACGCGAAGTGGGGAGGAGTGAAGGCTTGTAGATTCTCGAGATCCCCGGTATCAAGTAGGGACCACACCACATTGTCATGGCATGCTTTCATGACGCTTCCTTGCTTGAGCCATTGTGTCAAGCAGCATCCGCACTTGCAACGCACACTCAGACTCAAGCAAATCTAACGCAGCGTCCCGGGGTTGGGGATCGAAAGCTAGCTGCGGGCTCTGCTGGGCTCGCGGCGACCGAAGGCGGAGTACATTACGATGCAGACCGAGACCTGAAAGCGAGGAGTGAGCTCAATCTTGATCCCGATGGCGATCGCAACCGACTGAGAGCTCTGCTAGCAAGCCCTTTCCAAAAAGGTCTCGATTGAAAGGCACCTTCCTGCAAGGTTGTGGGTGCACGCGAAAGGAGACCAGCTTCGCAACGTCGTTTGACGGCATCAGGCTGCATTCCATTTCGGGTTCTCTAAGCCAGGCGCATGTACGCCAACGACGCGTACACAAGGACCCAGGCCTGGGTGCAATTGTCTGCTCTTGAGCCAGTCCGGGAGTGGTATCGGTGACTCTTGCGCTCTGGCAAAGAAGGTCAGCACAACCTCCAGGACCATGCGGGACATGTGGTGACACCTGGAACAGCCACAGGTCATCTGTCCCATTGCTTGGCTTCTCTCTCATGTTCCGTTCCACTTCAAGAATCAGGGAGCTGACATCCAGCAGTAAATCAGGATGACCACCGACAGCAAAGGGACCTTAGGACGGCTGAGTTGAGGCTTCAGACGCTGGAAAGGCTATGCCAAGCCCGAGCTCCTAGAGATCGGGGCCCAGGCTCCCACAACAATGGCAATGAGAGGCACGACACCCGTCAGTGCCAAGAGACCCGAGGGGTCGTCCTGGCCCCAGGGCACCGGAACAATGTCGGTTTTTACAAAAGGGGCCTTAATCATCAGAATTGGGTCGTGAGCTACTACAAACATGTGGGAGGTTGTCAAAATTAGGGTCCCTTTTTTGGGTCCCTAATATAATACGGCGGCACCTAATATTTAGCGTACCCAAGAAAGGACCCTAATTTTGACAACTACCCATAAAAAGGAAGGAACCCCCCAAAGTATGGTTGGAGATGTTGGAGATGGTTTAGGGTTTAGGGTTTAAGGTTCCGGGTTTAGGGTTTAGGGTTTAGGGTTCAGGGTTCAGGGTTTAGGGGTTAGGGTTTAGGGTTTAGGGGTTTAGGGGTTTAGGGTTCAGGGTTTAGGGGTTGGAGCGACACCAGGGCCGGGCCTCCGATCCGAAGCGCGGCAGCGAGTTGCCGCCGCCCGATCCCTGAGGTCCGACATCTCCAAGGGAAAAAGGAGGGACCCTTAACTTAGGGGCTCTCAGGGTTCCTTTAAAGGGATCTATAAGGGTTTAGGGCTTAGGGGAAAAGGAGGGACCCTTAATGGGGACCCTTACCCTATAATGGGCAATATAATGGGTAATATAATAGCTATATTAAGGGTATATACCTCGGGGTCCTTATTAAGGGTCCCTCCTTTTACCCTTGGAACATCAACTCCAGGAGGCCCTACACTAGGGGCTCGCCTTTAAGGCGAAGATCGAGTGCTCAGAGACTCCAATATCCCTTAACTATGGAGATACCTTCATTCATAGTAGGATCCCGAGTATGATTTAAGGTACATTCCTTAATGAAGGGATGTTGGAGTCTCTGGGAAGATCGGGTGCGCCTGGCCTCTGCATCCGAAACGGCCTGGCTCATGGCTCATCCAGCAGCTGTGACGAACCTACACAACCCGCAACAGTGACTACCCTAAACCCTAAACCCTCACCCCTAAAACGGTGATCCTAGCACAGAAACCGTACAATGCCTTCATAGCTACTCAGGACAGTGATCCTAGTACAGAAACCCTGGAACGGAGCTGCTCAGGACTCCTTTGGGGCAATGGCCCAAGTCCCTGACCGAGTTAAAGGTCGATGCGCTCGACGACACAATCTCAGGCCTGAGTAGCAGGAGACCCCACTCTACCACTCTATATGGGAGTTTCCGAAAATTAGGGGTACCTGACTTTGGGGGTCATTGTAATAAGGATCCTATTATTTAGGGTGCTATATTAGGGTCCCCTATTTTCGGAAACTCCCATATAACCTAGAGACTCCAAGATCTCCTAATTGAGGGAGTATACCTTGAATATCCTTAAATCATGTTCGGGATCCTACTATGGTTTACGGAATATTCCTTAGTTCAGGGATGCTGGAGTCTCTGGGAATAGATACAGCACCATAACATGCCATACGATGCGAATGCAAGAAGGACAACAATGCATTACAATGCCATACATATACGTGACGTAATACAAGACGAGACCAGGCAACAAAAGAAATCTACAGTGCACTACACGGCACTACAATACACTACGATACCCTGGAACACAGGCAACAAACAGAATGGAATCGAATGGAGGGCTAAAGCCGAAAAAGACTTAAAAGATGTGATACATGATGTAGGGCAGATAAAAGCAGATCATAATGCGACATATTGTACCACGACATACATACCTCAGTACGTACGAAAAATCAAGCATCATAGAGCAGACTGGAACAGAATAGAATGGAACAGAACAGAATGGAATAGAATAACGACGTATAACAACATAACCTGATAAAACCCTACCTTCATGGTGCTGAAGACAATATGTTATTCTCTAGCATTTTATGACGTAACCTGATAACATAATACAACACACTGTTATGAAATGTAATATTGTACCATATTATATGGGTATGTGATATGCGACTACATCGCAGACATTTTTACCATAACATAACAGTTCATCTCAGTTCATATTAGTTATCTAGGAGTAGAACAGAATACTCTCCCAACTCGGTCAAAAAGTTCTTGATGCTGGACAGTGACAGGGAAGAAGTCGCTGTCAACAGCAAAGCTTTCTTACCCAATCACATCAGTCATCTCCGCGGCAACCCACCTCTTTAAGTCGCTATGATCGAATACAACACTGGCCTACAAGAAACGAGGCGATATGCTGTCTATACAGACATACACAGAACCAGGAAACCTCAACCTAACGTTTACAGAAGCACAAAGCTCGCGGTAGGAGCGCGGCCCGAAGCGCAAGAGTGCAGGGTAGAACCTAGCACAAAAGCTTGAATCAGTAGACTTGACTTGAGCTGTTCGGCCTGCCGTTCGAGGAAAAGCAGTCACATGGCTGAGAGCAACATTGGACCTACTTTTTGTTCGCTCCTCCAGCTTGAAAGCGAGTGCGAGGATTCCGAAACGCTCCGCGATCGCGGCCGTGTTACGTCCCGTGCAGGCATCATCACCCAGGAGGACGCCATAGGGACGGAGCAAAACTAACTTTCAGGAAACCAAATTGCCAAGTGCAACTTGGATCTCTGTTCTGCATGGCTCAACAAGTCGAAACGATACCTCCGCTGTCTCGCCTTCACAAGCCAGCGGTGATTCACTGAAGATCAAAATGCCGCCCCTCGAAGATTGAAATGCCGGGCCCAGTAGGGTCTCCCGTCTCAGACGACCAGGACGCTGGAGGCGGCGATGGCCTTCGCGGCATTTTTGCGAGCCTTGAAGGCTTTGAGCATGTTGGCGTAGTTCCAGGTGAGGTCCTTGGCGCTGGTCATGGAGCCGTCATTTCTGTTGATCTGCTCGGCCATGTGGAGATCCGTGGCCTGGACGTGGTGCTTGATGCGCAGCATCACGCCATCTGCAGCTCCCATCAAAGCTTCCGCCAGGGCATTTCCTGAAAGCCCGGCCTCGATATGAGTGGCCTTCTGGAGCAGGGCGTAGCTGCTTGCGTCCAAAGGCCCATGCTCAAAGGCCGCGAAAGACATGCGGTAGAGCAGCGTAGCCAAAGAGGCCGAGAGCAGCACCCAAGGGTTGCCTCCGTCGTAACTGTCGTTCTCATAGCGGCCGTAGAGAATGCCGGGGATGCCAGCGGCGCTGTCCTTCTGGTTGATCTCGTAGGCGTTGCAGAAGAGGTCGTTGAGGGTGACGACGGTTCCCAAAACCTCCTTGCCCAGCACGTCGAACATTCGTTCAACGCCGACACCGAGGTAGCCCACATTGAAGGCCTCGATGACGGCGGAGTCCTTCTTGCGATTCTGGGACTCGAAGACGAAGGTGCCGTCGAAGTGGCCCATGATCGTCTTCTCGATGTCTGCCTTGACACCTCTGTAGCGGCCAGCCGCGTCCTTGTCGCCCATCTTCTCTGCAAACTGGGCTCCCATCTCCAGACTGGCTCGCATGGTGAAACGGCCCCAGAAGAAATCCTCGGACTGGATCTCCTCCCAGAGATCGCAACCACTCTGCTGCCAGTTGGACACCAGCCACTCCAGGTCATACTTGATGGCACCGCCATGCTTCTCTTCGCTGCCCGTCCACAAATTCTGCTTCACGAAGTCCGCTTTGCCGGCCTCGAGCAGGGCCAAGCCGTACTCCGCCAGGGTCTTGGCCCGGAGTCCCGGCCCGTCAGTCTGCGGCCTGCACCAAGCTCCCTCGAAGGGCTTGCCGTCGGGGATGGTGTACTTGGGTTCCGTGCGGATGTCGATGCCGTGGGGATCCGCCTGGTTCTGCACCTTCAGAACCCACTGGACGTAGTGCTGCAGGTGCTCGTCCACGTCGGCCAGCTTGTCCGCGGTGGCCAGTAAAGCATGCGTGGAGAGGGCCCCATCTCGTTCCCAGTGGTAGTAGTAGTCCCCGCCAGGTCCGGTGTTGTGATCCGGCGCGGCCACGACAGCTCCAGAGCCCTGGATGTCGATGTTCGCCAGGAAATAGCTCCGGACCTTGGCCTCCTCCTCGTCGCTGAAGGGCTGTCCCTGGGACTTGTAGGCGAGCTTGCACTCCGCACGGGGAGGGGGAGGAGGGGCGGGACCACCTTGAGGGTAGAAGCACCAGGCTACCGAGTCAGCCGGGCGCCAGCAGCAGCCTTTCGCCTCACAGTCGCTCTGCGTCGTGCCCAAGGCACCGCAGTCCTGGCGAGCAGAGCCCTCCACGTCGCAGGTGTCTGCTAGCGCCACTCCAGCCACTCCGGCAGCAGCCGCCACGCTCAAAATGCGCGAAAGGACCATGGCTGCAGAGGCAAGAAAAGCTTCGCCTGTAGGAACCCTGACGCTGACTACGTGCAGATCCAGAAGGGCGCTGTGCTAAGTCTCGAAACCTTGTATCTTCCTCAGCAGAACCTTCCGGTGCTCTCAGATACTCGAGCGATGAAACCGTCTGAGGCTGCCACGCAAAGACCATGACCGTCCCAAGGTAAAAGAACATGAGGGCAACAAAGCTCTCGAACCACTCATCCAGCACCTCTCCGGAGGTGCAGAAATAATGAGCAGAGACCACCTGAAAGCACTCGTTTGACCAGCCTTTTGCATCGTCCGCACCCAGCAGAGTTCGGACCTGAGCCCAAGAAGGACGCCGTGCACGTGTCGAGAGTTGCCCCCAGCCGGGCTCCCCGACACTGCCACGAGCAATGCAGGGAACACGTACTGCACTGGCCCAGCCGAATGCATCAGCAGCCTCAGAGTGAGCGATTGAAAAGTGCATCTAAGGTTTTCAGAGTGATGGATATGTTTAGGGCAGGGCCAGTTGAGAAGACCGACCAGCAAGACGGCTACCTTCGCAGAAATGAGAGCAAAGGCTCCCAGGGAACAGCCCTTGCTGGTGAAGAGGGTCGTCCGTCTTCTGAGTGTTAGGCCAAGAGCAGCCAACGCTGAGGGAAAATCCTGAGACTCACAGAAGCCAACAACCCCCCCCCCCCCCCCCCCCCCCAATTCTCGCAGACAGCAGAACTGAGAGAGCGGCCGCGCTAGCCCCAGTGAGACATAAAGGGTCACCTCAGCTGTCATCCCACGCTAGAAACATCGCCTCATGGCATCGGAATAAGCCTCAGGCTCCGAAGCCCAGGCGTCCGGTAGCAGCACATGCCGTGCCGGCACCGCCGTAGAGCCCTGCTGCAACCAGAAGACGGAAGGCGTCGGGTATCTGCGAACCACAAGCACGACATGACATCCAGCATATCTGATTTAGCATGCAGGGAGGACTATGCAAGTAGCTCACAAGCAGCATGCGGCATGTGCCACCGATAGCCTCGGGAGGAGGGAGGCAAATCTGACAACTCAGTCGGTGGAGGCCTGGCAACATGAAACTAATCACCGATGTCCAGCCGATGTCTTACGACTGAAAGCAGCTGAACCATGTGCCAGAGCCGTCAAACACTCAGGCGTCTACATGTGATAATGGCGAAACGACATCGTGCCCAGATCCCTTCGCCAGGAAAGCCCACCTTCGACAGAGATTCGGGCAGAGCATGCATTGCCATACGGTTCCCACAACAATCAGCCAGCGCCTCCCACAAATCCATCCCCTGGGCAGAGTGACACTGGGTGACATGTCCATTATTACCAACTAAGAAGGCCCGTGTAGTTTCCACCGCTACTGTCAAACGCACACGTCCATGATTTACTTCTCGACTCGGTAACTCTTGCGGGATGCCTCCGTCTGAGTCTTTCAACTCGGCGCCATAACCATCCGAAGCTGTCATAAGCTTTCTGCGCGAAAATGACGAAGGGGATGGCTGTGAGCTTGACTTCGGGATGGTTCGCGAGGCTTGCTATGCGGACTTCGTTGTTCCACTTCGGGAAATCTGGGTTCTTGTTGATTCACCGGTGCCGGGCCGGGGGGAGCTGCCGAACTATTCCCATATGTACTCCATACGGCAACCTGAAGTGGGATGGCGACTGATTAACAGAGCACGCACAACCGGCTAAAGCGACTGCTCTTCCAATTTGCGATAGTGGCGGGGTGCCTGATTCTTCATGGACTAGAAAGTCTGCGCATGTGCATCAGGAGAGAAGCAGAAGCCGAAGCTTGAGCGAAAAACACAGCAGTGCGGGAAGAGCCAGGGGCAACAGTCCCAAAGCCAGAATAGACCAGACGTGCTGAGCTCAGAGACAGCGCGTCCTTGTTGAGGGCGTAGAGGGTCGAGAACTTCAGAGCCAGGTTCTTGGCATCCAAAAAGCCTTCGGACCTTGCTTGCTCAAACGGAGACATAGAGACTTCAAGGGGCCTAGGGCTCAGCAGTGGGCATGAACATGTTCTCCATGATGAGCATGAAGTCCGGCACCATGACGGTAATGGGTCTGAACAAGGCCTTGCAAGAGATGGGTATATAGGCGGTTGTCAGAATTGTTGGTCTCTTTTGGGTCCCTGTTATAATACGGCACCTACTATTTAGGGTACCAAAAAAAAGGACCTTAATTTTGACAACTACCCATATAGCTCAATGCCCTAAATGCCAGGTGTGTGCCAGCAGCAGCCTTCAACCCCTCCGGCAGCTCCGACCGCCCCAGGTAGCCGGGGTTCATCGTGATAAAGACGCCGACCTCAAGTCTCCATGGGCTTTAGCCACTTCCGACCCTCGCCGCGCTTATGATATACAACATATAATATAACAGATAAGTATAAGATGTAACATATACTATATACGATGTTATGTCGAATATATGATATATAGGATATAGTATATGCTGAGCCGCTAGGAAACAGCTCTGTGAGACCCTCCTCCCGAGAAGTCGGCTCCTCTGTCCAGGTTTAGTTCATCGCCTTGGAGAAAAAATCGACCCAGGCGATTTCTCAGCGCATCGCACACTGCCTGGCCAGTGCGGGAGTCCATGAGAACTAGAAGCATCAAAGCGCTTCGAAACTATTTAACACGGTCGGCATCGGTCGGCCAAGAATCAGTTAATTGCTTCGCCTTTGCTTTTCGACTTCTGCAGACTGCACAGTCTGCTGGGGCTAGGAAACATAGGCTTGCTTCACGATGGGCGGCACTGTATTTGCGCAGCACCTGTGAAACAAGCACTTCGCCATTGCCGGGCAAAGTTTACAGGTTCAGGACCACATCACTTCGATTTGCCATCCACGGAGGAAGCCTGACGGGGGGTACGCGGGAAGCGGGCGAGTCCAGACTTCCGACAAGCCAAACATGAGTGTGTAGCGCAGCGCCTCAACTTGCTCTGATCGACTTGCCTTCAGCACGGGCGTTTCTGGACATGATGATCATGTCTGAAGATACGGCGGGAAGAATGTCAGCACTGCAACACTACCTACCGGCAGAAACGCTTCAGCCGCCATGCCACCGCAGCGAGACATTGAACTCGCTCGACTTGGAGAAGTTCTTTGCCTTGTGCACATTAAAAAACTGTCCTTCAGACATATGGAGCATTGTTTCTTTCTGAAACCCCAGACTCCGTAGACCCTCAACCCAGAACCCCAAGCCTTAAACCCGAAACCGTCAACTCCAGCTTTAAACAAAAAAAGCTGAACCCCAAGGAATGTGTCCCAGACCTGCTGAAGGCCGAGCCGCCGAGATGTTGCGTTGAGAGGAGTTGGCCGCTGCAGGTTTGCAGTCTGAGTCCGACTCCCGAATCCAGATATCCGCGACCTTGTCGTTGGACTGCTCCCCGAAGTCGAAAGTCGTGTAGTACTTGCCTTGACGGCTTGACACCATTTGGGAGTTTCCGAAAATATGGGACCCCTAATATATATATATATATATATTACCCTAAATAGTCGGATCCTTATTATAAGGACCCCAAAATAGTGTTCCCCAAATTTTCGGAAACTGCCATTTGATCCAGGCCGGCTGAAGGACCCACACTCATTCGCAACTCACCACAGGGACGGTAGCGGGGGGGCACCTCGATCAGCCAAGAGGCGGAAAAATGGCAAGCCTATGATCCACAGCTCTCCCGCATCGGATTTGGATTGTCCTGTGTCCATCATCAGTAGCTGGCATTGATGAACCTTCAAGCACAGAGCAATGCGCTTATCATTCCAGTTACTTTCCGTGAGCATATTTCCGGTGCTCCCAGGCCTTGATGAAGGGCTTCTGCTTGAAAAGGAGACGCCAGGGTGCTGGCATGATACCTGCAACGCGACCGTAGAAAGAACAGCTGCCGGACATGTGCCAGCCTGCATGGGTGCGTTGAAGCCTGGGGCCTAGAAGACTTGCACACACAGCTGTGCCAAATTGCGGCTCTCCCTGTGCAGCCATTTCATGGCACATCTGTGGCACATGGAGGGTCAGAGCCAAAGTACCGCAAAAAGCCAAACGTTCATGTTCGCCAGCATCGCAACTGATGGGCCCCGACATCTTGCGAATTGGTATCCCCAAGAACATCCAACTCGCTACATCGCAATGTGGCATGATCTTGGAAGAACCGGGTCCAGCTCTTTCGAAAGAGGCCAACGAAGTTCACGCAGCGTGCATGTGGGCAGACATGAAACATGCTGAATTCGCGTGCACGCTGCCCTGTGATGCGATGTAACCTACTCTTGGGACATGACTTTAATTCTGCTTCTTCCTTTGAAACGTTGCCTCTTTGCTGCTCTTTGATTTGCGAGGCCCGGGTATCTCGGTAGGATACCCTTGCTTCCATTAAGAACCCCATCACGGCTTATGACCTCTGCTCTGTCAGCACTGTAAGCCCAACATCAATTAGACCCTGCTCTCGACCTGCGTGTAGAAGTCTGCTTTGGGGTCATATCTCCTTCGCAAACTTGGCCGAAGGGTAGTGCAATTGCTGTCGGTTGGACAAAGGATTTCGGATGCGTTCATACATTTTCGCAGTATACCGTACTTGGAGGCTCGTGGGTAGGTATAAGTGGCTTCATAAGTCCACCAATATGGGTTATAATTACGGTTACCCGACATATAACCCTACTACCCACGAACCTCCAAGGAGCTAGGATGTCCCAAAATAGTAGGATTCAAAAAAAGAATCTTAATAAAGGCCCAGGTTTCTTAATCAGGTGCCTACATTAGCACGTGACCTGAAAACCTACCAGCGCCTGCATCCTACCCGGGCGCCGCCCTGGCCTGTCACAAGACCAATATAGGCATCTGGTGACAGGACAATGGTCTGCCCTCCCAGATCAAACTCCAGATCGGGCAGGGTCTCCTGTCCCGAGAGCTGAAAGACTGCGAAGCAGAAGGAGTGTATGCAAACACAGGTTGACTAGGGCGGTTCGGCACTTTTGTGCACACGGGTCCTCTTTAGCACAGTCGGCCCCAATGGCTTCCTCGGCTGGCTGCCGCAACAACGTGCAATAAATGCGACTCGTCAAACGACTTCGTAGACAGTTCCACGGTTCACAGAGACGCAGCTGTGACGAACCAGCACTCAAGTCCAGAGCTGGCGCCAAGCTTCTAGCAGCCCACCCATTGCCTGTTAGTGGATGCAAGCATGAAACTCTGCCAAGAAGGCCAAGGGTCTTAAGCTCTTCAGGGCTCAGGGTCTAAGGCCCAGTGTGAACAAATGCGGGACACTTCGGCCACATTTACACTTAGGAGCATAGCTACCGCAAGTTGTGACGACATGCACTTTGCATCCGCGCAGGCAGTGCTTTTTTGCGAGCTGCTGGTAGAGCAGGTCCGGATTGTAAGCCTGGCTCTAAGTGAACCTGCCCAGCTGGCGCATGCGATGTGAGGCTAAAACGGGAGCATTTGTGGTGCTCTGTCCAGGAGCACAAAAAGGCCATGTTCACAAGACGCACATCATTCCCGCATCTCGGTCTCATCAACTCATGATCTTTGCAAGCCGAGAGATCAGTTACTGGCACTGGGCCCTTTGTAGTCGCGTCTAAGCAGAAATCTCTTTCGGAAGAGATCCTGCTGCAGAAGCAGCGCCGCTTCCCTACGACTGATTTGGCTCATGTTGCTGTTGCCACTGCACGTCCCAGACGCTGGAGTCAGCTGGATTGGGCTGCCATTCAACTTGGCAGGCGTGGTTGACAAGGCCATCATCTTCAGCTTGGCTTTTTTCTCCTCAAGCTCCCGCTGCATCCGCAGCTTTCGCTCGCGCTTCTCCGCAATCTGATGCTCCAACTCTTGGGCTCTGGTCTTCAGAGCACCGCAAGCTTGAGCCAGACGCGTTGTCGGCGCTGCAGTGGAACCAGCCAACTGCAGTTCTGCCGGGAGCCTTTGCAGCTGGTTGTCGATGGCCTGCTGAAGCGCGATGTTCAGCGACTTGAAGCGCTTGATCTCTTTCTTCAGCTCCATGTTGTCTGCCTGCATTTGGGCCATCAAGGCCTGTCCTTTTGGCAGCAGAGTGGTTGCATCGGCGGCCAACATGGCAGCTTGAACCATGCGCCGTGATGTGCCAACACTACCTTATGTCCGAGCCTACCCTCTTTGCCGTGATGTGCAGCTGAACATCACCGATGCATCGAGTGTCTGCTTGTATTCTGTTACAGTAATTGCGGACTTGTGCACTGGCGAGACCGTCGTGCACAAGAAGTTTCGAACCGAAATCTGCTTTCATGCAAAGACCTGGAAGCTCTACCAGAAGATCCATCCTGATCCAGAAGTCAGGGAGCTTCCTTGAGACTCAGATCCAATGAAGCCAAAAGGCTGTGAGCGCTGCAGATGGACCCGAGATGAGCGAGGTGCCGGTGTCCAAGATGGCTCCACAGCCCTCCTGACAACCAACCTTAGGCCGGCGCTGGCGAGTTTAGGGTTCAGTTTTTAGTTTGTAGAGTTTTTTTTGAACCAAAACTGGGGTTCTATAGGGTCTGTGGTTTAGGGTCGAGGAGCTGTGTGGGACGAGCCGTCTTTCTGCACCAGCCGGACATTCTTCAGGCTGAGGCCCCATGTTACGGAGCCAACCACGGAGAGCCTGCGCTGTGCAGGAGTCTGCACTTACTTCTCTTTCCAGGACACCATCGAAAAACTGAGGAAGACATCTACGACTTTGATTCAGCGACGGTAGGCATCGCCCTCGAAGCTAGGGACTTAGACCACATAGCTCGACATTTCTCTTCAGCCTCCGGAAGGGCTCCGGTCGCGATGCTGGTGCCAGATCGTTCCAGATCATGTATCCCTTCGAGCCTGAACATGCAGAGACTGCTTGACCCTGGCACCCTCCGAAAAATTCTGGAAGCAGGAGAGACGCACAAAGCAGAGAGCGAGGGCCTGCGGCAGCTCCTATGCAGACTGACATGTACCGCATCTGGAGATTCGCAGGCACGCTGTCGTCCAGGTTCTCCTCGCCAAGGAGGCACTTCAGCGAAAGCTCCGACAAGAGAACAAAAAGCAGCCCATTAAAGAGGTGTCCAGGACGGTATCTGCTGCCATCTTGGCCTCGATCCGGTTCTGTAGGCCTGAGTGCGAGGCGACGCCACAGCACGGGCCCCAGAGCTACAACAGCTCGAGCTTAACACGATGGAACTCGGAAGGCCACCACTTTCGGCCATCTGCACACCTCTAGGATTGAATGTAGGATCCTAAGCGCGATGCGGGCCGGCAGGATGGCACCCCAGCCCTGCCACGAGCAGCATCGCTAGGGGAACTAATCCCCAGAGGCTCTAATATCCCTTGAGTAAGGAATATACTATATACCTTAAATCATATTAGGGACCCTTCTCTAATTTAAAGTATATTCCCTAAGTAAGGGATATTATTGGAGTCTGTGGGTCTTTGGCACTCCGTGAGCCTTCAGCTTCTCCTCGAGCTTCTCTAGCTGCTCCCGGTCCATCTTTGCTTGCATCTTCACGGCCGTCGGTGGCCCCAATCCTGCCGAGGCTCTAGTCATGGTACACTCTTTGGGTTTACGGCTTAGGGTGTAGGGTTTACGGGTTTTGGGATTTTGGGGTTTAGGGTCCAGGGGTTTGGGGTTTAGGGCAATTGCATGCGCTGAGAAGTTGGTTTCCCTTGCCGCCTCATAGACCCTTGATCCTGCAGATCCAGAATCACAGCGTCGTAAGCCGGCTGCTCAAACCCTCCCCAAAGCCTTTCAACGCTGATCAATAACGCTTGTAAACCCCTCCCGAAAGCCCTTCAATTACAAAGCCCACAACTGTACCCCATGAGTCCTCCATCACATAAAAACCCTAAACCCTGAACCCTAAACTCGAACCCCTAAGCTCTAAACCCTGAACCCTAAACTCGAACCCCTAAGCCCTAAACCCTGAAGCCTAAACTCGAACCCTTAACCCCTAAACCCTAAGCCGAAGCCCCGAAGCCCCAAACCAGGGCCGGGAGGACCTAGGATCGCCTGGAATTCGGCAGACCCAAGGATGCCCATGTTCGCTTCCATGACAAGCCACCTTAAATAATACTAACAATAATCAGGATAAGAATAAAAAAGAGTAATAATAGCAATAGAAGTCTTACCATAGTTTAAGGTACATTCCTTAAGTAGAGTTTGCCTCCAAAGCTAAGGCACTAGGAACTGCAGCAATACTCTATTCCCTATGTATCATCTAGTGCATCTGATATCTTATAGATTACAGACTATGGACTATATACTGAATACCATAGTAGGGCCTTTCGGGTTGCCTTATAGCATAGTCATCATAGGGAGCCCCAAGGGAATAAGATTCGCCAGCTGTGCAGTGTTTTTTAGGGTTCAGGGTTTAGGAGTTAGGGTTTAGGGTTTAGTTATTCGGAGGGCACTAGTCCGTTACGATCGGTGTGCATGCACAGGAAAAATGCAGACGGACTCCTTTTTCCGGATGGCTGAAAACCGTAGCGGTCTGGATAAGTGCCGGGGCCTCGGGCCAGACACAAAATCCAAAGGAGGCTGCTACGGATCGGTACAGGCACCGGTCAGGACGGAAATCGTCGGAGCCGGGTGCCACTAGGGACTTTGCGGGTTTTCTGAAGCCGGCCTACGGCATGCAGGAAAGGGCAAAGTCCAACCCACACCAGAAATCCAGGCTGTAAGTTGCGGATTGAAGGGCCTAAATCAAAGGCGGAGACAAAGGGGGAGGTGGCGGGAAAGAAAAGGCTAGCACACCGTCGGAATGCGGAACGGATGCGCCTAAGTCGAACGGCTGCGGTACAGTTACGACTTGCCGTTGCGAGCCCTCCGATTAACACAATACGACCCGTCGAGAAACCGTTATTCGGAGGGCACTAGTCCGTTACGATCGGTGTGCATGCACAGGAAAATGCAGACGGACTCCTTTTTCCGGATGGCTGAAAACCGTAGCGGTCTGGATAAGTGCCGGGGCCTCGGGCCAGACACAAAATCCAAAGGAGGCTGCTACGGATCGGTACAGGCACCGGTCAGGACGGAAATCGTCGGAGCCGGGTGCCACTAGGGACTTTGCGGGTTTTCTGAAGCCAAGATCTTGAACGAAGTCCAGGCAAAGGAGTACCCGCACCGGGGAGAAAACAGCCAAAGTCAGAAGTCCAATGCCGGGAAGAGGTCACGGTTGAAGGCGGACGCAGGAGAGTAACACGGGCGCGGAGGACGGCTTAACAGGTGCCAAGGGACCAGGATCTCATCGGCAGGATTGAGTCCCAAGGTGCCCGGGTCGCGGGACCGGCTCAGGGCATCAGCAATCTTGTTACGGAACCCCGGAACATGATCGATATGTGCGGAAATGCAGAAATGACGCTGCCATAACAGGTAGGAGTGCAATAGGTCACACATACCGCGGGCAGTAGAGAGGCCTTTCCAGGAAGCCGATTCGGAAGGGCTGTTGTCACAGCGGCTGACGAAATGTACTGGGTGGTGAGCGGCCGGGACAACGAGAGCAACGCACCAGAGAAGCGCGATTTGGCAAAGGAGTTCCCAGGCAGCGATGAATTTCTGCGGAGAAATGTCAGGGGAATACCAAGCACAAAGTCGAGCAAGATCCGCAGGGGATAAGGCGGATCGGAACCAGACCGTGCGGCCGGAGGGAAAAGCCACGAAGCCGCCCAAGCCCGGGTGTTTGCTGTCGGCACAGGCGTCAGCAAACGCCTCGCAAGTTAACAGCGGCGCGAGAGACAGCGGGAAGAGCGGGATAGTCTGACACAGGCAGGAGTGCCAAAGGTCCAAGACAGCTTTAGATTCCTGCGAAAGTTTCCGGTCAGAGTCAGGAGGGGAGCGGACGGAAATCCAGAGTCGTCGCTCACCGGCAAAGTGGAGAGGAACATCCTTCAGTGTACGAACAGGGCGGGAAGCCACACTAACCAGGGTGCAGCCCTGGGGGCAACTAGCCAGACCGACAGATTTCGTGAGCACGAGGTCTTTGGACAGGGCTGCACGGAAGGATTCCCACTTAGAGGGGGCCACAGCAACATGAACAAGTGGAGGTAGGCTTTGGTCCCGATATAGCGGTGCAAGGGACGGCCGGAATGGACGAAACAGGGAACAAACCCAAAGGAGTTTGCCGGTGAGTTTGCGAAGCAGGTGTAGTGGAATCGCCTCCCCGGATCGGGCTGAAGAAATCAGAAGGCGGAGACGGGCCAGCTTCGGTGGTTCAAGCGTGGCGGTAAAGGTTTCCAGGGACATAGACCAACCAATCCAAGTCGGCCGTGCGCCCAAATAGGCTTTGTGCCAACTCATGGGGACACGAAGCACAAGAAGGAAAACACACAGCACAGCGGCCCAGACCGGCGCGGACGGACCGGAAAGGAGGGAGATCAGGTCGTCGACATAGATGAGCAGGGCGTGGCGGATGAACAGAAGCCGATGCATGAGGCGTGACAGAATCCCCGCCAAACGTGCCCAGTAAAAGCCGGACGCGCGTGCACCGAAATTCAATGTCAGACACTGGAACAGGCGGCCGCGATGGAAGAAGCAAAGAAGGCCTTGATCGGCGGCCCGGATCAGTATGCGCCGGTGAGCTTTGCTGACGCCCAGGATCAGTGCGAAGAGCTGTTCCAGGGCCAGACGGAGGGGAAAGCAGCGACGGAGACCCGAGATGGTCGGGTTCGCGGACTTGTTGGGAAGAGTGGTGTGTTCTGTAACACCGGAAACGCTGGAATCCACCACCAGGCGGGGGTCACGGTCGGGGGCCTTAACAAGTCCAAGCTTCCCCACGGCGGTGCGAGCATAGGTAGCGACGAGGCTGTCAAGACCGCCCGGAACCTCCCGCACCCATCCTTCGGAAACTTCAGTTTGAAGAAGGGAGTCAACAGTGGACAGGTCGGAAAGAGCTGATCCCCAGGAGGAGGAACAATGCTGTAAGTCCATGGATGGGTCCTTGGTGGCGGAAGCAGGAAACAGCGTAGGGCAGGCAGGCATAGGTTCGTCAACACCCAGAGGAACTCCTTCAAGCAGCAAGTCCACAAAGGGTCGATCCGGGTCGCGCGAGAGCTGAAGCAGCGCATCCAGAAGGAACAGGCGGAACGGTTGGCCCGGAGGGACCGAAAGGAGTGTATCAAAGTCAGTAGCCGCCAAGCCCAGGAAGGAGCGCAAGTCACCCAAGAAAGGTACCAGTTCGGACTCAGAAATGGGGGCATCCTTGGAACCGGATGCCAGACGAGCGCGAAATTTGGCAAGGAAATCCCCCGACAGGATGCGCTTAACCCAGAGTTTGCGCAGGGAGCCGAAGGTGTCGGGGCCGGACGGTTTGGACCAGGAAGCAGTGGAGCACGAACCTGCACCATCTTCAATCCGGGAGGAGGGGAGTGGCCAGCAGAGCTGTGGCTCAAGAAGAGCCGTTTCCCAGGAGAGGAATGGGACTAGGCCCACTGACCGGGAGAGATATGGTGCCATCAGTGCCGCAAAGCGCTCGCAGAGACCGTCCGGGTAGCAGGCAGTGGTCCGTGTAAGGAAGGCACCGGACGAGTCACGCTTGCCTGTCAAGGGCGGGTGAGTGCCCGGCGGGTGGCAACAGGCAGAGGCCAGAGAGGAAAGGTCCGCCAAGTTTGAGACAAAGGTCCAGCTCTTTTTAGCATTCATGCCAAAAGTGCAAGCGGCAATTTCCACGGCGGACAGGCAGTGGTGACGGATCCAGGCTTTGCATGGGTCGGTGAGCCACAATAAGCTGCTAGATGGGTTTTCAAGCAAAACCAGACCACCCGAGAGAAGCACGAGAGTGAGGAGCTCCCGACAGAGCTCGTGCAGCTTGTCGGATCGTTGCAGTTCAGCCTGCTGGCGCTGGGAAGGAGCAGGGATGCCGTGCGGGTGTGCTGGTGTCCGGACTGCGGGCGGGCCACCGGGTTTAAGGCGAGCACGGCTAAAGCTGGAGCAGGGTGGGGCGGCAACAGCCACACGCACGAGGCCAGACGAGCACAGTTTCCGCATGGACGACTGATGCTGGGGCAGAAGCAAGTCCACCTCTTCCCCATGAAGCACGTCTATAGGGGCAATGCGGTCGAGGCCAAGATTGGAAATTGCTTTAGAGAGCGGGGCCGAGCAACCTGAAAACAAGTCCAGAAACAGTGCCGGGCGAACAGGAGGATCGGCCGGGGAAGTGGAAGGGGGGGCCCGATCCAAGGATGGAGCTGTCTCCTTGGCAGGGCGTGCACACGGGGAGGGGGGATGCATGCCAGGGCGGGCCCCTTGCAAAGGTGGGCGGACAAAGGAGAAGGAGTATCGGAGTACCGGGCGGTGCGGCGAGCGACTTCTGAGTCGATCCGACTCCGAGGCAGGGGCCACCTGAGCCACGGACTCAGCCGGGGCGTGATTTGAGATCTCCTCATCAGAGGAGAAAATACGCACGGCTTCATCGGCCAGGGCATCAGGGGATGAGCCTCGAAACGGCGGAGCAGAGGCCGACAGGGGTTCAGCCGCATCCGCGTTTCAGTGTGATGTGGCGCGGTGTTTGGCAGCCGTGTGTTTTTGGCCACAGGGTTTGCCGGAAGGGAGCGGAATCGGGCAGGAATGAGAAAAGCGGCAGGAATCCAATTTGCAACGGCCGAGCACAAAGCGTTTGCAAATCTCCTTGCCATTCTCGTCCACCTCATGCCACGACTCTTCCCACAGATCCTTGACGGGTTTCTTGCCGGCCGGCTTTTTGGCATCTGCTTTGGCTTTGCCGGTCGGTTTTTCCGGTTTGCCGTCGGTTTTGAGACGTTTCGTGGGACGGTCAGGCTTAGCTGGCTGCGACGTGTCGGCCGTGCCCACAGTGCGGGAGGGTTCCCGGACCGGAGGGGCAGGCATGGACCGAGGCCGGGCACACAACAAAGTCGGAATCATATGTCGGGTGACGGAAACCTCATGAATGGAGTCAGACAGCGACCACTTCTCATCTCGCATCAGTGTGCCAACGGCAGCCCAAATGGACCGGTCGGCTGCAAGTACTTCTTGCAGAGACGGTGCCCGGAGGGAAGGATCCAGGGGGACAGCCGTAGCGGATGCAATGAAAGACTCAGCAAAAATCTTGCCGATACGGAGGTGCAGGTCACCCAGAAAAGCCAAGGCCGTGACCAGAATCCCGAAGTGGCGGCGAAGCAGAGGCTCAACAGGACCTTAGGCACGGACGCGTGAGCCACAACCGGGTCCGGAACATCATCCAACAAGGAGCGGAGGAGATGGTTGTCCGACCTAGGTCGGCGATGTTCATAGAACGTCTGAACGTCATGCTCAGATGTCCTCAAGCGCCAAGGAATCCAAAGGGTTGTTGGCTTGTCCAACTCAGAGCGGAGGCGGTTAAGAAATTCCAAACTGGGTGTGCTCGACGGGGAGAGGACCTCTCCCGGGTAGGCCTCAATGAACTTTTGACGCAGCAACTCCGCCGCTTCGGCCGTGATTTTTGGGCCGGGCAGGGAAGGCGGAGCGCTCCCGGCAGAGGCAGGGGTCGACGGGGCAGGTGCCGGATGAACAAGGTCGCGCGCCTGCACCAGAAGGCGTCGTGCAAAACTGGCAGCTGGTGTGATCCTGGCCAAGGTGTCGTTGGGGTCTGCCGGAGGCCACAAGACGCGAATCCAGTCGTCAGGGGAACCATCCGGAGGGATAGCATAGGCAATGGTCGCGATGGTCTTGAAACCCTTTACAGTGAGGACCTCCAGAAGCTCATCAGGAGCAGACCATTGCCGGAGCAGGGCAACCAACGCAGCAGGATCGTCAAAGACGGGTGTGCCAGAACTTGACATGTCGGAAGAACAAACAAGTCCAGGCTGACGACAGGAAAAGTCCAAGCTGACGGCCTACCCTGATCCTAAGAGCCTGAAAATGGCAGCGGGACGGAGGCAGTAATAAGCGGACAGAGGCAGGCAATCCCAGCAAACACGGGAGCAGGGCCGAATCCAGGTTTTTTTTTTTTTGACCGACCGTCCGCGCCGGTGAATAGCACCGTCCAGGTGCGGAGTAATATGGGGGGCGTGTCGGCCTCCGGCCAACCCCCTGATATGCAGCCGCTGAGCTACCATCCGAAGCGGTGGCATATGCGGCACGCGTGGTTCTGATGCTGGCGTCTGCGGGTCGGATCCACCTGACGGCCACACACTTGTGGACATTCCGGGTTGACGCATGGCAGTTGGCAGTAGATCACGACCCGGGGCGGGCGCAGGATGCTCCCACAAAGACGGACCAGTCGGGCCAGGAAGCTGACCGAGCAGCGACGCAAGAGGTCAAGGAGTTGCTGGTCGGTAAAATCTTCCAGGTCTTGCAGTTCCGGAGCAGACGGCAGGAGAACCGCGCCATCACGGTCCCAGGCCGCTCGAACCGGACGGTCCCCAGGCCCAGCCGACGGATAACTATCAGAAGCCATGGCGGAAGAGGGCGGCAATAAAGGGGGGGGGGCGGGGCTGGCTGAAACAGAAAACGGCTGCGGAAGAAAACAGTGCAAGCAAGTGTGACCACATGCGCATGGAACTGGCACGAGCTGGCACATGCAGATGCAGCATCTTTACAGCGGGGCGGGGCATCAAGTCTGGCAGGCGCGGCGGAGGCAGAGCTGGGCACCCGGAGGCGGGGCGGAACACCATGCCTCAGAGCAGAGCTGACCAACAGAGGCCCCACAGGCCGGTTTCACCCAGAATGGTTCCAGGCCCAACAGAGACACGCGTACGGACTTTGCAGTGTCGGGCGGGCACGGAACGGGACGGTGCAAGACGTTGCTGCGAGGGTTGTGCAGGAACCCATTCATGCTGGGCTCTCGCTGTTGGGAGCGAGGGGGCCGAGGCTTGGCAAAGTCATCGTCCGAACCCGAGGCCCCGGATTGTTCGGAGTCGGAGCTGTCATCGGAGAGGTCAGTGCTTTCGACTTCCTCTTCAGCCGGTTCCGGACGGCGCCGGGGGGAGCGCGAGCGGCCAGAGCGTTCCCGCGGCGCCATGCCACCCATGTTGCTATCAGGTGGCGGCAAGGACACCCGAAAGTCAGGCAATGGTTTGCTAGAGCCACGGCCCACTGGCTGAAGGGGGCGGTAACCGGACCGGATTCGGTTAATGACCTCAGCCTGCAATGATAACATCGGGCCTATATCGTCTCGGCTATAGACCCGAACGGAGCCTTCCATGGAGGACGGACGGTGATGGCCTTGGAGACGGCGAAGCTCAGGGTCAAGGTTAAGCTGCCTGGCGTGGAAAGGCCAGAAGGGGCGGAAGTCAACTGAAGCCAGGACGGGAGTGCACCGGGCGGTGGGTCGGCAGGATCAATCCCAGAAAGGATGCAGTGCCGGACCCAGGCAGACCAGGAACGCAAGTAAAGCTGCAAAGTGCTGGGGGCATTTTTCGCGATGGCACGTGCTTGGAGTTCCCGAGGCGCGGGTACCAACTTGGTATGCAAAAACAGGGTGCAGCGGTCACCAAGCTCCTGAACAAAGTCGCAAAACATGTTGCGAAAATGTGCCAAGGCGCGAGCAGTTGTGGATTCCATAGAGGAGGAATCGGAGGCATCAGTGGCAAGTGGCAAAAAGCCAGAATGCACAAAGGGAGCCGGGGGAATCACAGAGGGCCGCGTTTCCGGAGAAGAGGCAGAAAGACCCCGGGGGTACGCCAATGGGTCGCGGGGCAGGCGGGGTACCCGTGGGCAGGATAGAAGTGGTGGGCCCAACGGAAACGTAGGAGCCGAACGTGCAGGGCGCAGAGCCGGGCAGCGAAGAGGCCGGAACAAGGGGAAGGGGGCAGGCCGAGGCCGAGCGGGCCGGGGGCGAGCAGCCAGGTCCGACAAAGAAGCACGGGACAGACAGGGCAAGGCCAGCCCAAGGCGAGGCACAAGCAATGAGGCAAGTCCAGGCAAGGGGGCACCGACCGGGTGAGCAGTAGGGACCGGCACGACCTGAAAGGATGTAGAGGATGCCGACGAGGGGCTGGAATGAGGCGGTGCTGAGGGCCCAGGGGCCGAGGCCGGAGAATCGCAATGACGCGGGGAGGCGTCGCCCAAAAAATCCAACCGCTGCGGGCGGGGCGGTGTGACCAGTGGAGCGGCAGCGGTGGGCTGCAAGGGAAAGCCATGAAGCAAGGAACCAAGGTCAGATGCCAAGGCCGGGTTGCCCGCAGGGGCCACCGGCGGATGCACGGGTACCTGGCCGGGCAGGGCATACAACAAAAAGCGCAACCACGCGCAAGAAAGAGACCGGCGCATCCTCGATGGTCTCCAGCTCGATGTTGGCCTGGCGGCAGGAAATAACAAAAGCAACATGTCTCTGAAAGAGCCAGGCAGGTGCAGCAAGGCGGGAAACCGCGACTTTTTAGGCATCACCGCAGCGGGACCCGATCAGGCCGGCCGCGAGAAGCAGAAAAGTCGACAGCGCCGGGCCTAGCGGGCCACCCCAACACGATGATCTTGGGAGACTAGTTGGATTATGGGTAATAAAGGCACGGGGCATGCGGGGCGGTCCGGACCAGGTGCCTAGTACCCGTCTTGGATACAATACGGGCATTTGTGCCCGGTGTGATCGGTCCGGGAATGCAACATCACGGGCCGGAGGCAAATGCGGAGACAGTGCGGGCCCCGGGCCGGACAATCGTGCGAGCAGTATCCGCGAATTTGCAGGTGAGACAGGACAGACGGAGGGTCCTGAAGCGGAGCCCAGCTTGGCAAGTCCTGCTCCTCAAAGCAGAAGAGGTCGGGCCAGGGCCAGGAGTCCGTGCGGATGAACGGGCCGGGCGTCTCAGGCAGGAAAATGCTCAGGCGCTCCCAGCCTTCGCTGATGGTCCAGGGGCCGGTATTGGCCCGGCGCGGGGTGAGTTGGCCCCGATCCACAAAGACCGGAGTGCAGCCGGGGCGGTTGGGATCCGAGTGGACCAGGGGCTCGTTCGGGTCAATGCCCGACGTGTCCGTCAAGAGTGCCTGCCGGGGGCGGGCGAATCCGGGCAGGACACGCAGGCCACCGGAGTCCGCACCAGCTCCGTCGGTGGGGTTCGGCGGGGCCGGGTTGGGATCGGGCCTGGTGCCAGCGTTCTGGTCCAGACCGGCATGGATGGCGTCGGCTGCCTGTTGGTCCGGAAAGCGCGGACCGGCCGGCAACGGTGCAAGGTCGCCACGCGTCGTCTGCGGATAGCGGGCCGGTCTGGGACATGTGCGCGACCGGAACCTCAACGTCGAGCTGGCCCAGGTTGCCCATGGCATAGGTGACGTCCTGGGCGACTTCGGCGATCAAAAGAAGAAGTCGAGTCACCTGGGACGGAGGCAAGTCGGCAAGGGACCGGTAAATGGCATCATCGTCCAGAGTGCACAAAAATGACAGGTCCGTCTCGAGGGGCGGCGGGGCGGCCTTGGCAGCTGCCGCGGGGGCTTTGGGAGCCGCTTCGGATGGAGCGGCAGCCGGCTTGGCGGGGGGGAAAGAGGGGGTGGCAGGCCGGGCCGGAGGAAAGCTAGCTTTCTTCTTCGGGGGTCCGGCGGAAGCAGCGGGCAGACCACCAGTGGTAGGGGGGTGGCTGGGAGGCTGCTTTTGTGGCGCGAGGAAGTCGGCACCACGTTTGGCCGGGGGCTGGGACGGGGTGGCAGGTGGATCCACGGGGGGGGCCGGGTCCGGAGCCACGGTCGTGTCCTGGGCCGGAGCCTCCGTCGGGACGGCCTGGGGAGCCGGAGGGGCCTCGACATCGGCCGGAGTCGGGCAGCTCCCACCACACCACGGGCCAGATCGCGGAGAGCGTGTCCACCAAAGCGGGCCATGATCACCGGGAGCGAAAGGCAGAAAAGGCAAAGAGCGAGAAAAGCTGAAAGCGGCTGCGGCGGGAGACAGGGGTCGCTCGAGCAGAACAAGGCTAGTCAAGCAGCCAGGGCGAGAGCATGACCGGACAAAGCTTGCAAGCAGGCCTTCGGGGGCGAGACCGGCGGACCAGGAGCCGGGTCAGGCCTGGGAAGAGCCAACGTGAAGCAGAAGACACGAGTGCTACAGCTGGGGACCATGCATGATGGAACGGAGCTGAGCACCAAAGGACCTCAGCCAGCTATGGGCCAAGGCGGTAAGTGTATAAAGGCAGGGACGGCCTCCGAGCGGAGAGGCGGGACCGGGGCCGCCTGACAGAAAGGGTCAAGAGGCTGAAATGTTAATCAGGAAACCAACCTCGAAGACGAGGATGATGTACTCGAGGACCGCCGGGCCCTTCGCCGCCGACGGCGGGAAGGACAGGAGCGGGACGAGTCCGAAGATGAAGGCATCAAGCCGTGACAGTCTAAAGAAAAGGCTAGCACACCGTCGGAATGCGGAACGGATGCGCCTAAGTCGAACGGCTGCGGTACAGTTACGACTTGCCGTTGCGAGCCCTCCGATTAACACAATACGACCCGTCGAGAAACCGGGGTTTTGGGTTGTTTTTTTGAGAACCTTTTTCCACCGGGTTTAGGGTATTTTTCCCCTACCAAAGCAGTCTTCGAGCAATTGAATCGAGGCACATGGGCTGTTTCGCCACGGAGAGTGGTCCTGCCAGGTTCCCAGAGACTCTCGTATCCCTTAATTAAACTATAGTAGGATCCTACTATGATTTAAGGTATATTCTTTAATTTAATTGATTAATTCAAGGATATTGGAGTCTCTGCGTTTGGGAAACAGTCACTAGATCCCGAAATGAGGCCCAACTCCAGATCTCTTCGGTCCTATCTGCAGCTCGTCAACAGCGTCCCTGCATAGCCTGATCGTAACAGATTGTGTCTCAGGGATCCGTAATCCGCATTCATGACCAACCTCGATGCAGACCTCTGGCAAGTCAAGAAGTCTCTGCCAGGCAACGTGTCCCCGCTGCCGTAGCTCAGCTGCTGCATGAGGTTGCCAGCTCGAAAGGTCTGGCTTGACCTCTGCTGCGGCGAGGGGTATAGAAAGAGGCGAGATGCGCAAGACCGCTGTCAGCCAGAGGACGTCTGATTAAAGCCACTCTCCCCGGCGGCTCCGCAGCCGTTGCAGCGTGTGGAAAAGACAACGAGCTCGAAGGAGCCCGTGTCCAGGATGGCCTCCGCAGCGAGCTGTCCGAAGCCGTCATCGCAACTCATACGTGCATGCCTACTTGCCGAAACCCTGCTGCAGAGCTTGGCCTGCAGTGCTTGACCACCAATAGTGATTGTACCTCAGCGAGTGCAAGAAAGCCTACAGAGGCAGATGTCGGTCCAATGAGTCTAGACACCAGTGTAGGATGCATCATCCTGGTTTTCCTGAGCTTCTTGACTCTCAAAGCTGCTGCCGGGCTGAATGAAACCCAATGACATCGAGCTTGCACACATGCTCTTCAATGCAGCGAGGTCGCCAATTCTTGAACAAAAGTGTCCTTGGTTGCCGAATGACCAGCGGCAGCGACTGCTTCGAGCTCCTCAATCGCATCTTGCAGCTGAGGTGCTCCACTCCTGGATGCTGCTGCAAGATGACCGCGGATCTGCAGGCCAACTTGAAGCAGGTCTACACAGCTCCTGTCCGGGGGCTAGTACATGCATCATAAAGGCAAAGAAACTGCGCATCTGAGCCTAAGCCTGACAGAAGTAGCATCCATTGAATGTCATGACTGAGAGGCTTACGCTGTGGAGTCGGTCTCATAGAAGTCCGTGGACGATCCAACCTGCGCACAGCAGCCACAATTATGTCTATATGTCTATCTGTACGTTTAGATTTATATTCGTATTTACAGCTGCGCGTATGATCGAACTTACGTTTATACGTATTTATAATACATGTATATGATCAGAAAAGGACGCACGACAACTCCATGTTCGCAGCACGCCGATATCCACCAAGCCCTATGAATGTCTTGTTTTGTACAACCTGTTCATGTGGGAGTTTCCGAAAATAGGGGACCCTAATATAGTACCCTAAATAGTAGGATCCCTATGATAAGGACCCCAAAGCAAGGTGCCCCCTAATTTTCGGAAACTCTAAACCCTTTATAGAAGCCTTATAGATCCCTTTAAGGAACCCTACAGAAGGATCCCTTTAAAAGGTACCCCCCTTAAGTTTCGGAAACTCCCATGTCGCTCTGACCCTAAGACCCGGCGCCGGCGAGTAAGAAGGCGCCTACCCTGCACGCGCGAAGTATATGGGAGTTTCCGAAAATTAGGTGTACCTTATTTTGGGGTCCTTATAATTAGGATCCTACTATTTAGGGTACTACATTAGGGTCCCCTATTGTCCGATGGATAGATGGGTGGTTGTCAAAATTAGGGTCCCTTTTTGGGTCCCTATTATAATACGGCACCTGTTAATTAGGGTACCCAAAAAGGACCCTAATTTTGACAACCACCCAGATAGACATCAAGGGTTTAGGGTTTAGGGGTTTGGGGGTTTAGGGTTTAGGGGTTTAGGGTTTAGGGGTTTAGGGTTAAGGGGTTAGGGTTAGGGTTTAGGGGTATAGGGGTATAGGGGTTTAGGGGTTTAGGGGTTTAGGGGGACAGACAAATAGGTAGATAGACCCCAAGATAGATAGGCTTGCAAGTAGGAAGATAGCAGGAAATATATAAATCCTAGATTTCCAAGAAGAGACATGCATGCATGCATACAGAGACTTGAGAATTGGTGAGCGGGCCCATGGAGGGGGGCGGGCCAGTTTTCGTTCACACCGATATAAACATACACAGACAAAGACAGGTAGATAGATAGATAGACAGCTAGACAGGTAGATACGTAGAAATATCTCTATAAACACATATACACATGTGCATCTGTTTCTTTAACTGTTTTTACTTGGCTGCTACTAACAAACCTGCTGATTTAGCGATGCACGAAACACCTAATTTGTTGCTCATTATTTGTATGTGTACCGTTTCTATTGATTGGTTAGTTAGTTGGTACATTGACTTGCTTACCTATTCATGTATTCATCTTTTGTCTTTGTGTATTCGATGACTAACTTATGTCAGCATGCTTTCTTAGACACATTCGCCCTGCATAAAAGGAAGCAGGCGAACCTTGGGGAGGAAGGATGTCAGCAACAGCAGCACCCATGCGGAAATTCGCACCTCGGGATCCGCATCACTACAGTAGTCACTACAGCATTGGAGCAGGCGGCAAGGTCGCTGGGCTTCGGGTGGGTTGAGGGTACAGTGACAAGCATGTGAGAGACATCTTTGGCTCACTGGTCTGGCCAAGGCACTTTGGAATCCATTGTGATTCGCTTAACGACGAAGCAGGCTACTGGGAGGTTCTTCCCGAGCCTATATGGCTGCAGTGCATTATTGAAGGAAACCATGCACACGCAAGAGACAGCAAGAGGTGCCCGTATCCCCTTCACAGCATCGTGACCGCAACTATGAAATAACACCTTTTCGTAATTAGAGACAGGAGATGCAGTGTCACCACCACCAGCCGCATCATCATCGTCCGCGGCATCGTTGTTGCAGTTACTGTTGTCTCTAGCAACAAGACCGGTGGCAAAACCTCATTTCCCGTACAACTACTTTTGAACTTGAGATTTTGCCGTTGGACCGTTGCTTGAGGTAACATTGCGATGGCCATCTAGGAACCCGTACTCAGAAACTCCAATATCCCTTAATTAAGGAAGATACCGTAAACTATGGTAGGATCCCTAATATGGCTTGAGGTATAGAGGATAACGGGGTCTCTGGGTATCGAAACCCCAAAACCCTCAACCCTGCATGTAGCTTCCAGGTGGGAGGCGCAAAACGGGCAGTTCGACCTTGAACTGCACGGTGCAGACGGAGAGAACTTCGGGCACTAACCGATTGAACTCGTCGAAGCAGCCCCACCTGGGAACCCAGAGACTCCAGTATCCCTTAATTAAGGAATATTCCTTAAATAATATTAGGGACCTTAGGGACCCTACTATAATTTAAAGAATATTCCTTAATTGAGGGATATTGGAGTCTCTGGGAACAAGAAGAAGGGTTTTCAGGTTTCAACAAATGCTTCTGTAAGATAAGGGTTTCCATAAAGGGTTTCTCCAGGGGTTACTGTCAGAGCCATGTTGAGGCTGCTATAAGGCAGTCTAAACTTGGATCTTTTTCTTGAGGTGCTCGAGTAGTTTTGGCAGGTTTCACTGAGACATGAGACTCCGCCAACCCCCACCTGTAAGGAGTACTCTTGGGCTTGGTCTAAAGTCTAGACCGGGCAGGACCTGCGGCTTCCGGTAGGAACAAAAGCCTTGAATCGATCCCAAATTGATGTCATAAGCTGCGGAACTGAACCCTTCACCCATTAAAGTACAAGTAGCAACCATTTCGCAAAGGGGGCTAGGGCAGGACCGGATTGTTGCCAACGGCCGAGGCAAGCACGAACCACTCGCTGCAAGGCCCTTGAAGATGTTGCCCAATGTCAAGTAGTCCTCGGCAGGGTGTTGGGTTTAGCCCTGAGGGGTGCTAAAGTTTTCGAGTTTGGGGTTTGCAGTCTGAGCGGATTGGGACTTAGGCTCTATGCACCGGAGTCCGTGCAACCTTCGCGAGAATTTCCCGCAGAACAACTGATAGTTGATGCTCACGATACTGACCCCAAGTCCTTCCCCCTAGAAGTCATCTTCCCGAGGTTCAGGAATCGTCTGGATCAGGCCAGCAGGGGCACCAGATTGCGGTCCCCGCGGAGTGCTAAAGACACAAATCCGAAAGCCTCAACCTCTTGCAAGCCCAATTTGATATTAATAGCCCCTCTGTACAGCCTGCAGACAATTCAGGTAAAGCCGCTACGCACCCGACTACAAAACCATAACACTCGCTGTCTCCCTCATCGTATGCCGGGTAGCAGGTGCAACGATACCTGCACGAGGAACCTGTGATGCCAACTGAGCCCTGGGCCATTTCCGGTGCCGCATTGATGACCTCAAGCCGACTTATGAGGCGGCACTATGACCATTACCTTTTACTCTTATTACTATCATTATTATTATTGTTGTTACTATTGTTATTATTATTACTAGTAGTAGTACTGTTATTCTTATTAATACTACTACTAATGTTGGAAGTATTCATTATTGCGATGATATACCGGGGCTTTCGAAAGCTATTTGCAAGATGCGATCTGAGCTCCACACATAGCAGGCACGTGCCAGAGCGTTTGCCAGATCCTCCGCACATCCCAAGTGCTGTCAGCCTGTTAGTTGACTTACAAGGTCTTACAAATGTAACAATTGGGCATAAGAAACATGGCTCACATTGAAAGATATGTTTGCAAATATTTATAAAGTACTAATGTCAATATCAATGTAAACTCTGTCCTTGGTGCTCTCTGTCTTGCCTGTACCCGCCGGCCCTGCGGGTGCGCAGCCCATGTTGAGGTGCAAGGCCTGGCAAAATCCGGGACTCCCGACGCACCTGCAGAGCCCCCACGTGCACACCCAGTCTCCTGCGTGGCGGTGACATAGATGCGGTCTGTCAGCGGTGTCACCACCAGGCGTGGCCCGTTTCCCAGGTACTCGTAAGCATACCTGCAGATGCTTTGCAAGGCTTCTCAGACCAGGCTGTCACCACAAGTGAAGAGAAGCTTGACTACATACCATGATTTCTGGCAAGATGGTAGTGACAGTGACAGCACGGGAAACATTGCGCACCAGATGCGAGCATCGCAGATCTGCATCTGTGCCGTGCCCTCGCCAGGCGGGTCCTGTATCTGGCAGCAACTAGCCGCAAAAGCATCTGTCTGGTGCTTTACCTTTACGAGATTCCAACGTTAGACACACGCAGCTTCCAAGCATGAAGAGTCCGGAACCCAGTAGCACTTCAGCATGCTCTGCCACCTGAGAGCCCAGCTTTCATTCATGCACTCTGCACAATCAGCAAAAGTAAAGCTCATCACACGCATCGTAATCTTCATCGTCATGGTCGTCATCGGCATCCACATCATCATCATCATCATCACCATCATCATCATGCTCGTCGTCATTATGATCCTCCGTCTGTGGTTGCGATTCTGTTCATGTAGCGAAGAAGGTCGTGATGCATCCTCTATGTCAACGCTCTGCGCCCTGGCCACGCACACCGCCTTTGTGGCGACTGAAGTTTGTGATTCATGATTCGTGTCACGTCTTAATTCAATCCCTGCAGAAGGATACAGCTGCCATGCGTGTTACGAGCGGAGGCTGAGACTCCACAAATCCTAAGCCGTCTGCTTAAATAAACCGGTACGATTATCCGCAGCTTCATAGGCACTTGGCAGAAGTGCCAAAGAGTCTAAGCCGGCTGCTGGAAAGCGTCGGCCGAAGTGACCTTGTCCTTGACCAACCGCTCCTTCTTGAGACGCATGTGCTTGGGCATGATTGCTTGTAAACGTAGAACATCCCCTACTGGCCGCCCTGGAGAGATGAAAAGGAGAGCCAGAAGGGGGCTCCTGAACGTCCCGATTGTGGGCGTCCAGCGTGATGGCACACATGACCTGGTGCAAGCTACCGGCCCGCTACTACGACTTCTACGGGACTCAGCGAGTGCTCTCAGCTGCCTTCTGCCTGTCTGGCTTCGTAAGATCCGTCTGCGTCAGGCGGATCAGGTCGAGCAGGAGTTCTGCACAGATTGAGAACTCCGCGGGTAGCAAGCCAAAAGACTCCAAGTTTCGGATGTGCAGCTGCGGTGTCTACTTCTACAATACTACTTCAACAGGTTGAAGACATCTGGTTCAGGCTTGAAGCGGCCTTGCTGTCTCTTCCAAGCCTCCGTCACCTGAGCATCTCGTGAAGGCTCCGATCGGATGCTCTTGCTGCGCAGCTTGGCCTTCATCTCAACTTCCTCGGCGTCGTCATCGTCGGGGTCCGGTGGAACCTCGTCACCATCATTAGGAGCTTCGGCCGAATAGAGCACATTGCCCCTCTGCAACCCGAGATGCCTGAAATGCGCCTTCGACCAGCTGAACCCATGTGATGAGCTGTACCAGCAGTGCACCTTGCGCCGCCTGACCAGGGCCAAAATACGAGACTGCATTTTGGAGAAACGCTAAAAGCGACGTGCCTTCACTTCCAGCAACCACTTACCACGGGCAACGCCGTCTGCCTGGAGCACTCCACAGACGCGGGCAGTGTCCATCGTTGGAAGCAAGTTTGCAAACGAAGAAAGAGTGTCTCTGTGTTCACGCATTTTTTACTGGGGGCTTAGGGGGCGACGCGCGACTCTCTTATTCTCTCTGTCGCTCTCTCTTTCTCTCCATCTGCTCCGTCTGTCTCAATCCTTTCCTGCTCCGCCTGCCTCACACTCATGCTCTGCATAGCTGCGCAGGTCTCTGATGGCAAAGTGCTTGAGAGCTCCACGGAAGGCCTTGTCACTTCAGGAGTGGACAGAAGACTCCATTTTGACAGGTTGCATGTGTCCACCTTGCCCAGATCTGCTTTAGCCTTAACTACCCTCAACTTGGTCCAGAACCTCGATGCAGCGCTCCAAGTACACTTCGACCTGTGAAGCTAACTATCACGACTCTGCGACGCAGTTGCGCTGCGCAGTGGCATGACACCTTCCCGTTGAGGGGCAGCGGTTCTGGAAAGGGGACGAACTCCTCGCGGCTTCGTAGGGAAGACGGCGGCTCCCTTTACATGCACGGCTTTCGGTCCTTACCGATGCAGGCATGCATGCCGGTCGCGACCGGTCGGGTGCCGGGACCGTCCGGGTACTCCAAGTCATACCTATCGGAGACGTCCCGGGCCAGTCTCTTGCAAAAGCCGAGGCAGCTCTTGAAGGGCACTTTTCGATGGCGTTGAAGAACTTTGGGAACTGAGGCACGACCCGTGCAGGGTTGTTCCTGGCACGGAGCAGGCTCGAATTCCTGAGCTTTCGTAGGGGTGCTTGACAAGCAGCTCTTCAAGCGTGGCTTGCTGGACCCGTTGCTGAGGACATCCAGCAGGTTCGCCGACGACATGAAGTAGAATCGCGGGAATGCTTGACCTCAGCATGTGCTTGATCTAAGACTGCGTGTAGAATCTAGAAGGTACTTGTGAGCTCAAGCTCCAGTCGACAGGGTCCCGGCGCTTGCCATCCATGAATTCGTTGAGCGCCTATTGAGCATATTGAGAATTGAGTGCAAGCTCGTCGGACAAGCGAAGCTCCCGGTGCAGATCTCTGAGCTTCGTTTTTCTGAGGGCCTTCTCGCACATGGAGAGTTGAGTTTGCGTCTTCTCCAAGACCTGCAGAGAGATGAAAGGGTGATTGTCAAAATTAGGGTCCCGTTTTGGGTCCTTAATATAACACACCGATGTTGACAACTACCCAACAAGCTGCGCCGCAACATTAACATGAAGAGAGGGGCTCCGCAGCCCGGCTTGCCTGGTAGATGCTTGGGTCGGCACAAAACACTTTAGCAAACCGGGCCTGACAAGACCGCACGCATTGCAGAGTGCAAAGGACTTCATAGCATCGCCGAAGTCTCAGCCACGCCTCAAAGCCTCGACGGAGTAGCTGCTTCACATCGTCGTCAATTTCGAGGAAGCGCTCTGACTCGTCCGGCAACTCCTGACGTCTCGTGACATCCGCCAGCTCTTCATCCTACTGCCGCACCCCCTGAAGGTACTATGGCAGTGGCAGGCGATCCTTCTTCACCTCTTCGGAATGGATGAACAAGTTCTCCAAGAAATCCCACGTTCGCAGTACCTCTTCTTGACTTCTAACAGAATGATATGCAGGTAGTCTACTTGCCTGGCACGCATGCAAGCTTGTGAGTGACTTTATGCCCTGCTCGCCCTCAGTGCGCATCGAGCCTCGCCCAAGAGGTTTGTCGTCTCGCTGATGTTGGCCAGCGTCTTCTGCCAACCCACCACCTGCAGTCCCGAATCTGGGAGTTTCCGAAAATAGGGGACCCTAATATAGTACCAAAACTAGCGGGATCCTTGTTGTAAGGATCCCAAAATTAGGAAGCCGCCTGTGTCTCGAAAGTGGATAAGAACCGCGACGCGAACATGTTCTGCACCTGAACCTGCAAAGACGCTGACGGCAAGAAGCAGTCTCCCAGCCAGATCACAACCCTGGTCCAATGCACCGAGGCAGCGTGGAGATTCCGGATTCCGGATTTTTGCATGCGAGGCATTAGCCAGCATAAGCATCTGGAGGCCTGTGGAGATTCGAATTTCAGCTCCTCCGCATCGCTCGATGCGGGGGGGATAAATAGCAGTAGAATTCTTCCTGCGGTCTCTGTCTCACTTGTCTGCTGCTTCCTCAGTACGCTTAAACTCTGGTCTGTCAGAGTCTCTGTGAAACTGTCTCGCTGCCCTCGGAGAGCTTCGCGTTCGCGTCCGAGCATCGACAAACTCGGTTACCAGATTGCCAGGGGCCCAGCCTGCCCTTCGCACAGAGCTTGGTTCGGCCGCTGAAGGGTAGGAAAGAGACTTGTGGCATTTCGACATCTTCCCCGAAGCGACAGTTGGCGACGCAGCCTTGAAGCGGTTCTGCGACTGCTATGTTCGCGCACCCGGGGTTTCTTGCGCAACCTGCGATGTCTGCCACCAATACTCAACGAAGTCGTTCCCGTTTCGCGGACTCCCACGAAGAGGAGGTGTTAAGCAGGCTTGCAGCACGCCGTTCAGCCCGACGAACTTGACGATGCCCATGATCATCAGCGGCTCGACACACCTCGCTCCTGAACATGCATCGTCGGTGCCACATCGTAAGTACAAGCATGTCGCTGTGAACAAGGACATGTGAGGAAGCAACATTATTTTAGCGTTGTAGAAACACTGAGCAAGGCTCTGCTAGTACATTGACGGCCTCCCTGGCCACGTCTTCCTGCGCATAACAATTTGCAGAGGGACAACGTGCAGTCTACCGAGAGAGCACAGCTGAAACTGACCCAAAGTCCGGATTTGGAGAGAGCATTGCGTCACCTGAGGCTTGTATTTTCAACTCCATATCCAGAGGGAGCACAAAACTCAGTCGGGCACACACACACACACACACGACCCATCAAGAAGCATTCTGTCAGCCAAGTGTCGCAACAACACCAGAGCTAGCCCAACAAAGCGCAGGGTCATGGTGACGTTAACGATGAGGTGGTACGTCAAGCTCTCCTGCACCGGATGGTGACACTGCACGCTCAACCTCGCGTCTGCCGGCACTGCCTGGGACATCACTCGTTGCAGCAGGCGAACGACGATGGCTAGGCCAAGACCTCTCAGATGATTCACAGGAACGACTGTGCTTCCTGCGAACCTTCAAAAACCAGCATCTCTCCCTGTCATTCCATGGAAACTGCCCGGCCTACAGCGAACTTGAACCAGTGCTCCTTCAGCAAAGCCGCGAGCAGTTCCTCCTGCGAGGCGTCGTGTGTTTCCGAAGAGCTGTTGTCAACTAGTCTAAAGCATTCACTCACAGCATGAAAAGCAAAGATGTGGACGTGGCACGCTCTTGGAAGCTGGTGAGCCTGCGACAGCCATGCGAGCCACTGTGAGCTCTCCCGTCCGGCTGCAGATGTTGGGGTCGGGATCGGTGTGCCAGCGGCAGCTGCGGCAGCTGCCTTTTTTGCCAACTCCTCGCGATTGAAGACCCTTTGGGGCTCGCAGTAGTGGGGCATGCATGCTGGAGCGAGAGGGCGTGCTGCAGCTTGCAACGACCCGTCCTTGGCTTCACGTTTAGACCTCGGAGCGTTTCCCAGCAAGCCGGGAGCACACATCCTCCGTGCCCCAATTAGCAGTCAGGGCGCAGGAGTCGAGATCTGTGCGGCCGCTTGCCGCCGATTGATTCCATGAACAGCATCATGGCAATGACGACGAACAGATCCAGGCCAAACACGCTCAGCCACATGAACTTTTCACCTCAAACCAACGGTTTCAAACGGGAGTTTCCGAAAACTAGAGGGTTCTTATTTTGGTATCCATATAATATTATAAGGATCTTACTATTAAGGGTACTATGTTAGGGTCCCCCATTTTCGGACACTTCTCGGGTCGGAAACGAACTCTCAAGGCGCTCCCTCTTCATCCCAGCAATCCCAGCGGATGCTTCCAGGCGACCCGCGTGGCAAAGTCTTCCCAACCAGGACTGCAGTAGATCCCAGGCATGCAAAACCTGGGTTCTTGTGAAGGATTTTATTTTAAGGTACCATAATAAGGAAAGCAGATTATGGACTCTAGATCCCTATGATGATAACTTAAGTTAAACCCTTAAACCCGAAACCCTCAAAGTCGCCCTCATAGATCCCTTAAAGGAACCATTAGATCCCTATGACGGTAACTTAAATTAAACCCTTTACATAAAAAAAAAACCCAGAAACGGCGAGCCAGTTCTCCGAAGGCTCCATGAAGCTCTCGGGCTCGGGTTCAGGAACTGAAGAACTCTCCTTGGAGGTTCATGGGCAGCTTTAAGTGGGTTTATAAGTCCCCTAATGTGGGTTATAAGTGGGTAGATAAGTCCCCTAATTTGGGTTATAAGTATAGTTACCCTACATACTTACTTATAACCCTACTTATAACAACTACCCATGAACATCCAAGGATCTGGGGCCTCCAAAGTCGTCGCCATGCTCTGACCCGGCTCCTCCCTTGGGCGCTCCACTGTATGGCTGAGTCTGTCTTCATCGGAGTGCTGCGCACCCGACATCGGCAGTACCATGTCCTGCATCACTTTCACGTCCAGAGACCTTGGATCTTTCCGACAACGAGGCTCTGACATGCAGAAATGCATGGAGACGGATAGCCGGACTCCCAGGACCGAAGCTAGCGAGTTGAAGCATAAGATAGCGTACGGCGTAAGCCATGGCCCCAAGTGACCTCGCCTGCTGGTCGCGCCTTACCGAACTCGTGAGTCTGAATGTTCGGTAAACAAACTGCTTACATTCCTGCCGCCCGCATCAGCTCACCCATTCAGCTCTGGGCATCATGCAGAAAATGCCCTCGCTTTCCCCCAAACACAAAAAGCAGCCGATTGCAGCATCTTGCGGCAAGGAAGCAGTCGCAGAGTGGTCGCCAAGCGCGCGAGCAGGCGAAAAGACAGGGCAAGCTGCAGCCTCGGGTCCGTTGACGGGAATTGAACTACAGACACAGACATACCTACTTAACTCCTATCTCCGTCCTTCCATCCAGGCATGCATCCATCCATGCATGCACGCACACAGCACGCACACACACACACACAGACACACATGTATGCATGCCTGCATGCAAGCATCGCACGTTCATACATAACACGCATGCCCATCTATGTATCCAACTGCTGCTGGGCTTGTTTGTTGTGCACGCATGTAACACGGTTCCCACGAGATTCAGCTTGCGGACAGAGCTGCGGGAGCTTCTCGGGCAACTTCGGTGACGGGCTCGACGATGTCTCAGAGCTGAAATCCTAACAGCAGCTACAGACATCGATGAGATCCGGTCGGGCTCGCACGGCATTGCACAGTCCCATGCACAAGGCACAGGTTTCCAAACCTCAACGGCCACTATCTGAAGCAACCCTATACCCTCTGGTACCCTTTGGGTAGCAGCCTTTAGAGGAACTCTTCAAGGAACCCTAAAACCCTGAGACAAGGAGCCGAGTGGAGATCGCAGATGGCTCCCAAAGCGCCAATCACAGGGCCATCGGAGCGAGAAGCCTCCCGAGGAGGGTCGCCAAGGATGCGAGAGATGGCCTCGACTTCCTCCTGAGCCCAAGAGCCGAGTGGCCATTCTTTGGTATCTTTTTTCCTACAAGTACTTATAGAGGAGTATGATGGTGTTCTTTGGTTCCTACAGATAGTTGCTTCTATGATATGGGGATATGATGTAGAATTACTGATTATGTCCAGTATGTGGGGTGCTGAAGAAGCTATTCTGACTTTTGGAAGCCACTGATACTGGGACCCGGGCGTTGATCCGCCCAAGTGAGCCTTTCACCTTCCGCCAGTCCTCCCCTGCGGAGTAAGATTTGGGGCTTAGGGTTTAGGGTTTCGGGTTTCGGGTTTGGGGTTTAGGGCTTACGGCGTTTTGGGTTTCGGGTTTCGGGTCTAGGGTTCAGGGTTTATGGGGGCTTTCCCCCCAAAACGGCCTAAGAGCAGCTCTCCAAGGGCATAGCCGGATCCCAAGACCTGGCTGCATCTCAAAGCGGATGAAGGCTTGTCGCCTTTTTATGGCATGTGCTGTTCCCTGCTCTGCCTGGTCCAAAGCGCTCGTAGTCGCAGAGCTCGGGCGCAGCAGCCTTGCCATGAACAGCATCTCATCAAACTGCTGCAACAGGCGGGTTACGCAATTCCAGGCCAGGCCGCATACAAAGCAGTGCACAGGTCAAGCGAGCCCATGGCATTGACACCATCTGTGAGCTACAGGCTTTTCCGGGCCCCTTAGCAAACCGCTGGCCAAGAGCCACCTTTCTTGAGAAGCCAAGCACGGGCAGGTTCTCATGCAATTTCGAGGTATTCAAGGACGATTCGACGAAGAACAAAGCAGGCATCGGACGTCCGGATGATGCCTGGTTCTCTTCCAGGATCTCCACATCTTCATCCCGCAGTCGCATCAGTAGCACATCTGTGCCTGCCAAATCTCATAAAGAACCCCTCGACGTGGAGCCGACCGCCCCAACAAAACCAGCCTTTGTGCTTCTCGTACACAAACTCAACAGTGGACCATATCCTGCAGGTACTGCTGATGTAACTGATAACTGGGCTTTTTCCATCAAACGACTGAAGCTGAAGACTAAAGAGACACCATTACGTGCACAGACGATTTGGGAGCTTCCGATCATTAGGGGTACCTTATTTTGGGATCCATAGAATAAGGATCTTACTATTTAGGGTACTATATTCGGGTCCCCTATTTTAGGAAACTCCCATTTGGTCTCCTGGTGAGCTTGGCAATGGTCGCTTCCATCTTCGCCCTCGGATTGCAGTGTGGCAGAAGAATCAATAGGCAGTTCTCTAAATTAGGGTCCCTTTTTCGGTCCTTTTTATAGAAGGCTACCGTACTGTATTGGGAACCCAAAAAGGGACCCTATTTTTAGAGAACTACACCAATCGAGGCGCGATGAAAGTATGCTGGGATGCGCACTCTTGCTTAGCTTGCTCACCAATCTCCTCCACCTCCGCTCCAGTCGATCCAAGTCAACAGCTCTGCAACCACCCGACGCAGCTTCTGGTCGGAAAATGGAAAGCACTCAAGCCGCTCAGTGTCATCACTCTTCCATTTTTCGCCGCTGCCAGAAACCTGTGAAGTCATCAGAATCGCAAGCTGTGCGATAGCACCGCCACAGCCTCACCATCCGATCCTTGGAAAGGCGGCTTCAGCTCAAGGCCAGTCAATGCACGAGGAGATTCAGGCATGGTATCGTAAGATGTCTGTGCTAGTGCCGGCCATGCTTGTAAGGAACGGACGGCACTGCCGCTGGCAATCAAACCATCAAATGTATGCAGCGCATGGACCGCATCTTCGGGCCCTTTCAAGGTTTGGACCACTTCCCAAGTTGGCAGCAGCACCTGGAACAACGGAGGCGCAGCAGGGGTTCGAAAAGATCCTCACTCAGCTTGAATCCCAAGCTCTGCCATGACACAATGTACAAGAGATGATCTGGCCCGCCAAAGACCAGATGGTCACGGCCAAAATTCGCAACCTTGGCTGCAGCATGCGGCAAATGGTAGCTAGCAGTTTTTCGGTAGGAGACCCTAATAAAGTACCCCAAATAGTAGGATCCTTATTATAAGGACCCCCAAAAAAGGTACCCCCCGATTTTCGGAAACTCCCTCGGGACGAAGATCCTGGCCAGGCGGCATGGGTCACCACGCCAAACTTGCGGGTCGCTGAAAGCAGCCGCGAAGTCTCTGGATCCCAGAGCTGGAGTGACCAGGGCTCGCGTATCCCCATTCCTTGGTCTGTGTCATGCAGCTTGCGTGCGAAGATGCTGTTTTTGTGTTTCATGCTGTCTACGACTGCGATGTTGCTGGCTTTCGAAAAGGCAAGCTTCGGTCATAGCCACTTGTGGCCAGGGATTGATCCACAGCCAAGCTGACAACGCTACCGTTGTTGGCACGCCACGCGAGCTGCACCTGCGATGGCGTCCAAGGGAACCAAGATTAACATGGACTTTTGCAGCTGCTTCGTGTATAGACCGTGCCTCACCTACCGTCACATTCCAAATTCGCACCCACCCATCGTCAGAAGCTGCGACTAAAAGATTCTTGTGCATGAAGGCCAAGGCCTGCTTGCACCCAACACTGACGACTCCACACTCTGCATCGCACAGCTACAGGAGAAGAGAGCCACACGACAACATCTACACTCATACGTGTACTGCACATGCCGGTATGTCTACATTTTGTATGGGTGCCTGCCTGCATGCATGCATGCAAGGGATGGATTGGATTGGATTGGATTGGATGGATGGATAAATGGATGGATAAATAGATAAATAAATTGGTAAATAAATGGAGAAATAAACTGGATGGATAATTGGATGCATAAATGGATGCATAGATGGATGGATGGATGGATGGATGGATGGATGGATGGATGGATGGATTGGATGGAGGAGGGGTGGATGGGTGGATGTATGGACGGATGGATGGATGGATGGATGGATCTTGTTAGGGTATGTTGTGGTCTGGTAGCGTAATGTGTGATGCACATAATGTGATGTAATGCGTTGCACGGATGCAAGGGTTTGTGATTTAGGTATCTGTAATCATACGTGCAGCCAGCTCCCTACTGACTAGCTGTACCCCATTCTTCCGTTCCCTACTAACCAAAGGTAAGATAAGGTTGCCCGGGCAACGGGCCCGATCTCGGCCTGGATCATGATAGAGTCCGCCTGCAAAGCTCGATACCACTTTCCAGGGTGCCACCACACACCGATCAGGCCGCTCTTGTCGCCGTGCGCAATCCACGCTGAAGATGCCAGCGCTGTGACCATGTGGCTCGTGTTGTAGAGCAGCTGGCCCCGAAATCCCTCGCCAGTCTTGCCTTGGTAGGAGTCATCTGGGTCTTTACACTATATGAGACGAGCGATCTGTGCGGCAGGCCCGTTGCAGGCGGGAAGCTCCAGACTTTCACCGTACCATCCAAGGATCCGGTGAGGAAGCGCGGCTTCGCGGGCTTGTCCCCAACTTCTGGCTCCGAAAGCACTGCCACCTTGCAGCGAGCAGGGCCCAGGCGACATAATCAGCAAAAGTCGCATCTTGCAAGGTATCCGACACCAGTGGCTCATGACTTGGGGCACAGACTCTCCAAACCTCGTCCTTGTGCCCGTCAAGCATGTGCCTGCAGCGGACAACGACGAAAAGCTGGTGATGTGATGATCTCATAGCTGCAGACACGCCGCCGCTCCCAACGCGCAGGCTCTGCCCAAGTCATGTTCCAGACATACCTCGACCGAGAGACCAGGACTGGTTAACTGAGTCATATCTGCTCCAGTGGCTCAGTGCTCCAGTGACTCAGTGCAGCTGGCGTACACCATGTAATCGAGTGATGGCGCGACGAGCAGACCATGAGTCTCATCTACGGCGATGCCCCAGACCTCAGCTGCCGCACCACGAAGGAGAAGTCGCTCAGCGACGCTTCAGGAGCCTGGCCATGCCACCGACCGGCTCGGAGAAGGTCAGGTTGCAGTCGAAGGACACAGCTTCTCTGGTCGGCTTCTGACCAGCTCCATCTGAGGCCGTGCAGAGAAACCGTTCAGACCACAGAAGATTGGAAACGCAAGGCCCCCGGCCACATCGAATGCATAGCCACAGCCAGGCAGAAGCATGAAGGCCTATGCTCCTGGACAGGCCGTACCAGGCGAGGCTCCCAAAGCTGCTCCAATCGACAGCATTCTTGCTGGATGAAAGAAAAGGACTTGAGCATGAACGTCTGCCGGCTCCGTCTTCGCGCACCAACCATCTCTGCCGCGGGAACACCGCCCGGCTCTTGCAACTGGGGCCAACCAGGACCATCGCCGGCTACGACGCACCGTTCATGAGATTTCTTCAGTCTGCCCGCCATAGTACAGTAGTTTCTTCGTTCTGCACTACCATGCAGCGTCCTTGAGCCCATGGCTCTTCCGTGATGCAGCACAATGCCATGGAGAGCATGATATATAATATAATATAATATAATATAGTATAATATAGTATAATATAGTATAATATAGTATAATATAGTATAATATAGTAGAATATAGTATAATATAGTATAATATAGTATAATATAGTATAATATAGTTTATTTATTTATATATATATATATATATATACATATATAAATATAGCAGAGGCCACTGCAAGTGCGAGCCCAAAGTCCCAGCGAGGGCCTCTGTCGGAAACTTGTGAAGCTCCATGTTCCACATGTCGCGGAGAAGGAGCTCCTTTGAGACCTGTGGGTGGTTGTCAAAATTAGGGTCCCTTTCTGGGTCCTTAATATGATACGGCACCCTAAACCCAAAAAAGGAACCCTAATTTTGACAACCACCCCTGTATTTGCGTGTCTGTGACCCCTGCGATGCAACAGTCTTGCACCGGTCCTCCAGCTGCTTGTCACAGAGAGTCACCAAAGCCGACCAATGTCTGGGCCTGGGAAGAACGGCAAACTGCCCTGGGCGTCGAACCGCATTTATGATTTTTGGCATTACTACTACTATCATCAATAATTGCTATTGTTACATGACTACAGGAACACCGTGGGCGCTGGCCTCATGGACGGGTCGGAGAGCTCGCCAACCAGAGGGCAGAAGATTACCCATCGCTTGATGACCTGTGTCAGCGCATGATCAACCATGCCACCGCAATACACGCATGATCATCCAACATGCCCCTCCTCCTGCATTCCAACGTACACATCCACCTTCTTGTCCACTTTGTACTCCTCAACAGAGACGCCGAAAACGCCAGCCACGACATGCAAACACGCGTACTACGCAATTATGCCGTGACGAACACAGCTGGACTTTCATTCGTACGTCCGTGTTCTCCTTGAGTTTCTTGAAGTTTGCCTTCACATCGTCTTCCATTTGTAAAGCATCCACAGTGCCCCACCTCAACAGACCATTCAAGGTCTCCGTTGCCGTCCGGAAAGGGGTCAGCATTGATGTCTAGACTTGAGGCTTTCCATCTCTGCACTCCGCGATCGGCCTCTTGACCAGATAGGATTCCGTTAGTCGGATCCTGCAGACTCGCTCAGACAAAGGGTGAATGCTTCTTAGCTTCCTGGGCCACCCCATGGCCCCATGCTCAAACATCTTGGGTCTCATCATGGATCATGGAAGCTGTCCTCTCCACCTCGTGGTCCCAGAGCGCCTTGATGATGGCAACGTCCTTTTGCTAGTTCGACCACCCGTCCCCAGCAAAAAGAGAGGAGAATCCTAGAAGCCATCAGAGCATTCCCCATCTTTTCGAGCTGAGCATGCCGATTCTGCCAGGCCGACGAAGCCTAATTGTGCAAACCAGCGGCATTTTCAGGGCGCCGGGTAACGCCAGTCCTGTGAGTCCAATGCTTCCAAGAGTAGAGGATCTGCCCTGCCCTTCAGCCCCATGGCTGAGGGTTGCCACTGTCCGACTACTCCAGCGATGCCACCTGTACATCTGCACCTGCCCTGTGCAGACACCCTAAGGCCGCACGCCCTCGACTGCTGGAAGGCATGTGGCCCAGACACGACCAAGCTTTGGCTATGGCTTTGCATCACAACACTATAAACAAAGAGATCCTTTGGGCAGCCTTCGGGCCTGTTGATAGACACTCGACTTGCAGAGCTGATGTCCGTTTTCAACGGGCACGGCACAAGTCATGTCACGTCTCGAGACCACCCACTGGGCTGGCAGCAGCTGCTTGCTATGCTTTGCTCTGCTTTGTATCTTTTTCTCAAGCCCACTTGGTATCTTTGCACATGCAGGTACTGTGGGTACGCTGAACAAGTGGCAGGTTCCACATCCAATGCTTCCTCCAAAGCCAGCCGTGTGGCGCTCACTTGTTGGTTACAAAGGCAACTATATAGGGGCCTTAATGATTACCTGTACTATTTTGAGGGCTCCTTATGATCATTATGGATTATGGTATACTGCACCCCCCAAAACTCGGAAACCTGCCGTTCAATCCTAAGACATGCCAGCTCGCTAGCTTGACTTCGTCAAAACAGAGCCGGCCTTCCAAAATCAGGAACACATAGCTGTGCGCCGTGGGCACGCCCGCCTGGGCAGTTGCAAAGTGCCGATGGCTGGTAGCTGGTGCTGGCGGCACTTGCCAGATCTTGCTGACTGTCTGTTCCTCTGCATGCCTCGGAAGAGTTTACACAGTTTTGCAAGCCCTGGGGGCCACGCCGGCCAGCTGGTTACCAGCGAGCCGCAAGGATGCACCCGAGCTAGTCCCGGGCCGCAATGACGGATGGGGGCCGACCATGGGGCCTCGGAGGCGCAAGCTTTCAGGAGCCTCCAATGCTCGAGTTTCCCGAGCGCCCTGCGGGCAGTGCCGCCGGCATGCAACAAAGGCGACGAAGTGCTCTGCTGCATCCCAGGGCTTCGAGGGCAGCTCGCTGCCGCCCCCTGGGGCAACTTTCCAGAAGCCGTTTTCAAGCTGAATGCAACGGCAGCAGATCGCTGGGCGCATGGCCCCGCCGTGCCATGCATCGCCCCTCAAAGAAGCCCGGCTGGAAAGCCCTGAAGAACAGAGGCTGGGATCTAGGTCGAAGGCACTTCGAGAGGTCGTGAACTCATGGACACTTCCAGTCTCTTGCCGCCTGAACGAGCATCCTCCACGTCCTCTAGGCGAACGGTAGATGCCAGATGTTGGTGACCTTGGCACGCATACTGATGATTCATGTATATTCATGTCAGAGCCCAGCACTAGCAACCGTCTCTGCAGCGCAAGCTGCTGCTGAAGGGAAGGCCGCCTTGCCTCTGATGCGCAGGTTGCCCAGGCAGCATGGACCTGCCATCCTGCGTTTAACTTGCGGGACTGCAGGTGGGCCACGAAGAGAGGGAGAGCAGGGTCCTGCGCATTGCGTAAGCCGACAGGTGGCTGCCAGCCACAAGGAGAGTCGCCCCGAGTCTTGGGGGCTCCTGAAGCTGTGTGGCAGCAAGTTGCACACGGAGAAGTTGGCTTCGGCATAGGCATTCCAAGTCAAGCGGCCAGCTTCATCGTCCACGTCTTCTAGTCTCAGCGTCGCTGCGAGGTCTATCCGGCCTAGATGCTTTGAGTCACAAACCCCGGGCGGATGATTGAACTCATGCGTCATGCAGCGAAATCTCTCAGCACCACCAGATTCGTTCCAAGAAGCCTTTCAGATTCGAAGAGAATCTGGACTGGCCGGCCGGCAAAGGCGCGGAAGGACCAGAAAAGACTGCCTGCCATGGCGACAGAACTCCAAGGCATATTATGTACATGTGAAATATTTATTTATTTATATATATATATGGATATATGGTACCCCCCCCCCCAGGACCTACCTCCAAACCCGTCGGCCTACACACAAGATACCATACCCCATCACCTACGCACACACACACACACACCCACACACGCACACACACACACACACGCAACATGGACCTGGGTATACGAAGATTAGTGTATACGAACATGACTATACCAGAGGCCCGGCTGCATTAAAACCAGCATTAAAAAATTAAAATTTAATGCAGCCCGGCCCGTGGAACCAAGAACCAAGATGCCCAGGAGTCTTGAATCCTGAATCTTGGTTCCACGGGCACCGGCCGGGCTGCATTAAAACCCGCATTAAAAAATTAAATTCTAATGCAACCCGGGCCGTGGAACCAAGAACCAAGAACCAAGATTCCCAGGAGTCTTGAATCCTGAATTTTGGTTCCACGGGCACCGGCCGGGTTGCATTAAAATCTGCATTAAAAAATTAAAATTTTAATGCAGCCAGGCCCGTGGAACCAAGAACCAAGATGCCCAGGAGTCTTGAATCTTGGATCTTGGTTCCGCGGGCACCGGCCGGGTTGCATTAAAATCTGCATTAAAAAATTAAAATTTTAATGCAGCCAGGCCCGTGGAACCAAGAACCAAGAACCAAGATGCCCAGGAGTCTTTAATCTTGGATCTTGGTTCCGCGGGCACCGGCCGGGCTGCATTAAATCTGCATTAAAAAATTACATTTTCATGCACCCAGGCCCGTGGAACCAAGATTCAGGATTCAAGACTCCTGGGCATCTTGGTTCTTGGTTCTTGGTTCCACGGGCCAGGCTGCATTAAAATTTAATTTTTTAACACAAGTTTTAATGCAACCCGGCCGGTGGCCGTGGAACCAAGATTCAGGATTCAAGACTCCTGGGAATCTTGGTTCTTGGTTCTTGGTTCCACGGGCCGGGTTGCATTAGAATTTAATTTTTTAATGCAGATTTAATGCAGCCCGGCCGGTGCCCGCGGAACCAAGATCCAAGATTAAAGACTCCTGGGCATCTTGGTTCTTGGTTCTTGGTTCCACGGGCCTGGCTGCATGAAAAAGTAATTTTTTAATGCAGATTTTAATGCAACCCGGCCGGTGCCCGTGGAACCAAGATTCAGCATTCAAGACTCCTGGGAATCTTGGTTCTTGGTTGCACGGGCCGGGCTGCATTATTTTAATGCTGGTTTTAATGCAGCCAGCCATGTAAATATTCACGAAACATATCGGTTTGCCATTTTATGTGCCACATGGCCACTCCTGCAGTGAAGATTAGCGAACGGATTGCTGCGCTTGACAGTTTGATCGCATCTGTACTCCTAACTCCCCCCTATGCTTGTGATCATGTCGGCGCGCCCCTCACTTGTAAACATTTAGGGCACCAGGTATTATACAGCCTGTCAATATGCACCTCATAGAATATCTTATAGGATACTTCGTAGACTCCCATATTAGAATACCCTATAGAATACTTTACAGATAGATGTCAAATATGGAACATTCGAATGTTCAGCTGAGTTGTAGCTTATTGAGTAACGGGTTCCCATGATGGAAACCAGGAACCTACTTGTAAAAGAATATTTTTTAAAGTTCAGTATGGATTAGTGTCTTATCCCGTCCAGAGTTTCATAGAAAATACTCAGGTCGTACCATATACAGTTTATGAAATATATGCTTTGTATATACCTTATGGACTACCCTGTAGCTCATAAAACACCACATAGAAATCTGTCCTGTACATACACCCTATATAGAATACCTTTTATACGTTACAGCTTGGGATACCCCAAAACCCTATACAAGCCTTTTAGAACACCATCTGGGAAACTTTACAGAATGTCTTATAAAAACCGTATGAATGATACTCCCCTTATACCTTGTATATGCTCTTGAGAATCCCCTTTGGGATATCCGACAGAAACCGTATAGATCAGGATTTACTTAGGGTAAATCAGAAGGAGCCCAAGTTTTACGCAGCTTATTGAGCAAGGGACATTTATGAAAGAAATGAGGAATAAAGGAGAACAGCCTGTAGAATACCTTACAGAATACCCTTTCTACAAACGGTAAATAAACTCATGTAGAATACGATAATACCGTATAAAATATTCTATATTCCCTATACACCTTGTACACCCAAGATCTGAGAGTTCCCCAGTTGAATGTGGTTTATGTGGCAACGGATTCATATCAAGGAATTGCGGAATAGAGGATCTAGAAATTCCTTGAAAAAACGATGCTTATTTGGCAAAGAATACATACAGAGAACAAAGCTCGTCTGAAGCACATGCTGCACATATCCTATAAAATGCAACTTTTACCCTACCTTATAGCATGTTTTTATCCAATTCCACCGATTTGCCCTACAGACACATTATAGAATACCATCTGTAATACACTGTAGGATACTTTGAAGAAGAACACCTCTATTTGATACATCCTGTGTACCTTATGTATGCCATATAGAATACATATACGGTACCATTTAGGATACCCTTTAGAATCCTTTATAGAAAACCTTAAAAAGTACCTTATAGATACGGACTTTAAATATGGAAAGCCAGCCGGAGCCCAAGATCTGAGAATTTCCAGTTGAATTGCAGCTTTTGGGCAAGGGATTCCTATGAAGAAATCAGGAACCAAGAAGACCATCCTTACAACTACCTTATAAAATACCCTCTCTACGCACCTGAATGAAGTTCAAATAAAATACACTATAGAATACCTTCCTACGTATAGGCCGCAGAATGCCTTTTGTACAATACGTTATGGAGCACCCTCTGGAACACCGTATAGAATGACCTATAGAATACCATCCTTACGGAAGACCGCCTATGGAGTATATCCTCAGAATACCTCAAAGATCCTCAAACATACCTCGTAGAATATCCTCTAGAATACCTTTTAAGATACTATTTAGAATAACTTTTAGTATACCCTATAGATCACGGTTCAAAGAAGGAACATCAGAAATAGCGTAGCATACAGAGGACAGTAGACAATACTTCGTGGCATTGTCTTGGTTCGAACGGTGTAATGTCGTCGTAAACAGAAAAAACTACGCAGTATATAACAGTTTTGTTCGGAGTGGAGTCGTGACGTCGTCTAGACAGTACAAGAAGAGGCTTCGAGGTAGGTCCTGGGGGGGGGGGGTAGCATATATATATATATATATGTACATATATAATGAACACCATATATATAATCATGTAATCATGTATGTATGTATGTACGTATGCATGTACGTATGTATGTATCATATTACAACGTATTTATCTAACTATTATCTAAATAGGTTCCGCATATATATATATATATATATTCTCATATATATATATGTTTATATTTACCTATTTCAAAGTTTCTACTGACGGCCCTGGCCTCCGGCGGCCCCATGAGCAGCGCTTTCGCAGAGACCATCTGCTGGCGAGAGGCCGCTGCCTAATCCGGGAACACCCAGAGACTCCAGGGATCCCTTCGTTAAGGAACATGACATACTCTAAGGGTTCCTCAAAGGGATCTCTAAGGAATCTAGAAAGGAATTAAGGAATATACCTTAGAAAAATGGGTTCCCTAATATGATTTAGGGTACATTCCTCAACTAAGGGATATTGGAGTCTCTGGGGCAGGATGCAACGGCAGAACATCCCCCGAAGGTGCCCCGCCTGGGGCCTCTCTTTCTGTGGGCTTACGGAGTCCACTGCAGCTCGCCCTCTGCAAAGCTTCTCCTGAGCTCTTGCAGCACTTATATACTATAGTATAGTGCAGTATAAAATGGTACATATCGTATTGTCATAATTAATAGATTGTAACATCTGATAATATAGTATAGTATATTACACCTCGCGCATCGACGGCGGAAGGGCCTCCATGGCCATGCCCGAAGGAAGGTAGCCGGAGTCCTTGCAGACTTGCTCAATTAGATCACAGCTTCCGTGAAAGTCGTTCCAAAGCCACGCCTGGACATGCGGCGGCAGCTGCGGAATCGAGTCGCTCCTTGCCGGTGCTCGGCGCCTCTTTGGTGAGGCCGCCGGAGACCTTGGCGCTTCTGCATACGACTGCACTTGCCAGATTCTGCAAGATGTGGTGCAAGGTCAGTGGCTGTGCGGACGTCAGTAGCTCGCCCAGCACTGCATCCAAGGAAGAGCTCCAGTCCTCCAACAAGGTAGTACTTGGAAGCATCTGCAGCCGCGGACGTCCCTGTCTCTCCGCCTTCTGTGACGGCGCACGTCGATGAAAGCCTAGTGGAGAAGGAAATCGCAGATCGCCCAACCTTGAACGCAGCGAGACACAGGCGTGTCGTCGTCGAGAGACCGCGACTTCGAACAAGCGAACGACATCAAGTCGAACCCTTTAAGTCCTCTGAACGTCTCTGCAAGCGGCTCATTCACCTTGTCCTGGCGAGGGCTCAAAACATGCATAAATCGAGTCTCCGAAGTCGCAGACTGGAAGCAGCCAGTGTGTGAGACATTCTGAGAGAAGTAGGGCAGAGTGTGAGACCGACCTCGGGCTGAGTCTCCAGGTCCGAACTCTGCGGCTTCTTGGGCAACCGCTTCCTTGGCAACAGAACCATGGACATGCTGAACCAAGTGGCCGAGCCTGCCTGCTTGGGAAAGAATCGCTTGTACTTAAGACTTCCGGAAGCTCCGATCGCATACGAGCACCCGACGGCGCATACCATGCTGCCGAAGTAACGACGCTGAGCGGCCTTCCCGTTGAGGAGGAACGGTGTCCGCTTCTGGTCCTCGACAAGATCGGGCTCCGGAAAGATCATCCCTGTGCAGCCACTGATGCCCCCAACAAGTCCTGTGTTCTGTCTCCTTCCTCTTCGCGCAGGGCTGCAGCTACCTGCGATGCGCGGCTTCAGTCTCCATCTGGCACATAGAGTGTAAATATACATGTACATACACACGGTTATCAGTGTACAGATACTCAACGCCCCTACAAGACTGCGAACATCTCCTGTAAAGAAGGCTCAGGCTCTGCACAACACATGAGATCAGTACAAAAGAATATGCCTTGTGAAATACAAAAACCTATTCAAACAGCTAAGTGTATTTATTTGCATATGCCAGCCAAATAGCAACGTCACAATGAAGCGCAGTCTCAAAATTAAACTTAGTAAGACCACGTCGTTGTGAAATACCCGCAACATTCGATCCTCAATGTACAGCAATACACGGATCAAAATGCAACCGACTTGCTAGGGTTATGCAACTTTAACTGGAAGTAGATAATGCCAGTTTATGATGTCTTTGATCTTCTTCCCTACATTACAACAAAACAAGCATCGCCGAAACATAATGACTTAAAACATGCACAGACATATGTATGTAATGTACACGTATACATAATAACTGCATGAACCTTGACACTGATACAATACTTGTGAGTACATAGTAGTATACAGCCGCCCGACTATCCCACACACTGATGTGCTAGACAAATACCCGAAGTTGTTGAACATGTAACAGCATCTAGCATTACATGCAATGATGAAACAAAGGCATACCTCGATAACATGCAAGCCTTGACCCACAAGTGCAATCTAAAAATACACACAGCGGTAGTGGTGATCTCTTTGGTGATGTGTAAGACCGTCCAACAATACACATCATTGCACAAATGACACACACGTATGTGTATATGTATGTGTGCACAGGTATACATGTGTATATATATATATATATATACATGTACATATATATATATATATATGCATGTAAGATCACGCATGCCTCCCTTTTCCTCCGGTAGCTTGGAGCCGGGAGCAACGCGCAAGCCCGCAGAAGCAACGCTGGCGCTTGATTGACACCTTCCGCGACCGATATTCGCACCAACATGGCAGAGTCAGCCACCAATCGTCCCGACAACTGAGCTCTCGTTTGCGGCCAAGACTCTGCACTGGGCACCCTTTCCATCGCCTTTGAATGACTGTCGCGGCTTTGATTCTCCGCGCCTCGTAATGACGACCGCGACACACTATCTGAAATGATTGGGGCACTCTTGCGACTTGGGACGACGTGCCTCTTCAGCGATAGCAGCTTCTGCAGCAAGCCTGTCCCATCCATCGGCTCATCGACTACTCTGCCCAGTGTTGTCGCGACATTGGAAATCATACATAGATATATATATATATATATATACATATTGATTGTATGAAAGTATTACAGCACCGCTGTATTTTAGTAGTATAGTATTATAGCAATATAAGTATAAAGTGACAAGAGAGCGGCACTCCCAGGTGAGTTGGCGAACCCTTGGGAGCCGCACCTCGCCGCTTCCTCAGGGGGGCCAGTGTCGAAAGAGCAGATTCACCGGCCTAAATAATGAGGGTTTGAGGGTTTAGGAATCACCAATACTGATTTGGGGGGTTCCTCCTTTTCTGATTATTAAGGCCCCTGTATCAAACGGCATCCCAAAGAAAAAGAACTACGAACGCCACTGGGTACCTACGAGCATGGTCTTTCACGTTCGAAAAGCTACAGGCGAAGCGGGCCTTCTCCACCTACCTGCTACCGACTACCGCCGGGTTCTTACAAGGAGTTTGCGAACGATTTGGGATTTCCTGCCTTTCTCCTCTGCACCCGAAGACTGGCGAGCATGTCCTGAGCAAAAGCTGAAGAAAAAAATGCGAGACAAAGTCGCCTCAGAGCTTCTTTGCAATGCTGCGCCCTCCGCAGACAGCAAGATCAACGAAGTTGCCAAGAGTCTCTGCCAATCTCATCAAACCAATGCCGATCTTTGCGGCCCCTCCAACACTTCTGGATGTGGCATGCAGAAACTGCGTGGCGAGATCTCGCCACTTCCTGCATACATGCATGTTTTGAGTTCATGACCTCGAGAGACTGCGCAACGATCCTCCCTCTGCATCGCAGTCGCCGCAGAAAGGAATGCTCTCGCTGCTCGCTGCAAGCAGCAGGCTGCATGTTCCTGTCTTGCGGCTTTGCGCCCTACCAGAACAGGAAATGGCAAAGCACGATTCCAGGTCAAGCCACTGTCTTCCGGTGACACGAATGCTGCTCTCTCCCAGACAACAGCATGTCGGCGCGCTGAGCAGGAAGCTCTTACCGGATTTAGGCCATCAGACATCAGGTTCAAGGCTGCGCTTTGTCGCTTAGGTTCAGGAAGGGGCCCAAACACTTACCCGGCCTCAGCCTTCGATCTGGCAGTGGTGAGGAGACGCACTTGGCAGATCCTGCGACGGCACGCAGCTTGCAGAGTCGCAGCCGCGAAGCGCTCCTGTGGAGACAGGCGGGCAACATAACAACATAAGGCACACCGACACCGGGAAGTGTGAACCGCCTTATCACGATGCTCTCTCACTTCTCACAATTATCGAAACCTGCCAGTACAAGCAGTGCCAAACGGGGTTGTCCCTCACTAGTCGAACATGGCATCTTGCTCGATTTGTCGACTCTGCGCTGACCCCCTCCATAGAGGACAACCCCAGTGACAGCATCACCGACAAGATCCAGAAGTATCTGGGGTTTCCGAAAATAGGGAACCCTAATATAGTACCTTAGATACTAGGATCCTTATTATAAGGACCCCACCCAAAACAAGGTACCCCTAATTTCGGAAACTCCCATCTGAACAACTCGGTCCTGGGCTGCTCTCTGGCGTTGCTTGAGTTCCAGCCGGCACAGGTAGACGTGGCAAACTTGCTGCAGGTTTTTCGCTGCAGAGGCCTGCACCCAAGGTCAGGAGCAGTGGGTGCAGTGGGAAACTTACTGCGCGAGTGTGCCTCAGAATGAACACGCAATTCCCAAGAAGGAGCAAAGTCCGCAGCAAAAACTGCAAAAGAGAGTTGCCTGCATCTTGCCTCGACTCGAACTTGCCAAGCCGGCTATGCACTTCAGGACGCCACAGTTTCTACAGAATTAGATCCTGGTTCAGATGCAGATGCGCCTGCAGCAAAACCTGTTGTGATTCCACTAAGAGAAACTGGTGTGATCAGGTGCGCATCTCAGGCACGGCGCGAGGCGGCCTACGAAAGATTATTATCTTTCACGGCTCTTATGACCGCGAAGAACTGGAGCAACTAGACGCAATAAGGCAGGACTTGCAGGCCAATTCCATCGATCGCTCGATACCTGTGAGAAACCATGCACAAGGATGTGCGGAGCTCCACGCGATAATTTTGGCGCAATTCAACGAGGTATACTGAGGCGGCTGGTGTCCTATTTTCACGACCACTTGCGAAAAGATGTTGGGATTTTCCTCGACTGAGATCATGATGTGATGATGCGACTGCTGGCAAACGTGAGCTGCAAAACAGATGCAGGAGGCTTCCGCGCAAGCTCCTGGAAAGAACAACCGACATGGCGGCCTCATCATCTGCACGACACCTTCGAAGAAGATCCTCTCGATGAAGATGCATCCGGCACATGCCCTGAATGGCCTGGACCGCCTCCTGCACAGTGCGAGCAAGCTTGTCGGAATATATCCGATCACACATCACAGCCATTCCTGAAGGCAAGGACTGGGGCACTGCGGGCTTGCAGTCAACACAGTGAGCACTGCCGCTCCTGGTCGGTTCCGGGCATGGCCGTGCCTGGAAGGCCTAGGCCGTTCCTGCCTTCGCTCTCCTCCTGGAGGGCAAAAACCGCTCGTCTAAATATGGGGTGCTGATCCCTGCAGAGGGCAAGGTCCCGGACCCCCAGTGGCACGGCGCTTCTTGGAGTCGAAGATGAGGGCCTTCGAATCTCCCTGGGTGTGCTGCTCTCCTCGGCTTGTGATATCGCGGCTGCGGAGCGCTCGAAAGTAAAACTCTTGTTGGCTAAGGAACACTTACTGCACCGCAGCTCTCTGTACGGGCTGTGGTTTCGGCATCAGCTTTTTCGCCTCAGCAAGATGATGCAGCACCGACAGCACTTCTGACGGGCAGGTGTGTCTTAAGGGCGGGGCCGTCACACATGGCTGCAAACGGCGCGAGGAGCTTGGACATCAAGGAGGACCTCAGGCAGTGGCCACGAGGCCGTGGCAACACGCAGGGATGTTGTGCGACTGCAGTACTTCTCGCCTGGCCCTACTAAGTCGCAAGGTTCCCAAAGCCCCAGTGGGTCGCAAAAATGCCGGCGGAGCGACCTGACGCTTCGTTCCCTTGCTGCCTCCGCAAAGGGATCCAACCAGCTGCTGGACCCGTCGGCGGAGCAATGCCAGTACCTCAGCTGCCATGCTCCCACATCAGACAACAGAGGGCTCTTGCAGATCTGGAAGATGGGTTCCCAATCAAAGCGACAAGCTGCTTGAAGCCTTCTCCTGTGACATGTGGGCCAGACCTCAGCATCAGCTCTTGCGAGCCCCCCCCCCCCTGCAGAAGAAGGCGACTCAGCTGCGGACCATGCGCAATGTCGGTTGCTGCTGTCGGCCTCATGGGTTCAGGGCTCTCTGCCCAATTCAGGCTTCGCAGAGCAGGCACATCAGGCGCTTCTTCGCGCCTCGAGCCTCTCCCATCCCTTCCTCAGGTGCTGCCCGGGATGGTCAGACCGCATCGCTTCGCGATGCAGCTCCATTATCTCCTCAAGACGGCTTTGGGCTTTAGGCCCCAAACTCCCAGAAACCAGAAGCAAAACGACTGCAAGATCCTCGAAGCTGAATTGCGCACCCAAGTTGTGAAAGGTGCTTCAAAACTCGAGAGACTTGCTCTCAACTTTAGATCTGCTGGGCATCTGGGACTCCGGTGGATGTTTCCACGATCTGTTCATGAAATGGGGCTGACGAGAGTTCCCTGGCTGTCTTTGAATCTAGACCTAACTTATAGGCGTCGTGCAAGCATGCAAGTAAGCAAGCAAGTGAGCGAGCAACCCTGATTCGCTCTTTGAGCCGTAGACCCTGGACCCTAAACCCTCATACCCTAAGCCTTTTTCACAAAGATAAATCCCGAGCGGCTCCTGAAAAACCTGATGGTCGGGATGAGTCCAGGAACTTTGGCCGCTCACCTCGGGGCAAGGAGCCTTGAACAGTGCTCGTAACAAGTTGTACAAGTAAGGGTGACAAACCTCATGCGAATCAGAAGAATGGCAACAAGTAAGCCTAGTATGTTTGAATAGTAACAGTAGCTGCAATGGTAGTAGCCATAACAACACGAAGAACTGTGATAATGATAAAGCTGCTGACCACGATCATGATGATGATGATGATGACATAACAAGCCAAAATGATAATGAATAAATGCAAGCTATCGTTCCTGTACGTAGTCTTTCGTACGAGCCACTGCTAGATCCACTACGGCGACGACGACTACCACTGGGGTATCACCACCGACTACTTCTCTTATCGTTGCTGGTGTTTTCATTTTCGCTGTTCCGGAAGACATCACTAGATGCTCTGGGCAGAATCATCTTTGTTATCATTCCTGCGCTTTCAATACAAATAGTAGTAGGAGTCAGAAGCATGTGCCAAAACAAGATGCTGTCCGAACCGGACACTAATGCATCACTGAACCTCGTGTAGTCAGCCAGAAGACATTTCACTACGGTCTGACGGGGCTGTTGGCCTGGCCTCATTCCAGAAGTAGGCCGCTGATCGCTGCTCCTCTCCGTGACACAAAACCATCTCCACACAAAAAATCATGCTTTCTGATATTTCCGAAGCACAGCTCTGCCGCTTCAGAAAGGCACGGCTCTGCCTCCACCTGTATCGACCATCCTTCCGGAAGGCCTCCCTTCAGATGGGCATGGAGGACGTTAAAGAGTTCTTCCTGGCGGCGCAGGACGCAGGACCACCTTAGAATGGGGATCCTGCTATTTAGGGTACTATATTAGGGTCCCCCACGTCCCTGACCCGATGGCTTGCATTGTATTTCTTGGTATTCCTTGTGACCTGGAAATGCTCGGCAGCATGCCGAACCTGCCTCTTTGGTTCAACAACGATCAGGCAAGCCACTCAAACAGCCCGTAACTAAAGCTCAGTGCTGCGGACAGTGATGCACACCAATGATGACAATCGACATGTAAAGTTGATGACAAGTCTGCGAGGGGACACTCATGGTCTATCATATGTACAGACACATTCGGACTTCGATCCTTGTCCCGTACCTTCACCTCCTAAGGCAGAGATTGGATCAGGTCAGGCCCGCCTCACGCGCCCGATCCACTCCTAATAATCGTGGATAATCCGAGGCCAGATCTACCTGGCGAGCCCGCTGGCGCAGTAAAGCTGCACATCCAACGCCCTGAATCCCAGCGCTGTAGCCATCCGTGCCTCTGCATATGAGGAGGCCCGTTCAGAATCGTCATCCTCAGTTTGGCAGAGGACTTCGAGACCGCGGAGCACGTCGGCAACGTCTCTGAAACAGACTCGCTCGCAAAACCGGACAGACTGCCAAGGAGCAGGGTCGTGGGGGACGGCCATCACCCCGCAGCCCTGCCTACGCTCTTGAGCAAAAATGCTCTGTCAGCGTCAGCACTGTCTCTCTTTTGCAGTTTCGAGCTCGGCACCTGTCAGGTTGTGTTCTGGTTGTCAAATCCCACAGCACACTTGGACTGCTCGCGTCCTCCCGCATCATGCCCATGACTCGGAAGGACTCCTTGACTTCATCGGGGTACTCGAAGTTCTTGGCAATCAGCTGCAGATCCTGCATGGGACCCTCGGAACCCGCCTCGAAAAACGATGCTACTACTTGGAGGCTCATGGGTAGTTACAAGCGGGGTTATAAGTCCCCTAATATGGGTTATAAGTATATGGTTACCCTACTTATAACCCTACTTATAACTACCCATGAGCCTCCAAGTAGCTCCTATCTGCCAGTGGCGTCGGATGCCTGGAGCTCGGAGGTCTTAAGGTCCAGGTACTCAGTGACCTTGGCTCCGATCTGCGATGTCGCAATCTGTGAACAATTCGGTCCCTGGACCCACATGACATGCGCAGTTTGACCACAGACAAGGTGCTGCTTGAATGCGCTGGAAGGCCAACTCGACACCGGATTTGTAGAAGTAGTACCTGCGCGAAACTTCCAGCAGCTTTACTGTGTGATCATTTGTTTCTTCGCGTGTCCGTTTTGCTTTTCGTGGCGTCGGAGCACGCTTCCTTCTTCAGTCCAGTGTGGTATGACCGAAGCGCCTGCTCGAACTCCGCGATCCGGGTCCTTTCATGCTTTGGATTCAGGAATTCAGGGTGTTTCTTGGGAATGGGGTCTACGGAGTTTACGGGGCCTATCCCAGGCAAGGTGGGGAAGCCCCATATCGCAAGCTTCCAAGTGCCGCACTTGTAGATCTCGCTCTGGATCTGGACCAGCGGCTGAATCGCCTAAGCATGTCTGAGCTCGAGACATCTGCATCTGAGGATAACGTAGGTCCTCATCATGCCTCCCTGTGTACCGAGACGGCTACGGTCTCAGTAGATTGACAGACCACTTTGAGCTGGGCCAAGTTCGCACTCACCTGCGCAACGCACAGGTGCCATCCACGGCCGGCCGGATCGCCAGCAAAGGGCCGGGAGCCTTCTTCAAGCTCTTCAGCTGCTTCTCGACAGGAACGCCCTTGGCAAGTCGCTCCATTCGGACTCTTACAGCATCTTCCCATGAATCGCATCAAGCCCACCTCCCTTTCGATGTGTGCCAGAGTCTCATAGATGCAATCCTCTTCACAGCGCGTTTGTAGGGGAAGCGCGCGCCGCAGCGATGAATACCAGTGCCTGCTGGCGCAGTAGCTCGGATTCTTTCTGGTACATGTCCTTGATGTGATTCATGACCTGCGACAGCTGCGAGAGCTTAAAAGTGGCCAAGACGAAGACTAGCAGGACAGAGCGTGAGCCTTGATCAAGCCCTTCACATCATCCTCGCTTAGCTTTGTCGCTTGCCCGGCCTTTCAGCCAACACTTCTGGCAACTTCGGAGACTCATCTCTGGGCTTTGGGGCCCATTATACTATAAGTATAATAAGGAACTCCCAAACCAGTAATTACAGATACTTCTTGGGGCCCCTATATTATAGGCTTACGGACGAAGAATCTTTCCGGTAGAATCTTGCATTCGGCCTCCGTGCTTCTCTGGAACTCCTCCAGCCTCGGCCGTGAAGAGACAGCAAAGGTAGCCCTCTGGGGTTTGTGGGTGGTGTTACAAGCGGCTTTCTAACTGTATAGTATATTTATATACGTAGTATATATGTAGTATATATATATATAAAGGGAGAAAGTATATACATACATACATGCATATATATATATATGCATATATATATGTATATGTATATATATATCCTGTATGTACATACATATATACACTATGTGTGCAGTGTATGTGCAGTTCATCTAGTTCAGCCACAAGCAGAAGCATAGGCCAGTGCGAGCGCAGTGTTGTAGCAAGCCAGCTGTGCACGTTCGGACCTGTACCAGCAAAGAGTGCGAAATGCTCACCGAGTTCTCTGAGTCACTTGGAGGTTCACGGGCAGTTATAAGTGGGGTTATAAGTCCCCTAGTATGGGTTATAAGTATAGTTACCCTACTTATAACCATACTTACAACTACCCATGAACCTCCAAGCACCCATCCCTTCGAGCTCCATGCCCAAGTACTCGTTTGCACGGTTCTTGGCGTATTGGATGCACGAGGCTTGGAAAGGTGATCCTGGAGAGCGAGCCAGTTCTTGGGTGTCCCCTTTCACCTTCTTAGATACAAGGATCCTGGCACGAAGTCCTCTTTGTCGTTACATCTCGGGTGAGAGTCTCTAAGCCTTTAAGCTTGGCAGTCTCCCGGAGCCGAGTCCTCGAACTGCGGCGAGTTTTCCTGTCCTTGTTGCCGAAGGCCCGTGCAGATACAATCGCAAATGGACAGACTCGCATCTCTGAGCGGGCTGCTCGTCCACCATGTTGACTTTGATGATGATTGTGCCCACCTGCAAGGCTTAAACTCTTTGCGGAATGAGTACCGAGAAAGGTACGAGAGCATGGAGCAATTGAAACCACTATGCCTCTATGTCCTCGCGCGCACATTCACACAAGCGCCACTCTGCCTATGCACGCATACTACACTGTTTACATACATGACTTTCATGTCTGCATTTCTGCTCGTGCCACAGATATGTAGTTTCAGTCAGTGTTGGGGTACGGCGTGGAGTGCTACCAACCGCGAACAAGATGCGGCTTCAAAACCGGCATCTTCTTGGAAGCCACTGTAAGGGCAAGATTCATGTCTTTTGGGATTAGCGGTCTGCGTGAACACACTAGACCTGCTTGACAATGTAAAGTGGTATCGCATTCCCGAAGAGAGAACGGTGTTTGCTTCAAGCTCCGACAAATCGTGTGCGGTAGTCATGTTTATGTGGGTATACCGGGTATACCGGGTGTTTGGTGCGTGTCGGCGTTGGTTTTAACATGGATTTGGTACATACATACTTACCTATATGTATATATGTATATATATATATATATCAAACATACGCATATGCACACATGCACACTTGCATACATGCATACGTACATACATACACAGAAATGCAGAGATGTAGACACAGGCAGATAGATGGAGTCACACACATACAGATAGACCTGCAACACATATTTAGATATCCTGAATGATATTCTGCATACTCCCCATCCGTGCATATATCTACCTGTGTGAATATCTATCTACCTATCTGTCTATGCAGTTTCCCGACTACCGGCTGGACCGATACACAAATGAGGGTACGCGTGTATTCATTCATCAAACGCACATAAATGCATAGACAAGAATTCCAAAAGGCAGACGCAGCGCATATCCGACGCATATCTATATTACATAGTCATATACAAACACTGGCAATACTTGGTTCTGTTTGCTCACTTACGTCTTTCCTGAATTCATGTCTTCCTCCTTGCCTCCCCTCTGTCCTTACCTTAACGCCTTGCCTACTCGCTTACTTGCTAGCTTACTTATTTGCTTGCTTACTTGCATATACTTGTTTCCGTATCTCCGTACTCTTACTTGCTTATTTACTATTTCCATCACCTGCAAATTGTGTTTAGCTATTAACTCGATGGTTTGCTGTTGTGCTTTGCAGGCACCTATGGTTCTTTTCCAAGCGAATGACATGCAGACGACTGAATGCAGCGATGTACATGGCGCATGTGACTGGAGCAATATCTTAAGAAACTGCACACGAGCTAAGTGCAGATGCATCGACTCACGTACGCATGCGGGCATAATTCGCACACTGCATGTCTGCATGCACGAAAGCAGCGATGAAAGATGGATGGATGTTTCTTATGCAGCCGGATGGAGCCTCAGCCACATACCTGACTTCGTACCTCGGCCCGTCCCGTGGGCTTCGGTCCAATTGCAACTCGTGGGGCCATGGAATCTACCGAACCCAGCTGAGCAAGCGGCTGCCCATTGTCGAAGTCGATTACTTCATGTGGCAGCTCCCGCATCGACTCCTGGCATGTGAGGCAGGACCATGGCATTGGACACTCCTCGAGCAGAAGGCCTTCCCCTTGTCGTTGATGTAGACATGGTTGATTTGGATCACCTGGCGGTGACATGCAGACGTGTTTTGAAGAGGGGAACAATGTGGACAAAACGGCCAGGTCAGCCCATTCGTCTCTTCCGGACTTTCCTTCGTAAGAAACGCAAGCACGTCCAAATGCAGCCCCCGATGCAAGTCTCTGTAAGAGCTTGTCACCCCACCGACATTTTGAGACAAGGAGCTATTCTCGCCCAGCTGGTTCCTGGCCTGGATCATGAACCTGATGTGAGAAGCGGGAGGAGACGGCCAGCCATGACTGTTGCATCACATGGCCCCTGCCTCGTAGTCGCTTCTGCTTGCTGGTCCACCAGCAGGCCTGGACCATAGCACAAAGACCTCGTCAAGAACACAAAAAGCACTCAGCTTTCTTCTGAAGACAAGCGTATCATCACCGCTTCTGCAGCACGGCTTAGCGATGGTGTCAGGGGCGCTGCATGTCAGGAATCGTATTGAGGAAGTAGTGGTAGTCTGCGACCTCAGCACAGCTGAAACGACGGACGAGAGTCCACATCAGTCTCAGACTTAGAATGCTTCATCTGTGCCGTGTTCCTTGCTGTAGTAGTGAAGTCTTTCACGCCGATGGAGACCCGCACTTCGCACTCCCGTGGGCCAATGCTTCCCTCCTGGCTGCTCGCGAGGCTGGGTCTCGAGTCTCAACTTCACATCAAAGGATGAAGCGAGGAAGCTGCGCCACCCTGGGCGTGAGGCATTCGACCAGCTCATCATCCACCACCGTTCCTGCATCACAGACTCCCGCCCCCCCCACCCAGCCGCACAGCGCTGAAGGGGCCGAAGCCGAAGGCTGGCCTTGCGCTTCCACGCTGAGACGCCCTCCGGCCTCGATGCCACCGGCTCTGGGAGCTCTGCGACTTCGAGGCTGTGGACTTTTTGGGTCACCGACAGCACTGAACCGCACCACGGCTGCTCCCGGCACAGAAAGGAAGCCGATGCCGGAGATCTTCACCTGAAAGGCGGATGCGTTGGAGCAGAGGTGGGGCACAAGCCATGGGATGTGAATAACTTTACTTGGGATGCCGCTTTCTGACTGCCGGACACAGGTCCCAGTGGGGGATCCACTTGCACGATGGCATACCTCGGAGGATCTCACATCTGACAGCATACAAGATTGGCGACTCCACAGTCACGACCTACACCCCCTCGCTCTGAAACAAGACCACACTTTGACCAGAAAGGAAGAGACGCAATACTAAGTTACTAAAGACACTGCCGCGTAAGACCAAAACCGTCCCTGCAGGGAAAAGATGCTGCCATGCTGCGGTGGCCCAACAATGGAAGCAACGTTGATCTGCCAGCAGTCGTCCAGCCACTTGTTCGCCCATCCACCATACATGATGAGCCTGCTCTCCTGTCGCGCTCCAGGCTTCAAGTGCTGCAAACAAACAAATCGGTCTCCTGATCCTTTATTGCAAGACTCACACATCGCCCGGAGTCGGATGAAGAAAGCCGCAGTGTACAGTGGCTCGGTCCTCTGCATCGTAGCACAAGGCGGTGTGTTCTCGCCTGGACGAAGGCGGCGAAGCAACCGTGCCAACAGAAGGACACTATCAGAAGAGGGTCTTCAAAAACCCTCTTGTTGATAGAAACCCTCTTCGGCCTCGAAAAACTTGAATACTCTCATGATCGATTCTGCTACTCCTGTGGGTACTACATCCTATTGCTCTCACTTGCTTTATTGCTGTTACGGATACTGAGGTTCAGGGACTGCTGTAGCGTATCAGGACCAGCGAGCTGCAAGCTCCCTTGCGATCCAGCAGCCCATGAGGTCGTTCCGCTTTGGATTTCTCCTGGAGGCTCGCATCAGCTTCATAGAGGGTTTTTATAAAAACCCTCTCACTCGGCCACCTGCCCACTTGCGGGGAAAAGAGTATAGCCGGCCTCTGGGACGGGAGTCAGCCACTTCCGGTCGTCGCCGAGGTCAAGCACCCCTGCACCGTCTTAGAAGAGCCCAGGAAGGAGAGGGTAGAAATACCCGCCTAGTTTCCGGTCGAATGACCCCATGGTGCGGCCCTCACCTCTGCATATGAGGAGTTCATGACACCATGCCAGTCTCAATGGGCTCAGGTGCGCGGCCCATCCGGTCGGCTGAGCCACCGAATACAAAGACCCGCCAAGAGGGAATGGCCTCGCAAAGACCGCACCCACTGAGCTTGGAGACTGCGACTTTTGGCTGAACTGCTCTTGAAGACTTTGTGGCAGAACTTTTCATGGTGACTTAGGGTTAGGGCTTAGGGTTTAGGGAACTGGTTTAGGGATTAGGGGTTTAGGGGGTTAGGGGGTTAGGGTTTGGGGTTCAAGTTCTCGTGCACTGGGCCCCAGCCTCCACGAGCTGTGATGCCATGTTCCACCGCGGCACACTCCAGCTCAGGTCGAGGTCCGACCAGTCCTCCAAAACACGCGAAGACGGTCCAGGGTTTAGGGAGTTCTGGGTTTACGAGTTTAGGGAGCTAGGGAGTTCAGGGTTTAGGGGTTTAGGGAGTTAGGGAGTTGGGGAGTTTCGGGTTTAGGGTTTAGGGATGTCTGTCTGTGTCTGCCTGTGTGTGCGCGTGCGAGGTCTCGTGTGTGGGAGAGAGAGAGAGAGAGAGAGAGAGAGAGAGAGGGAGGGGTGTGTAGTTGCTCACCCCAAACTTGCACCTTTGAGCCTCCCCAAGTTCATCTGCTTGCAAATGTGTGCAATGGCATGTCGCATCCGTACAGGTCTACACATACGCATACATACGTAAACAGGTTGATAGACAAGCAGACAGACAGACAGACAGACAGACAAACAGACGGACAGATACAGAGGTGGATGGATGAACAGATGGATATATGGATAAACGGATAGGTGGATGGATGGAACTGTTGGAATTGATGGAACTGAAGGATCGATGGAAGGATGGAACGATGGATGGATGGATATAGTATACAGGTATATATATATATATAGACTTGGATTTACTAAGAGTACGGTTAATTGCACGGATGCATGCATGCATGACCCCACGTGAATGGATGGTTGCGTGTTGTGTACAGTATGGTATGTATGCATGCACGTGTGTGTGTGTGTGTGTGTCGAACAAGTATGCTGCTACGTGTGTATGCCTCTGTGTAGAAAGCTGGAGACGGGCATGAGCGTAGCCTGATGTGCCTCTGAACTGAATCTCTATGCAGATGTACCTATACACGTAGGTACACACACACACATGTCGGCACGCATATTATATTGTTCAGAGATAGAATATGGGTAGATAGACAGCTAGCTACATAGGCAGACAGACGGCCAGACAGCCAGACAGAAAGACAGACAGAGAGGCCAGACACTGAAGTGTATGAGAAAACACATATGCACACACACTTGCGGGTCCAGCTGGGGTGAACTCGACAAGACTCTTGCTAGGAGCACGAAAGTGCCGCAATGACCGTCTACCTCTACGTGAACCAATGCATGCCGCATGTACATCGTCACAGGTGCTTCTGTGATGGATGCCATGAGAGATGCCACCTTGTTCTCCACATCCAGCATGAAAAGGTCGTTGAACTGCGACTCACCATTCCATCCACCGAAGACAAAGACGAAGCCATCCTGCACCGGCGGTGGCTCTGAGTCACGGGGAAGGTGAAGAATTCGAATTACAGTTTGGGTCGTGACTTCGCTGAAGCTGGAAAGCAAAGATCCGGTTTGCAGATTGCTTCACCAAAGTGTGCCACCATGATCGCAAGCAAAAGAACAGCATTCGGACAGCTAAGCAGGATCTTGATGGATCTTGGGGATCGAAACTGAGTGAAGCCTTGGGCCCGTTCGTGCTTGGGGATAATTTCGGGTGCTGCCGAGTTCTTGCACAGGCCGAAACTACACGCCGCGGTCTTCCGATGCCTTTGCACTCATCTGCCCTGCCTTCTGGAAGGAAGCGTGTCCCGATCGCGGTGCCGGCGGGTTCCCATGGCATGTCAGCTCTGCCCAGCCTAGCGACACAGGAAAGCAGCAGGAGCAGCTTACAGCCTCTTTTCCGTGAAGCGCAGCGTAAGCATCACATGCTGGCAAGACGGAAGGAGTCCAGGTTCAGCGTCCACACCTTGTAAGTGCGTGTGTCTCACTTAATTCCCCGTCGCATGCTGATCCCATGTAGCCACAAGCAATGCAGTCAAGGAGCATCATTGAATGCTTTGCGCTGGTACCCAATCCCACCATGACCGCCAAAAAGGACGAGCTGAGCAGCAGAATAAATTCTTCTTGACTGCAGAACAGCTTTTCTGGTGAGTTTCTACTGAACCCACCGTGTTCTCGTAGATGCAGGTGGTGTGGTTGGCACGTGGCCTCAAGCTTCAGACATGGCCTCTTGCCCATGTTGTCAATAACCCAAATCTCGCATTGCCACAGAAGGGAGCTTTCAGCTTGGAGCCTGACGCAGGTCCTTTCTTGGCATCTTCATCCTGAGAAAGGGCAGAGAGATCCTTTCAAGGCCCTACATGAGCTGCTCGCACCTCGCCCTGAGCACAAGAGCTCACCTGAGCACTTCGGATTCAAGGGCTCATGGCCCCGCAGCAAGATGAGGCCATCAAGGAGCCATCGCTAGCAGGTCTTCGTGGAACTGCTCCTCCTCTGCCATACCTGTTCGGTCCTCCAGCTATCCCACATCGTGATCATATCTTGACTCTGTCGGCAAGCAAAAACCGTCCTTCGGGGTGTGTCGTAGCCTCCTTGGTCCATGGTCTCCTTTGTGAGACCTGTCGCGGCGAGAAACCGTGCTCCAAGGGCTGAAAACCTTCTGGGATCTTCTGAGCAACTCAGGCATCAAAACAGCGTGAACTGCCGGGCAGACATGCTGCTGGTCATCTGCTTGGACAGGAACTTCTTCCAGGATTTACGCGCGCCTAGCAGCAAGAACCACTACGTCTAGGCACTGTGCACGAAATGCAATGTTGGAGCTAGCAAGCAATGCAGCGGGACCTGAAGTACCGATGGAATCTGTCGGAGCATCTGGAACACCCGAGGATCCTGGCACTTCATGCGTTGCCTCAATCGCCGAGGAAAAGATGCAACGATCCTCCGAGGCTCATCGCGGAGCCAACCACAGCCTGCGAGGAATGGAAGTAGTAGCGTCATGCCGGCGTGTGCGTTTTTTCTGTGGCAGTGTAACGGTCTGTCAATCTGGGCTGCCCAATGACGAGACTGTAGCCCCATGTGAGTGTGGCATTTCTCCCCGACCATATGAACTGATGCGTTCTTCTTCTATCTGCATCTACTAGAAGGTGCTGGTGCATTTGCATGCTTCTACTGCCTTGTCCTGTTAGCCACTATCACTACTATACCATGAGGCTACATCGGCAAAATGAAGCCCTATTCTGTGATCACCATGATGCTCCAGCGCGCTGGCAACATGCACATATTGTCGACATCTCCACCACAGGACGCTGCAACTCTATGTTGAATGTCCTACCTCATAAAGCCTGCTTTTCATTTTCTGCAACCTACGTTTTAGTTGACGTGCTGAGCCCATTTACTACTAACATTGGGCATTCCGCAAGGTTGCTCCAAAACGGCGCGATATTGTGCTATGGTGACACTGAAGTATTGAGTTTCGTATCGAGTTGCTTTGTCATGACATGCAAACATATGATGAAACCGAAGAATCTGTTCGTCTGTGTTACTACTAATCTCTGCATCCTCCTGTCAGGTAACCCCACTGCTATACCACACTCATACTGAAATGTGTCACAGTATGACCTGAATTCCGTAACAGTCTACAAGCCAAACAGACTTCGGCCAAGCTGTTCCTGCAACCCTTCGACATCTACAGTGTAGGACTCATACTTGCACCCATCCTCTATTTCTTGCCACAACTGGAAAGGCTCCCACTGACCCGCCTTCTGGATGTTCTGATCGTCCAATGCAGATACTCTCATGGACATGCTCAAACAGATTGCAGCAACCGTACAAAGCTTCAAAACAAGCGAAAGACATGTTCAAACCTGCAAAACTGCCTTGTTCGAAAGAAACTTTTTGCTAATCTCGCTGGCTCAGGGGCCCAGCTTTTTTGCAGGTACAGGCTCACACGTCTGTGAACCCATCCAGTCAACATCCATAGCTTCGTTGGCGTGGCTAGGATGTGACCGCCACGCCCCCTGCAAACTTAAAAGCGAAAAGAGCATGAAAACAAGAAAAATCCATGGGTCAAAGCAGGTACCTACAAAGGTTTTCAAACAGAAACGCCAAGGAAAAGTGGACATGTGAATGCAGGTTTTTCGCATGTACAGCAGAATAACACAAACAGGCCCCCGAAGGGGCACAGAAGCTTCAAGGTGCAGGTCTTTTGCGACTGTTCCCAATCATCGTGTGAGCAGCAAGCCTATTCACGTCTACGCTTCTTGATGGCTCTCTCACTGCGGTCAATAACCTGGTGGTAATAGCATCGGCAATGATTGTGACCTTCGTCTGCTCGAGCACATACACGACCACAGTTCGCATGAGAGCACAATCCTGAGCATCGTGACATCCTTTGTTGAAAATCCGAAGAATCACGTAGGATTTCGACAACACGAAGCATCAACCGAATAAGGTCTTGTGGGTGGATGTCGTTAGAGCGAAGAGCATCGAGGGCATCGGCAGCTGATGTTTGCACAATATCCTCCAAATTGTCATCGCTGGCTCGCCTCGACCCTGGTTCATAACGAAGAGTACGACGACCACTGGACGACATGATTACACACTGAGACTTCAAAAAGCTTGAGCACTGCACATCAGCACGAGAGAAGGCAATCCTAGGGCCACATGTCAAGACTCGCATGACAAAGGACACCATTTATACTCATGTGGCGTGATCCACTCAAGTCCAGGTCGAATCTACACTTTACAGTGGGTGAACAATGCGGCGCACATTAAGATCATCGATGAAAGCCGACCCAATACGCACTCGGTCTTCATTGGAGTGATGAATCCATTCCACATTGGCATGGCGCACTTGGGCAAGACGCCAAAGCTGCTGAATATTGAAGAATGTGCGATCGCCAACCAATCGGAT